TTTTCGACTTGGGATACTACTAGAGAGGAGTTTCCTAAGTTGTAACTGTAGTTTGCGACATGTCGCAGATGGACTACTTTACACTTAGAAGTGTTAAAGGTAAGTCCGTTATCGTCTGCCCAACTTTGAAGTCGAGTCAGATCCTCTTGAAGTGCCTGTATATCGTCTTGGTTGCGTATCTCTCTCCAAAGTTTCACGTCGTCGGCAAAAAGTAATAAGTCTGACGTTACCTGTTGAGGAAGATCATTTATGTAGATCAAGAAGAGAAGAGGCCCTAGTACTGAGCCCTGGGGGACCCCACTAGGACATTCCATAGCTTGAGATAAAGTGAAATTAACCCTAACCTTAAAGTGTCGATTTTTTAGGTATGAAGTAAGCCAGTCGATTAGAGGTGGTTTGATACCTAGTCGTTTGAGCTTGTTGATAAGACACAAGTGGTTAACCTTATCAAAAGCTTTTGAGAAATCAAGGTAAATGACATCAACCTTTCCCTTGCGATCGAGGATGCTTGTCCATCTGTCCACCGCAGTCAGCAGGTTGGTTATACAAGAGTAACCCTTCCTGAAACCATGCTGTTGGGGTGAGAAGAAATTTAAGGACAGTAGATAGTCATTTAAACCGTCGCATATCAGGGACTCCATGAGTTTTGAAGGTAACGACAGAAGAGCTACCGACCGATAACTTGAAGTTTCATTGCGTCGACCACCTTTGAAAATTGGTGTGATGTGAGCCAACTTCCAATTTTCCGGTAATTTGCCTCGGCTAAGCGAGTGTGAAAATATCACGCTAAGCGGCGTTGCCAGAATTGAGGCTGCCTCCCTCAGTATGGCAGGATGAACCATATCCGGGCCAGGAGAAGTGTCAAGTCTTAAGTGCTGCAGTTTCCGGAACACCAAGTCAGCGCATAGGTCCACTTCAGAAAGTCCTGTGGAATTGCATATGAAACTGTCGTCAATAAAGTTGATGTCAGCCGGTTGAAATGTTTGAGAGTAATGTGCCGCCAGAAGGTTAGCGGCGTCGCCATCATTGTTGGTCGGGCCGTTAAGACCTAGCAGTTGAGAAACTCCTGTTTTGGCTTGACGAAGAGAGGCTGCGTAACGGAATAGGCTTCTAGGGTTAGAGGCGAACTTGTCCATAAGCTTTGTTTGGTACTGAAGCCTGTCTTCTCTTATAGCCTTCGTGCATATGTTCCTGATATGTTTATATTGCCTATACGCTCCATCGTTATTAGTTCGTTTGTATTCCGCCCAACAGTGTCTTTTGCGACTTAGCAGGCGAAGGGTACGGTTCTTGATTACTGTAGGTGGCTTGCAGCTTTTGGGAACCGTTTGAGGAACTGAATGGTCTGTAGCACATAAGAGCGTGTGCAGTAAGAAGTCCCAATGACCATCCACATCGAGTTGAGGGTGAACATCCCAAACCACCTGTTGTAGATAGTCATGTAAAGCTGGCACATTCAGCCGTTTAAAATTCCAACGCAAATTATTGTTGGGATACCTTAGCTTAGTTTTGATGACAAAACTGAAGGCTATGACGGCATGATCGCTCTTTCCCAGAGGAGCCAGGATTGAGAGGTTGTCGACTAGGAATTCTTCGTTAGTGAATACACAGTCTAAGCGCGATGGTGTCTGACTGTTTCTCCAACGAGTTGCCGACCTCACATTTTCATATAAGCCCAAGTTATCGATGAGGTTGAAGAACCGAGCTTCAGTTGAGTTGTCGCCTCCAGTGTACGTGTGTTCCGCGAAGTTGACTCTAGGGAGATTAAAGTCCCCTAGAATCAGGATGTGTGTGAAACCGAGACGGATAGAGCGGGATAGTCCATCCAGCATACGACTATCGTACTCGGTGTCGGCAGTTGGCTTCCTGTAAATGACTCCGACTAGACACCTGGAAGTACTAGACAACCTTACAGAGCACCATATGGATTCCTCAAGATTGTTAAACTCGAGGTTGTGAACCTGGTGCACCTCCAAGCAAGAGCTTATGTATATGGCTACTCCGCTTCCAATTCCTATTTTTCTGCCGTTGCGGAACAAAGTCATCCCAGGTAATGCTAACTCTTGGTCCGAGAACTGAGAAGATATCCAGGTTTCAGATATTCCTATCAGATGGGCCTTGTTAGCGTTGCTAAGTTCACGTAGTTCATCCAGTTTGTTTGGTAGACTCGCGGCGTTCATATATAAGCAGTTTATGCTTTCAATTTGGAACGCGTGAGCTTCGTCCTGTTTTTCTGTATGAACCTTATGTGAATGGACAGGTAGCCCACCTATATGAGGTTTGCCGAGGTGGTAGGCCCTGTCCTTTACACGTTTTTTTATCGTTTAGACAGTCTACAAGTGGAATGGTCAGCTCCAACTTGCCTTTGTTCTTGGTCCTGACTTCGTATGGCCTATCCGGGTGCATGTGGATTCCAGGTGGCAATCGACGTCTATTAGCACGAAATGCTTCCAGAACTGCAGCCGCCATGTGGGAAGATGGGAAGGTTATCTTCATTAGACGGGGTCTAAAATCACCGTCCTTCTTGGCTAGTCTCGTCACATGCTGAGTCAGTATGTGTTTGAGCCTCAAGGACTGTTTGATGAATTTCCATTCCCTGATGTCAGAATTTGATTGAGTAGGGTCTGCATTTTCCGGTATACCTTGGACAATTATGTTTCTTCCGCGGAAAAACTTCTCGCGAGATTCTTTAGGGACGTTTCGTATGATATTGCGCTCAGAGTACGGTATGTCGGGCAATATTCTTACGTTACCATCTGATTTCAGTAAGTGACTTGCTAGCAAGACGTCCTCTACGTCGGTAGCATTCTTAAGTGTTACTCGGAGAAGCCTCGGGTGATTTAGATGCTTAGAATCCTTTCCTCGAGTGAGCCGGGTGACCGTCAAAGGCTCTATTCTAGGAAGTTCGAGCTTCTTGTTCAATTCACCCCACAGCATCCTGTCGTTTTTATCCTGCAGACTGAGAGGAAGGTCAGGATTGTCGACGAGGTTCATGATAATGAGAGAATCGTCACGAACTGTTGTTAATTTACCAGGTTTCACGATGGGTTCACGTTTAATAACTTGTTGTTTGGAGGTCAGTGTGCGTTTATGAATCTTGGGCTCTTTATTGACCGGACGAACAGTCTTGGGGGTAGACTGTGCGACTAAATCACCAGTTATTTTCCGTGCAGCAACACTTGGGTTGCTCGGCTTAGGCGGTGATGCCTGGTTCTTTTGGGCTCTCTTAACGTGGGTCAAATCACCTGCAGGGTTTTTGGGAACCACTGTTGTGTTCAGGGACCCTGAGCTGGGAGACCCGAGTTTGCCTAGGGAGTCTAGTACCGTCGACGTAATGATGGTACTGAGCCTCGACACGTCGTCATTAGTGTTGATGGATGCTCCATCGATGGTATACCTATCGACATCCCTATTTTTGAGTCCGTTGCGCGCTCTTGTTTGTATATCGGTTTTTTTACTGTCGTGTTCCAAGTTAACTGACAGCTTGTTCCGAAGACCTGTCAGTAGGACAATGATGTTACTCAGCAAGACTACTGCGTCCGTGTTGCACGTGACACATACCCACTTTTGGTCTGACTTTCTGAGTCTGTTGTAAGCAGTTGCTGTCAGATTTGTGCATGCTTCGTGGAACCAACCTTTGCAGTTGTCGCACTGCATGCCAGTTGTGACAGCAAAACGGCATCCCGGACGTTTGCATGAGTTCTTCATGACGGTGTTGAAGCAAACTATGTTATAGATGAAGATGGATAGTGGCTAGCAGTGGAATCCAGGACGCGCGTTTCGTCCTGTTTGGGACTCGTCAGCTGGATGTACCTGCATCTCAGAGTTGATGTTCACTCTGGGACTCGAACTCAGTACCGTTCGCTTCAAACGCAATCGCGTTATCCACTTAGCTACTGAGTCCTGATAGCCACTTGCTTGTGCAATGGGTTGAAGTTTAATTCACTTGATATTGTTTTATTTGAATCTTCCCATTGATGTTTTTGGACTGAAATTGATCAGTCTCTTATTGGCATATGTGCATACTGTGCGTATGCCTCGATATTGCCTTAATTTACAAGCATTATAAGCAAAGATGGATAGTGGCTAGCAGTGGAATCCAGGACGCGCGTTTCGTCCTGTTTGGGACTCGTCAGCTGGATGTACCTGCATCTCAGAGTTGATGTTCACTCTGGGACTCGAACTCAGTACCGTTCGCTTCAAACGCAATCGCGTTATCCACTTAGCTACTGAGTCCTGATAGCCACTTGCTTGTGCAATGGGTTGAAGTTTAATTCACTTGATATTGTTTTATTTGAATCTTCCCATTGATGTTTTTGGACTGATGTTATAGATGCTTGCAAAAGCTTAAGACCTTTTTTAAAAAAACACTAAAATGCACACTGAAAACGGACAAAAATGGACAAAAACGAGTGATATAAACTGAATCTAGTCTATACGTGAAAAACAAGAAAAAAAACCGAATAGTAAGCTGAGGCAAAACCACAGGTAACTATTAAATATAGTGAAACTAAAAAAAAAGTAATCTACAGAACGTATAGCTCAGGATAGATTCTTTAGAACTGAAATGGTACTTTTGTTGCGTAAGAACACAGCAAAAGTTTGATATATGCAAATCACGTTAGGACTAAACTTCCCGTTCGAAAAGCGCGCTTGAGAGAGCAAATCTTCAACGTCTGGAGTACCGTTTGTCCCATCGTGTAGTGAGTTACGGGAATTCTCTGACAGAATGCGTAATATCAAGACCTTCTGTTGAATCTTCACATGTGAAGGTCCTAGTACTGAGTACTACAAATTGCAAGGACCTCCTATAATTACTCCTGAAAGCTGAAAATAATTTGTCTAATATGGTCGCTGAATAGTCACAGTGTTATTATAGTTAGTGTCACAACGAACTTAGTTTGAAATTATATTTAAAAGACTAATCAGACGACAGGAAGGTCACCTCGGGAGTCCTAACGTAACTAATTCACCTGTATTTTCAACCACAGATGTTGAGCATCTATTTGAAGGTCACTTGAAGGGTCGGAACAAAAAGGCGGTAGTTGTAAGCATTCCGAAGAATGAGTATATCTCTTCTTTTCGACGAGGAGGCGTATGAGAAGATTTCTGAAGTTAAAAAACCAATATTTGTATTTGACTGGCTGTGTTCACTGGAAAAACGATTAGTGGCAGAAAATAGACAGGCTATCAAGGAATGCCAAGAAGATCTTGTGCAACAACTGTTGTCTCACCTGACGCATGCTCCTGGACGTCCAACACACAAGCTTTTGGGCCGTTGTTTCGCTAACCTATTTTTAGTGGGAGACTCGCTTTTGCTTTATACAGCAGTGAACACATGTAACGCGCTTCTAAAATCCCGAGATGATGGACTTGCTTGCATCAATAGTCGTCTAGCTGCATTAAGCTGCCTCGGAGCCATATACAAACGCCTTGGACGTATGATAGGTCGGTCTTTTGAAGACAGCGTTATCATAATGGTGAAGTTGATCAAGCAGGTAATGTAAAAATTCATTTTATTAGTTTTCACTGATGTCCCAATATATCAGAATTTATATTGTCAATCTATTTTTTTTCTTTATTTCACACATAGAAATTCTGCCAAGATTCTGAAATTCCCCACTTGTTTGTTACTGGATAGGTGTTCGTATGATAAGATCCGAAGTGTATAGTTCTCATTCAGTTTGTAACAACAGGATTCATAACATTCTCTTTCTGTATTGTGGTTTAGCTGTTTGATCACCTAGATTTCAGTCATTGGATTTGAAAACTTTCCTGTCTGGTTTTAGCACTCAGTTAGTATACTTAGTCATCACAATCCACATTAGCACCAGGAACGTTTTTAATTCACCATACAAGCCTTTTTGTTCTCCGCATTCTTGTTAGATATCAGATGACTGGTTCTTGAATTTGTAGACTATCCTAGCCAAGCAGGACGAAATACTGTTGTTTACATCCCTATAGTGCATTTATTGTTGCTCTATTTTGTCAGAAATTTCCGTTTTACGAATAAAACAACTTCAAACCATCATCTCTAAATAATTTAAATCTAAAATTCTGGGATTATTAGTTACAATTAGAGAAATCATTAGAAGGTAAGCCACTTTTAGAGCTTGCAGTTGAACCTTGGTTACACTTCACTTACATCCGTTTACATCTAGGAAATGAGTGAAAATGTGCATCTTTTTGTTATCGAGTTTGAATAGACTGGATGGGATAAATGGTTTTAAAACTAACCTCATTATATTCTTTAAAGTAATTAGCAACAGGAGTGGGCGATAAAAATCAGGCATTTTGAGAAAAGTGCTCTGATAGTTTCAAATCTAACTTTTAAAACATCAATTTAGGCATAGTTTAACAAAAACTGTTTCATTCTAAAATCATATGACCAAAAACTACATTTGAAGCCTTAAGATCTTTTGTTAATCTTTTACTATCAACACTGATTATTCATTTTTTCCGAGCTAAAAAAGAGCTACAAGTTCATTCCACAACAAAGCGCAAGGCTTTGGTAGTGTGTATGTTCGATTATTTCCAAAGTTGGAGTTATTTAAAACTGATGACTTCGGAAATAGTTCCTTCACACTTGTTAATCGAAACTTTTCCGTTAAGTCCTCTTTTTATGAAGAACCAATAACTAGAGAGGTAGTTATCTTATTAAAAAATTTAGTTGCAAATCAACTTTAGCCATCACTATAATGCTGTTGATGTTGCTGTCTAATTTTCATACATTTGTTTCTCTTCTGTAAATTGGGACGGCAGAAATATTTTGCAAGATACTTTGGATGGGTTTTTTCCATTACATTTATTTAAATTAACCACTGGAGTATAAAGACTAACCTCAAAATTGTGTACTATTCATCTTACAACGAATTTATTCGTGATGACTGTTATCATTTGTACACTGTAGTTCAATTGTCCGGTTTCTTATGTAATATCTAAACACCCTACGGTATGCAAAGTTCTTCAGTATTTTAGTAGGACCATCTTAAATAAACATTAGGGAATGGTATTCATAGATGTTATTATATTAAGCATAGCTCTGTAAAAGTACTTCATAAGTTATAATTAATTTCTTGCTATTCGCATCCCTGGCACCTGAGTCATCCTTTACATTCCATTTTACCAGGTTATAAATATGGTTCATTCTACTAAGATTGTCAGCATCCAACTGAATGATTAGAATAACGTATGCTAACAATCTGGGCTACGCTGCTAATTACCAGACAGTTTCCGATGTGTGGTTTGCTGGGTAATTTGCCACTTTTAGATTGTAAACCTTCAGAATTACTGATGATTATGGAGCAAATTTCCGAGTCGTGAAACTGTTAACTTCATTTCTTGTATTAGCGATAAAAAGCTGACTTCTAAAATCCTTAACAATGAATTAAAAATACCTAATTCTTAATCTGCACATTTCTTGTTATACTATTGTTCGAAGTATCTTTTATTATGGATAAAATCTTAAGTAGTTCATATTTTATTCTTGCTAATATACAGTTAGTTCATTGCAAAGAATAGATAATTTAATTTGTAACTTCTTTTTTCTTCAGTCTGAGTCACTTGTTCGATGTGAAATTATGAACACATTGTGCAGTTTGGTTGAAGGTGTTGGTTCAGCCAGTATTGTGTGTCACAAAGAAATATATAAAGCAGTGAAAATCTGCATGACGGATCGAGTACTCTATGTGCGTGTTGCTGCAGTGAAAGTGAGTCAACCAACCATTGATGTATGTTCCGTATTCGACACAAATGTCCAAATTATTATATTTTTACTGTGGTTTTCTTGTACAATATCGAATTATTACTACATATTAGTTATATGCTGTGGAAAAATATGTACAAAGTATTTAAACGTAGATACTTTGTGTACGATACTGTCATAAGTTTAAACTATATATGTATAGTGAATTTTTATTAACGAGTATTTCCATCCATCTCATTAAGCATATGGTTAGAGCTTGCAATAAACTTTAAAGGGTTGATGCGTTAATCTGACTTATTTCAGCACAATAAATGTCATAATTTTACAAGTCCAAGTTCTTCAAAGTACAACTCATCTTATAAGTGCCGTTTTTAGAGGCAGTATTTGACTTGTAATAGTTTTTCTTTAGTAAATGTTTTCCTGGCATAGCAGTCAGTTTTAAAGATAAAAAACATTATATGGTTGGCTAGCATCATTAAGTTTCCAGCAGAATTTATCACCTTTGTCACTTACTGCTATTGAGTGTATAACAGAAACGTGTCACTTGGAGTGTTGATCACTTGCAAAAAAGAACTGTAGTAAATATTAGTAGGGCAGAAGGGAAAACTGAAGAACGTAAATTACAGAATCAATACTGTTTATGAAAACAGTCTTGTTCTGTAAATCTTATGACTGTTGCAGGTGGTACTTTCGATAAACGTTATTGAATATTATATCTGCAATTTCATCTCTCAAATATCTCATGGATTTTTACTTCATTTCTCATCTTTCATGATATCTGTCTACAGTTTCCAAACCGTCTATTGCGTACTACTTACTCATTCAGTTTATTTCTTTAACCTTAGTGTCTTTACTTCCTGGTTGACCATTCTCATTCAATTCATACCAACGCATTAGAAGCTACTGTAAGTTTGTGTTTGCGATGTATGGATGGATCCAATTATACAACTCGACTTGAGACCGCACGTACTTTGGGTCATTTGTTAGCAAAAACTCAGCGTAAAAGGGTTGCAGATACAGGATCTGATGCATCCAGCAGTGGAACAGTTGGGACGTCTAGTGAGTTGTTTATGTAGCGTTTTTCCTGTTTTTTATGTTAAGAAAATTAATGAAATTATTTTTTTTCACAATTTCATACCAGTTTTTTCTTCCAAGTTGTCCAAAAAAGTTATTTCATGGAACTTCCTGTTCATAATATGAACATTTTCTCAATGCTACTGGGGTTTAACCTAAAGGTGAAAAACCTTTTACGAAAAACCATTTTTTTCGTAGAGTTGTAATACATTTATTTATAGAACCAACTTTAATCCACTGAGATGCAGTAGGAACGCAATTGCATTGATAACGTCCTTAAGTTTCTAGGTACTACTTTTAATCCTGATGTAATAAACGTGGCTTAAGACCTATTACCTAGTCACTTGGCCGAATGTATACATAGTTATATTTTTACACATACATATGCACACAACACTTAAATAAATAAAAACTCAGTATTTCTGGTAGTAAATTGAATATATTGTGTAAATCAATCATTTTTAATGTTTTGGTCAAACCGTACAGATGTTCCTTGGCAATTCGATGTCCTCACAATTTGTTTTAATATATCAGGTAGATAGGACCATAGATGAAATTTATAGTTGATTACTTTATGTCGTTCGTACCGGTTAAAAAAATGTTATGTTTATCAGTAATTCAAAGGACGCATCAAACTGTCCAAATACTAGTGTTTTCCGACAATTTAACAATATTACGCTTGTTTCATGTTTTTTGATCTGTGGTGATAGTGATTTATTTAGCTGTTTACCAAATGGCAGGGGTATTGGGTACCAGTTCATTTTGTTATGACCTACAGGTGTGTGTGACATAACCGTTAGAATTAGGTAGGCATAGGTTACATATATTTTGTGGGACTGTTGCCAGCATTAAATGAAACTAAAATTAGTGTGGTAAAAAGTCAAGGTCGTTCAATTTAATGCAAGTTCAGGAAGCCACTAACTGTCGGTTTTAGTCTTCCAAGGACGTTTAAATCTCCCTACCTCAAGTCAAGTCTTTATATTTGGATACATGCATTTATTCCACTTTCTTGTGGAGATACTTCACAAACGGTGTTTGTCATATTTTCAATTGTTTTGCTTTTTTTCATGATACGTGGTAATAAAACAGGTTCTGGAAATAGTATCTATTTGTACATCTCAGTAGGCTTGGTGAATACTCCTCACTTTAAAAGGTAAAATCTAAGTTTACAAAATTAAGGTTAATGTAATACTCCACATATTGACTATACTTGATGGATGTATGTATTGACAGTTATACGCCTACAATAGCTATATTGGTTTGTAGACCAGTGGAACAAGTTCTCGTAAACTGTACAATTAATAAACTGTGTAGGTGAATTTATTTTTATGTTTTATTTTTTAGTTTGTTTTAATCTATGCTTATTTTGTTTGCTTATCCACTTTCTAACATTGACTGGGGTAAAATTGTATATGTAATAATTCTGTCGATGAAATAACCGCGAATTAAATATGGTTAGTTTTTCAGATACTACTATTCTTTTATAATAGATTTATTGTTGTCAAATCAGGCATTGTTATATGGTGTTTGCTACTTATATCGACATAAGTAGTATAGGATGTTAGTCGTGAACAGAATGTCTGGCAGCAGAGAGACAAGAGGATCGAACAGTAAAGAATGGGAACAGAATGCAATTTGTATGAAAATGCAAGAACAATGAGGTCTGAGTCATAATGAAACAATTGATAGACATTTTTCAGATTATGTATTTACTATTTGATTGTTAGATTTTATTAACAAGTCCTGTAAACGTGTCAAATACATTCGATTGTCCCCGCTGGTGTTCGTGTTCACTACAGTTATACTGGATTAATACTTTTTAATGATGCACTATAATTCACACATTGTAGACCCGATAAATCATGCAAGACTCAAAGCAAACTCGTCAGTTCTTTTTTGAACTTCTGCCTTTGATATAAATATTTTTTTCAAAGAAACGTATGTAAAATGCAATACAAACACTTTCAAATGTAACTTGATAGTATTAATTATGTCTATCTGATATTTAGTGTTGTGTATTACCGTCCGTTTTCATATTACTTTTCTTGTTATCGCTATGTGATGCTCATATTTTAGCTTTATTATTGATAATTATGAAGTATTTATATGGTTATTGTGTTTGTCTTTCTTTCTTTGCAGATAATTCGCGGAGTAAACCTATCCCACTTACAGATGCATTGTCATTATTGTCGTCAGGATTTTTGAAAGGTCCAGGTGGGTTTTTAAAAGGTACCAGTGCTACTGATATGATTAAAGGAACTAGTCCAGTTAATCGAGAAGTTCGTGTTGGTGTAACGTATGTAAGTATATAAAGCATGATGTTAATATAATTATTTGTGTGAAAATAGTTTTTTTTTGTTAAAGACTTTTATCTAATTAAACTATTTCATAGATAATGAGGTGAGTAATGTTGAAGTTAAATGTAAAGTACTGGATAAATTTGACAAATTGGTCGATGAGGCTGTGGAATTTTGACGACTGGGATAGCTTTGATGTATTTTAAGTATGTTCTTTCAATAGTTTCTAACATATGAGTAATTATAAAGAGAACTAAGAGCTGTCGAACAGTGTTATGGAGTTAGTCCGTGAAATCATTGTTTTTTTTATCAAGTCATGTTGAGAGATGCAAACATCTTGGTTATGGTTCTCTAGGTGATCCAAATCAGTTACAGTGACGAAGTGAATGAGTACTAAATATCGTGGAAATCTATTTGTAGGTCGATGTGTGTTTATGCCATACTCCTTGACTGATCAGTTTTCGACAGTAACGTACAAAGCAGCAACTCCACACATAGTTATGCATTAATTTACAAACCATAACTGTCTTTATGTATATGAGTTACAATGCTATCTCATGACCTACAGCTCGCTTAAGACAGAACTGAATTTGAACTTGTGAAGCAATAAACATAAGTAAAGTACTGAAAACACTTATCACCCATGATTTGATTTATCGGCTCAGTTATTTATTTTATTTATTTGAACACATAAACGTTGGTACAAGAGGACACCAAATACGTATGCTCCACACAATAACAATGAGGCCAGTGGTAGTCACTATTGATTTATGTGAGGGCTTTGATATCGCCTGGGTGCCGAGACCGAAGCAGGTGGTTATCTTAAATGGTCACTACCTAACTATTTGACCTAGAGGTCTAATCCACAAGGCAGTGGAGCCACCGTTAGGAGGTGCAGTCCCATGGTTGCCGGTGACCAACAATAGATTTCCACTCCATTTGTTTCCTCAGGATCCTGCAACTCATGTGCACCATTGGTTTGGAATCAGTGTTTCCAAATCCTCTAAGTGGATTCCTCCTGTCCACCAACCCGGTTAAAGGGCCAGATAGTCGCTTTTCGTCCTCTCAATTTCATAAACAACACCCCACCACAAGAAGGCAGTGAGTAGGACTTCCCTAACAATGGCTGTATACACGTGGCCATTTGAGAGCATTTCGAGAGGATGAGTGAACTCTCCTCACTCTCGACCTTAGTTGTCCTACAGTGAATGCTTTTTTATATTTTAATTATTATCACCGTTTCCAAAAATACCTCAATTCGTTAGTGTGGGCATCTTTTCATGGATTCAATGAATTGTACATGAGTTCGAATTCAGTTAGTTCTCGATATAACTATCGTTATCAAGTGCTTGTTGCACAAGTTAGTGGCTACCTAGACTCAATAGCTTAGCGGATAATGCGATTGGAGTTTTGTGTGATGGGCATTAAGTTCGAGTTTAGATGTAAACACCCATCCAGTTGACGAGTCCCCCACAGGACGAAATTCTATTGCTAGCCACTACCCAAGTTTAATAATGATTGATATCTATCTATATTAATAGGCATTAGGAATTAATGTATTTTCTCCCTTCTTTCTTTTGTTTTTCAACCACTACTGAATAAACGTCAATTAGCGTTGATTAAAATGACCATTAAAATGATTTACACTTCGTTGATGTGTTAATTAGTCAATTTGCTTTTATTTTATTTGCAGGCTTACATCGAATTTATTGTTGAAATGGGGCCGTTATGGTTTGAAACTAATCTGTCAACTATACTGACACATTTAGTGAATCTTTTATTAGTTCCACGTGCTACACCAACACATGTCGAGGCTATATATGCACGTCAATGTATACAATATCTATTGGGTACTGTATTTCGACACTTATTGTCTGAATCAATTCAATTAGTTGCGATTAGTGAATTGATAAAGATATTAGTATATCATTTACAATATTTACAAAATCTTCATGTGAATGAATATTCAGTGAACGACGGTGATGTGTTTCAACAGATATTTTCTTCATCCTCTTCTTCCGTAACACCTACTCTTAATAATAATGGTAATACAAACGAACCATCAGATTCGTTACCGAATGATATTTTCAATGAGACTGGTATCAACGTAACACATGGGGATAATCAGGCAACTAGTAATGTACATAATTTGGATAGTGTTGTGGAACCGGATAGTGGAAAAGTGAAACGTGGAATTGGGCGTCAAGTAGCAACAGCGACAATAACGACAACAGCTACTACGGGTGGTAGCAGTTCCCGTTCGAATCGCGAACAACAACATCAGCACTTAGTTATTTGTGTGTTAGATATAATTAGTCAATTAATTCGTTGGTTAGATTCACTAGTTGGTAAGCACTTTTATCTACAATTTTATTCTGTAAACACTTATTTTATTAGATTAGTCGAATGATGTATTTTAAGTTCTTGTTTTATTCTATTCTATTTTATTTTTATTCAGCTCATTTACGATGTACAAATTAGTATACTTGGTTCTCGGCAGCGCTCTAAGCTACCCATACTGTTGTAGGTGGAGTGGGGTTCGAACATACGATTGTGGTTGGAAGTCAACGCCTTAACTATTAAGCCAACATTACACTTTCATCTGGATCCCACCTTTGCAAACCTTTGTTCATGGACTTTGGCTTTTTTCATTCAGGAATTTATTCATGCTTGGTTTTTGTTGACCAATTAATTTCCTAACCAATAATCCTTTGAGATATTTATGTACCCGTTTTCAAGTAGCACTAGGAAATACTGTCCGATTTCATAAATCACTGTTTAGCGGAGGAGGATGTGAATTTTATGACCCATTGGCTGGAGCTAGATCCTAGACCCATTCAGTTACAGCTTTTTTGATCTATAGTTTTTAATTGAAATTTTACAAATATTGGTTGTTTGAATCTTCCATTCGACGCTTAGGACTGCAGCTGACCAGTCTCCTTTGGCATACGTACATCTTGTGCGCATTACCTCGACATTGCTACTAAGTCACAAGCACTTTTAAGTATAGATGGATGGTGGTTAGTAGTTGAATCCAGGATACGCGTTCCATCCTTTGTGGGACTCATCAGTTGAATGCATATACAATAGCTTGTGCAAAATTCACTGCATTACACAAGCTGCTACACAGGCTATCTGGGCTCAGTAGCTCAGTAGATAATACGATTGGAGTTTGAAGCGACCGGTAGTGGTTTCGAGTCCAAATGTGAATACTCATACTAAGGTGTATATGCATCCAATTGATGAGTCCCACCATCCATCTCCACCTGAAAGGTTAGAATTTATTTCTCTCATTTCCGTCTAGAATATTGACCTATGTTATTTACCTGTAGGTGTTAAATTTCTTCAAAGAAATACAATAAAGTTCTTATTAATTTCTGATTCTTAAGTAGTTGTTAATGTGATATCAAGTGTAGGATTTCCCTGTTCATTCACAGTTTTACATTAATTCATTTTTTTTCAAATTTTAGTTCAACTTTTGGATCAACCCACTCAACTAACTGATGTACTATGCACATGTTTATCACATCCAGTACAGGCGGTTCGTTTGGCAGCTGCATCGTGTTTAAGGCAGTTAGTAATTGTTGTACCAAGCCAACGCATCCCTTTATTAAATAAATGTTTACATTGTTTGCAACAATCTCATAGATATAGTGCTGAAACACTTTTAGGAGTTACTTTTGGCATAACTGGACTTCTAGCTGGAGTTAATTATTCTATTCTTGGTTTGCCGAATAATGTACCAGATCAAGTTAGTTTATCATCATTTTATATATGTGAATTTTGTTTTGTTTATTCGATTGGTCTACTGATGAACAGTAAACTTGCTGTTTTCAAATAATATTTGGTGTTAGATTGATAATTTCGACCTTAATATGATAATAGTCAAAAATGAATTTATCACACTAACTTAGTGGGACTATATTGCTTTTAATAAGAAACTGGTATTCTAAAATGGCTTTTTGGTTTTATACTGTTAATAAGCACACATTCAAAACAAGGGAACATATATTGTGCTGAATTTACTTTATAATGTCAGCTATTGAACGTACGAACTATTTTGTATGGATACGAAGCACTTTCTCGATTGTAGTTTGTGAGAAACATGCATGCAATAATTCATTTCATTGGTATAAATAATCATAAATACCCTATATGATTACAGAAGTCCCAGTTCTGTAGGAACGAAGTAAGTGAGATAATAAATTAATTAACCACAAAGAACATTCGCAAGTCGTTCTCAATAGAGCAAAAGAACTGACAGCGATTTTTCGTTCATACTTATAGGTTCTCCTTTCGGTAGAATTCGCCTTTCCCTTCCAATGCATGTACTACTACTATAAATATAACTGAACAGGTAAACACGGCAAAATGGTAACTAGAGGAGAAATGTTGATGTTAGACTTTACGGACATGATTTTACGGGAATGTTAATTTATCAAACAAGTGCAATAGTCTCTTATTAGTTGATTCATATAAGAGCTTATTGAATCCTCTTTAAATAAAAGCTTAACAAGTACATTCTTTTAAGGCAGTAATTAATATTAACATTTCATTTTTTAACTTAGTGTTTACTTACAAGGTGGTCGTCGTATATTAAAGTTCTATTATTTTACACCTAATTAACACACTTAACTTTAAAGTATACTTTGTTCTTTTTAAAGTGTTTTAGCTAAACTTCCTCAGTAAGGTATTAGGCAAAGACTGTTTGAAATGAGTGTATTGACCAATTAAAAATGTAAGCTAAGCTTAATTTATTTTCATATCTTAGATATGAAGATGAATGTGTGATATGTTAGTGGTGACTTTATTATAGGTGATTAAAAATAATATGCAAACAAGCTCTTAAATTATTTGAAATCATCTTCATCTAAATACAAAATCCGATGATAGTGAATTAATTAATGAACAGAATACATTTCTTCAATGTGAGCATCTGAAATTACAGACTTGCAAATTTTTCAATGAGACTCTAATTTATGGACGACTTTTTGTAACGCCAAAGTGGTCTTGAGGATGTCTACCTACTTACTACGGTTAAATAAAGGTTTAAAATCAGTGTGAGGAATTAGGATTAGTATTTACATTTGGATGTTAGGGTTAGGAATTGGATTTAGGGTTTTCAGCTATGGTGTCAAGTGGTATTTAACCCGATGGATGAATGATTTTTCGCGCCAAAATCCAAGACCTACTATCTTTAATCTGATTGGTTCGTCCACAAGTAATAGTCTCGCCACTTTTTCATTAATCAAGTTGGTGTCATTTGCTTTTAATGGTAAAGTTAACTTTTATGATTGATTTCTTCAACAGGATTCTTATGATCTCCACTAGTTTGATAATTCTATACTAATATCTTTTTCCATTTAGTTGTTTAGTTTAGCTGAAGAGCTTCTACGTGCGGCCAATCAAAATAGCCGATTCGCATTGGCTCGTACTCAAAGTGGTTGGAGTTTATTAGCTGCTTGTATAACTCTTGGACCAAATGTTGTCAAGCCTCATTTACCTAGAATGTTGTTATTTTGGCGTAATGCATTTCCGCGCAGTTTACGTGAGCTGGAAGCGGAGAAACAGCGCGGTGACGCTTTTACTTGGCAGGTATTTTAGCTTTCTCAATATTTACATAGTTTTTTTAAATTAAGCTTAAAAGTATGTTAAGTTATGAATATGGTAGTTTGATTGCTTTGAAAAATGAACAGAGATTCAATTCATGTTGCTTGGCAATGAAAACTTTTGTCATAACACCTCCCTTGTTAAACCTTCCTTTAGTCTTCCTTCTATCATAGCTGTCTCTCTTCTGAGGCCATACTGTTTTCTAACACTGATTATAAATCAATCTTCATTATCCCGTAACTTGATCATTCTGGCTGTTCCCCTAAATGGTTGTGTGATATGATACATTTGTGGGCTTAATTCATTGAGTGCAAGGTTAAGTGCTTTAATTCACCTTGAGTAAATCAGGTACTTGAATATATTTTTTCTACTTTTTCTCACCTTAATTCGAATGTAAATCTTTTAACGCTTGTTTTCAACTCTTTCAGTAACCAAACAGATCAGATAATTGTTATATTTCGAAAGTTGATTTCTCGATATACCGCGTATAACAGAGCACTAGAACACCCAAAACCATTCCAAGTCTCAATAAGAAGACAGAAGACTAACGAGAGGAATATTATTTCAAACAGTGTCAATCATAGTACGAAATTGTCAGGTGTTTATAGTTTTTAGTAAGAACGAAATCATCATTACAGTCCTTCAATCGGCATACAGGGCGTAATTAGCATTATCCAATCGGGAAGCTACACGTAGGAATTCTAGAATATCCCTCCGAAAGGTGATTGGATGGGACGTCTTCGGCTCTTTCTGAGCCTCTCACAGCTTCCTCGAGTTAACCGGTGGTCCGTCGCTACAATAATTATCAATTTTTAGATGTGCTGTAGAAAAACGCCATCACTTTTGATGACAAAATATCATCAAGTACCTGTTTGCATACTCATGCTTTTACCGCACTGTTTGAATGAGGTCCGACGATACTATCCACCTTCTCACATCAAAATAGACGTAACAATGTTCAACAGCAAAGACATTCATTCATCAAACCTTCTTCCCACCATTTGTTTTGGGTGTTTTCAACAGTTTATATAAAATTAGGTCATCGTCATCTGAAAAGTCATTCGTATACTTGATATTACTGCTTAATGACTAAATAAATAAATGATTTGCACCGTTGTAATTCATTTCTATATGCATACATAGCCCCTTGATTGATACATTTTGATCTTATTTACTTCCTTATTCTATTTAATCAATTTAATGGCGATATAATTTGATCATATTTTTATTGATCTGATTTACTTTTTCTCCAATGATAATTTAGTTTTTTTAATTTTTCTATAAAAGAAATAATATGATGAAGTAAAGTTAATTGACAATGTAATTCTCTTTTTAAAAATTAATTTCGTTTAAAATTGATTGGCAATTTTATTTATTTGTTTATTCAAATTGTCTCTACTTTCGCCTACTTCTCTATGGTATGTTGGTTGTTCTGAGTGTTGTACACTTTTTGTACATTCTGTGTGTGTGTGTTTCTACATACATACATACAATCATCCCAGAATTTATTGAAGTGGCTAGTCTTTTTTTTAATTCGATTAAATATTTATAAATTAGAAAAGTAAATTGGTTGACAGAAATATTTATTCTGAATTTGCACAGCTGTATATAATATATATAAGCAAAGATGGATGATGGCTAACAGTGGAATCCAGAACGCGCGTTTCTTCTTATTTGGGACTTGTCAGCTGGATGCACTTGCATCCCAGAGTTAATGTTTACTCCAAGACTCGAATTCAGCACCGTTCGATTCAAACGCCATCGCGTTTCCCACTTAGTCCTAGAATGAACATCAACTCTGGGATGCAGGTACATCCTGATGACGAATCCCAAATAGAACGAAACGTGCGTCCTTGATTCCACTGCTAGCCGCCATCCATCTTTGCTTATACTACTTGTGAATTAGGGCAACATCGAGGCAATCCGCACAGCATGCAAATATGCCAATAAAAGACTGGTCAATCGCAGTCCTAAACGTCAGTGAGAAGATTCAAATGAGCAATACAAAGTGAATTTCTAATATAGATTTGTTTGTGAGCCACTGGTTGCGTCGATGCCTACTACTAGTATTTGATCACAAATGTCTTAGAAATATTGCTCGCATCTGCTGGGATCATCGGGTAAGTAATAGTGAGGTTAGAGAATGATGGTAAATCAGTTGATGAGGTTGTGAATCTTCATCGACTGAGATGGTTGGGCCACGTGTTACGTATGCCTGAACACCGATTACCACGACGCACAATGCTGATTAGTGTTGGGGATGGTTGGAAGTAAGTTAGTGGTGACCAAACTAAAACGTAACATCAGTCCTTGAAGTCACTAACTTCTAGTCTGAGCCATGTTGGTAGATGTAGACTACATGGTTGGGGTCCGCGTGACTATCGAAACCAATGATTGGAGACCGTGGGTGACATGACACATAATCGGTCACAATGGCGTAGGTGTATACACCCATTGTTTCCCCTTAAATCGTGAGATGAAAATTATTTTATGCCTTCCTTTGTATCAACTAATTCTTTCTTCCTGTACTATATCCTTATACATAATCTTTCTTTTATATATTACTACCATTGAAATAACTACTTCGGTGTTCATCCTGTTGTACTAATGAGATGTGGCAACTTGGACAGATGGATATTTATGCCTGGTCCAACGTTTTAGCTGACTGACTAACTCAATGTTTAACCAAATTGCACTATGCTTTATATATTGAACAATTGTTTCGTATTTGTCTTCTGGGTGCGCTCATTTGGAGTAACATGCCATGATTGTATCGATTCTCAGAAATATCTAACTTTTTTGAATGAATGAAAATTTGTCCTGGTAGGTGAACAGACTCTTCCAGTTAGAGCAACTTTTTTTCCGAAGATGTGCGTAATTTGGATTAAGAATGGTGCCATTCGGCGAGCTGAAAATATGCTAACTGTTCAATTCACTAAGATGTAGGGTATAGTTTCCACACTAGTGTTTTCTGGCTTCATCATTGAGAGTAGATCATACAGGGTGACTTAGATGACTCGTTTTACTGAGAAAATCATAACAAAATTTCATAACGGAAATTCATCTCGATGTATGTCGTTCTCACCTCAGATTGTGGAAACTATCCAAATGATTTTGCTTTATTTGTTATATTATTGACTAGTTAATTATCGCTTTTCCGTTTGAATAAATAAATCCTTTCTGGCATATATTCTGAAATGATTTTTAATTGTTTCTTTCTTTTCAATTAATAAACCAAAATTATTAGATAACATCAAAACTAGACTTCATATTGAGAATCGATAGGAAAAAATCATTTGGGCGGAATGGACTATTGAATTAGTCGTAAATCAATTGTACTTCATATGTTGTCATAAGCGTTGATGAGGTTAATGTTTTCGTATTAATTGTTCGTGTATATAATTTTGATGGTTGTCTTTGTAGAGCGATTTCAAACTGATCTACTTTTATAAATTAAATCTCATGTTATATCAATATAATTAGGTGAATTCTATTTCTCAGGTGTTTTTCGCCGTTCTTTTCTACATACTTTATTTCTTACCTTAAAGTTTGATCGGCACCAAAAATTAGACAAATGTAACATTAGTCATTACTCTATGGTCAATCATTTGTAAATATCTCAGTCCTACGGGAACTCAGTCACTGCCTGAATAATTTAGTAGTAACGTCTCAGATTGTGAAGCTAACTGACGTACGGTCGGATGACATTGGGAGCATTAGTTCCCCCCAAGATAACATATCTGATTGACAAGCGTTAACTAGCACGAAATCTATGTCAATACTAGATTTCTTGTCGACTAACTCCAACCACTTGATACTTTTGTTAAATGTCTTTACCTATCCCTTTGTTGTCTGTCTCTCACTTTCTATCTACCATCTTCCTGCCTCAACTTCAACATTGTAGATTATGCTGGAATCCAGATCGGGTGCATTATGCTCTATACAAAGCTTTTTAGAATATTGTTCACCACAATTACTTACCGAAGATATAATTCATCGGCTTTTACCGCTTATTGAATGTGCATTAAATATGCTTGGACAAATGAATGATATTGTTCGAATTTATGGAAATCACTTAAAAATAATCGCTGGTTTTATTCGATTACGACTTTATCGAATTTTACTTTTACTACCATCTACAGCATACACTAGTAAGTTGATTAATTGTTAATAATATCTTATTATGATTATAATTAATGGGAAATACTTTTTTGCTTGTCTAATTATATATTTCTATATCATTTTTCAATTACAACTAACTTGCTAATGTGTTATTGGCTTAAAATAGTATTTGTTAATTGATTTATTCAGTATGTCACATATGTAGTGACCATGCGCCAAATAATATTACAGTAAATGGTTGTAAATTGCCCAGGAGTATCATGGTTGAAAACCGAATTGGTACTTGTGTTGTACTTGACTCAAGTACACCAGCAACCGTGTCAGTGTGTGTTTATGTGTTCAGAAAAGGTTGATGGTCTACCTATTAATTTTTTCGTACTTTGTTGGTAATCTTAGATCCTTTTTCAGTTTCATCTATATTCCTGCAACCTACCATCCTTATTATGTTATCTTTAATTTTTTAAGTTCATTCCTCATTCATTAAATTAAATTAAATTATTAAGCAAATTTTATTATTAATAATCGATAGCGTAGATACATGATTTTCATGTTAATTGGTAGAATTTACAACTCTTTGAAGCTCTGATTCATAAAATGTTACCAGATCATAAGTATTTTGGGTTATAATCACTGACAAAATTGCATGTTCACTGGCACATAACTTTACGTGCTATTGAAATAAAGCAAGATTGGTTGTCAATCACATTCCATAATGATTTTGATTGAAGTTAACATATAGTCTGTCTTGCAATATCTGAGATATTTTCTGAACACGTTATTAAAGGAAAAATCTCCTCTTGGAGCACTTGTAGAGTTACTACCGGTCCCAAGTTTGGGAAAAGGCGGAGGTTTGGTCATGAGGTCAACAACCCTATATATGGAAGGAAACTTTGTTAAAAAAATACGCTAAATAGAAACCATCATTCAAGTAAGCAAATAATAAAAGGATATATATATATATGTATATATAAAGTTGTTAGATGTAGTTGATAGGAAACCTTAGTTCTGCATATCGTATATGTTGTTGACACACATCAGCAAGGTCTCTTTGCAATCTTGCGGGAACTGATGTTTCCAGTGGTATCCCACTACTCGTCACCCACCTTCACAACCTGAAATATTGCCAATGATCTATTCAGATTGCTGACTATTGGCAACTAACAAAAAACCTAGGTTAAGGGTTTTCGGCCGACTGTCTGCAACCACTTAACGTCTTAAAATACTGCACACAATGTCGAATCGCTTATACTAGTGGCGACATTTCAATTTAGTCGAGAGATTTCAGTCAACTCAGATGATTAGACGAATACGACACTGTTCGCTACTCAATAATCAATTGTAAGGATATATATATGTACCTTTTGGGATCAGTATTAATAAAAGTATTACTTTCTATTGATTTCATTCCCCTGATTTTGTGGATTAGCATTTATACATCATTTGTGGCAAACAAGCCTTAGTCAACAAGGTAAAATAAAATACACGTATGCATCTATATAACTTGGTTTTATTCTTTTGTTTGCTTATTATTTGCATTTGTCTTGTTTAATTCCTGATCCATTTGTTTCATTCAGTGTGTTTCGTATTTATGCTAATTGGTTTGTTTGGTTTTCACTAGACATGTTAGTATTTATATTAACACCATTACTAGAAGTATTATGTGGTTGGTTATGCAATAGTTATCAAAATAATATATTGCATGCGAATGTGTATGTATTCATCTCGTTCTCTTTCATGCTATTATATACATTGGAGTAAACATGGTTTAATGAAAAGAGCATATCATTCATACCTAAAGATCGGGGCCACCTTTTCGAGTCTAGTGGTGTGTGTGTGTGCGCACTATGCTTTTAATCGATTCGTTAGAAATTCAATGCTTCATATTTTTTGACTTCCGTCCACCTTTCACATAATGTGATGCTTTGTTCACTTAGTTTTTTTTACGCCAAAGAATTCTTATATTCAATAGTGAGTGGAAAATTCTCATAGGACAATAAAATATTAAATTATCATTATGATATTTCATTATGTTAGAAATAAAAACCCAATTAATTAACTTTTCTAAAAGAATGGGATCCTTTCTTTTTTTGGAAACCAATGATGTCTAATTACCAATTGTCAACGTACAACGGCAACATAAATCGTTATTTCATAATACAGAAAATTTATGTCAGAGATGAGTTTTTTGACAGAATTTCGACTTGAAAGTTTTTCTTTTAAAAAAACTTTGTGTACAGTAAAATATTTATTATTAAAAGAAAATACAAAGTATTCGACAACAGTTTGGATAGAGTAATGAGTAAGCATTTCGAAAGAATAATCCAAATATGTATTTCATATTAACTTCTTAAGCTTGAAATTAGACTGTAAAATAGCATTATGTGTTCTCTTATCGTTGAAATGGAGTAAATATTAGTTCTACTTTCAGCTGCATCTAAAATAGAGTTGTCTTACGCTATTCTCCATTAGTATTTTCGAATGACTAGTTTTTTTTAAATTGAATAGGCTTTAGCTCATAAATTCCTGAGAATTAATGAGGTTTCACTGATTGAAATCATGAATCAATTGAAGCTAGACCACTATGGAAAACCTGGAAGCACTGGACGGCCGTTTCGTCCTAGTATGGGACTCCTCAGTAGTGCGCGTCCACGATCCCGCCCCCACGAGATTCGAACCCAGAACCTATCAGTCTCGCTCCAGGCACTTAATCAACTAGACCACTGAGCCGGCATCCAATGGTGTTAATGTCTAACTTCAACAAATCCACGAAGTTGCGTCACCGTACACCATTGTCTTCAGTGAGTTGATATCTCACAACAGACCTGGTTGAACTCCACTGGTAACGGCTTCTCACTAGAACTCTAGGAGTATCTCTTGAAGTCAGTCACTAGTGAGCAGATGATTGTTATCAGAACGGGTTTGTGGAGATTTTAGAAATTTCACTGATTGAAATCATAAGTCAATTGAAGCTAGACCACCATGGAAAGCCTGGAAGCACTGGACGGCCGTTTCGTCCTAGTATGTGGTGATATATCTATTTAATGTCCAACACTATTTGTCAATATTGTTCGGTACTCATAGTAAGTCCATTTAAAAAAATAATAACCCACTTAGATGAAATCCTTGGTCAATCTTCCAACTGTTGGCATTGTGATAGTTCGTAGTTAAACACAAATCTTTGAAATGCGCTCTAATCTACATTTTAAAATATCATCTAACTGTTCAAACTAATGCTGAGTTAGAATTTATCATTCGATATTGTTTGTAAACCTTGGGAATAAGGAGAACTTAGCGGTTTATTCCAGAAAACATACAATGGTAAACAAACCTCTGTGTTTTACTCTATCAGTGGTTCACCAAATGAGATCTGTGTAAAGATAACTTGAGTAACTTCGAATTCGACAATATCTCTATGTTCATATTCATTGATTGGTTCACATATACATGTGAACACATTAATAACAATTTACATTATTACATATCTGTGCGAATTTTCTTCTTTCTTCTCGCTTAGTATAAAATATATACTACTGAATTTTTCAATTGCTTGCTTTTACAACTACTCTTCATCTGTGATAATTACTAGTAATAATTTATTATCTATATTCTCACAATTCCACATGGTAACAATCATGCTTCCTATAGTTCTTTAATTAATTTATGTAATTGTATTTCAAAAAACTAATTACCGCCAACTTTCAAGTAAATAGAAAATATATTAATCAATCATAATTCATTATATTCCCTTATCTTCACGTTTTCAATGGTTGCCTAAGATCCATTCTTAATCTAAGCTATAAAAAATCTTTACATTGTTCATTGTGCATTTTTCGTATGTTTAGTAAATCCAGTATGTGAATAAACGCATGTTATCATTTGTCTTTATACCTGCATATTTTTAACTGAATACAAATTTCAGGCTTTAATTCTTATGTACAGTAATATTTATATTGCATTTTTTAGAAGAAACAAATTAAATAACGATCATCACTACTATGAATAATATAGATATGTGTTTTGATGACCTCTCGTTTTTATACAGAAAAGAAGAAAGTTCGCATCAATATTAATATGATTTTGATCAGTTTATTTTTTGAACTATTTCCTGCTTATTATTGTTTATTACTATGTGACTGAACTACCAGTTTATAAAATTCTGTTTCAATGGATTTCTTATTTTTAACACATTATTTATATTTATAGGTTCTTATAGTACAGTTTTACGTGAATTAGTAGCTGAATTCACGTTAACTGATAATGTAGCAAATGTAACAACATCTTTATTGAAGTCTTTAAGTTGTTCTGAAGACAGTATCACCCTTGGATCATGCTTGCAGGATACAGATCAAAGATTATTAGAGGAACAAGTAAGTCAGTCAGTTTAATCATTATTTTATATACATATAACTTTACTCAGAATTGTAACTTTTCCATTGATTTACGTCATATACTTTATCGATACTTTGTTCATCTTAATTCATGTCAAACATTTGAAAAGAGGGAAATTATACCTTAGTAATTTTAACCAGTAGCCAATGGTTTCCAGATTTGAAATCTTCACATATCTCACTACATATAGCTCCATTTATATCTGGTTTTGAGTTGTGTAGATTTGTTAACTACACTTGTATCTATTTAATTGTCTTTCTCCTGCTACGGATTTGCATTGTCGACATAATCGTCAACTCGAGGGGGTTTAGAGCCATGTATTTTATAACTTTTACGGTACAAAAATGTAATACCAATCAATAAAGAAAATTAATATGGTAATTAGTTGATTTTTGAATTATTAAGAAAGAATACATGTTGTTATATAACGAACAGATCTAAAGTTATACAACTATTAAAATCTATATGAATTAAATGACAATTCTTTTTCATTTACTATTATCATCATTATTGTTACTGTTTTTGTTATTCTGTCCTGTAATTCGCATGCTTCATTTTACGGCAGAGTGTGTGAGAGAGAAATATGATTTTTAATTGTCTTCATTTAACTTATAGCATGTAAACTATTCAGTATTTTTCTGTATGGATGTATCACTATTTGTTAAGCTCTATGCGAATTCACATTTACAAACGAAATATCACTTTAAATGCGCAAAACTTTTATTTTTACTCTTCCTTTAGCCATGTATCCTGCTGAATTACTATCGTTGATTTTGTTTATAGACTATTTTTTCCTGGTAAAATTAAATATTCAACTCTACTAATGTTTCTAGTGAGAATTTGTTGTAGGTTTTCACTTGGAAGTTAGTTGTTTATTCTAAAGATTTTTAAGTGACTTACCTCTCCTTGTACTTTTGGATCATGGAGTTACTAATGGTTACCAAGCTCTATACTGTTCTTCCTCATTCACTTTACAAGAAGTACACTAATCATACTTATTTACTAAACACCTGAAAAATCCGACATAAACTTCATTTATCTAATCAGATGAATTACATTGGACCGTATAGCTTGTTTTGAAAAAAACCTTGTAATAATATAGGCATAGTAATGTTATCGTAAATAATAACATTATGACCTAAATCAATAATTTGGGCGAATCTAACAAAACATGGAAAGCATAGTTATTCCTTTGATGAGACATAATTTTTCGAAATCTGTTATCCTTGGCCTCAGTCATTTTTTGTTGTCACTGCTTCCTATTTTTTTGTATCTGGTAGTGCAACCCATTAGATACAGCTTAGTATGCTCTACCGTGAGGCACGCTATGTCTAACGACCAGTTATATTAATTTCCTGCCCTGAACGTAGTAAGTAGTGTGGGTTCTGAACATACAACTTACCGATTAAAATCTGAATGCTTTAACTATTAAGCCACTGCCCAATATACCCGGAATTTGATGGACTATGTTTTCGTTTGGTCTTATTATTTCGATTAAATAGTCTGGTGCTTAAAGCACTAAGCCTTCAATCAACGGGACTGGGCTTCGAATCTTTCTTCACGTAGATCAGTTTAACTAGCCAGGTAACATCGAAAGTCTTCACATATATAGTATAACTTGAAATCAACTATAAAAAATATTTGTATTTGATAAATGATTTACATTATCAATAGTTATTTGTTGGGGTAATTACTTTTCACGTTATTAGTATTCACGACTGAATTTCCGATTAATTTCTGTTAGGTGATGATTAAACCGTCTTTGAACTATCGCCAATCATCAGCACATTTATAGAAATGTTAATAAAGAAGAGCTGTTGAGACAGAACTATTGAGTATAAAGAAATCTTATACTTTTCTTATCACCATCTTGTCTTTTTTCGAAAAGATCTTTTTAGATATTTTACATCAAAAATAAGGACTAGAAATAGCGCATACACAATTACATCATTTCATAGGCGATCCCCCCTCTTTTTCTTTATCCATATTTATTCACTAGATGTAGTCGTATACTGGGTTTGTCTGGGGAAATATATTTTTCTCTCGAAATAAAATAACATCCACTTTTAATTACTTCTATTAAAGAATGTCCATGAAGGTTTTTTTGTAGAAAACATGTTCGTAACTATCTACAGTTTTGTGTCAGAAATATTTATCAGGTGTATAGTACCTAACTATAGATCATAATCATAATGCTATATAGATATAGTACGTCGCATTGATGGATAAACAAATATACCATCCTTAATATGTTCAATGTAAATGTTTTAATATCTTTTTTATTAACGTAAACTTAACATATCATTTATAGTCTACTAGTTTTCTATTCCTTAAACATCTCAATAATTTATCGTGTTGATTATCCTGATTTTCATTATGAATCCATTTTAGAAAAGAAACTCAGTTCTATTCATTGTAAACTTAAACAACTCCCAATCATAAATTGTTAACTTGTCATAATATTTGTTCACATGATCCTTAGGAAATTCTTATCACAATAAAACAGAACCCTGAAACCATATTTGTGTAATAATATTGATCAATCACAATATAACTTTATCTTAGTAGTTAAAATGTGTATCTGAACAGTATCTAAACATTTATTGTACTATAATCATTTTGCACCATTTCTATCCCTTCTTTTCGATATAGTTACAATCAACCATATTAAACAATTCACCTAGGGCATTAGAACATGATCCTTCTTACCTATATCTACATGATGGTGTTAATAATTTACTGGTAAGTCTTTTTTTCCCCATAATTTATTATTCCTTAGAGTTACTGATCTTAACAATCGTTTTTTCCCCAGTAATCTTTTGTTGTTGTTGTCAAATGAAATGTAAAATAAATCAACAAAACACTTGAATAATTGTATTTTCAGTTTTTATATGAATTTGAACTAAAAGCATGAATAGCAACTATGCAAATTAATTTTTCTAGGTAATCCTCATCTCTTGTTTATAACTCTATTCGTATAGGAAGATAACATTAGTGATTATAAGAAATATATTTTTTTCGTTGTATTCCCAATGAGTGAAAAGATATAACAAAAAAATATTTATTATTAACTTTCTACCCAATGATCAATTTATTTGAGACACTTTTGAGTGAAAAATTGAAGTGACATGGATTATTTAATGATAGATATAAAAAATGTAAAGAGGTTTAGACAGGAATTATCTAGGATTGAAAATTTGATGAGTTGTGTGATAGTTACAGAACATAAGTAGAGTTTACATAAGTTTTGGGAGTTGGGTTAGTGCAAATTACGTAAAGGTACTTTTTAAGTGAATGAAATAACAGTTGATGAATTGAAGATTACAGAACAATACTGATAAGAATTGTAGTAGTAACAATCATAGAGTATGTAATGAAAATTTCAATTTTCTTTTGGTAATGGTAAGTTAAAGATGTCTCCTTCTGAACGCGTGTATTCGGTTTGGGTTTGGTTCAATGAAGCTTAATGAAGTTGCTTCCTTTATTCTGTTAATTTTTTTGAAAGATTTTAGAACTTTGACAACATTCCCTCTATTGATTAGGTTTTGAGCCTTTGCACTGTTTATGACAGTGGGAATTTTCAGTCTCACGTTTTGTGAAACATGTTTGGAGGTACGAACATATACTCTTATCTCTGTTCTTCTTGTGCAGGTGTATATAAATCAATAAATACAATTGGAGGTACTGAGAATAGAGGACTTGTTTATTTTGTTCTACATAACATTCCATGATCGTAATTTCTATTTTTTGCAAACTGATAACGAAGCTGTTATTTATTACATATTCGTACTTGCTTAAGTTAACGTTTTCGATGAATAGATTTTATTCCATTAGACCATCTTAAAAACCCCAAGTCAGACGAAGTTAAGCAAGTACAATTAATGACGAATAATAATCTGTTAGACAAGACTACAAATTGAAGTGTTTATACTGCTACGATAGATCTTAAATCATACCATATAATAACTTCAGCCACTGACATTTCGTCTCTGAAACACCAATTATTGGAATGTGTATTTCTATGCAGAACTCAGACTAAATATGAATCGTTAATTCCTTCGCTTGACCAATTTTTTCTTGTTGTATCGAAATTAAACAATGGTATTAATTTGGCATGGGTAACACATATTTTATCGCCTGCTGAAGTAGTTACGTAGGCTTTATTTTTTTCACCTACGGCTTTATAACTAACCTTGAAATTAAACAATAAGTACTTTCATCACATGATGTAACACTTACGCTTTCCCTCTCAAATGTACCACATCTAGCGATTGTTTAGTTGAACAAAGCGCTAGAGCGTTAACAGTATATTCCATACTTTAACAAACTGGTTTCATGTTCTACTACTATTAATACTAAAATATTTTGTGTTTGGATTTTAACAATGAATAATAAAAGTTGTTGAATCATAACATCACATTGGTTTGGAATCCCGCAATAGTATTTAATCAATTAGCCAAGCGACTAGTTTCTCTACAGTTCATATACACTAAATTAAATATGATTAACCTCCATCTTACTCATTACTACAAAAGAAACTAACCATTTACATCGTGACTGATGATCCTGTAATAATAGTAGACGGGTTAGTCAATTAATTTAGGCTTAGGTAACTTCTAATTTGCTTGACAAATCATTCACTTTACCGGTATCACATATTGTTATTACCCCCGTTCAATTGGAATAATCAGGTAAACTATGTCTTGTCTCTACAGATTCAAATTTATGACGTCTAGCTTAACAGTAAACTATTTGTTGAGTCAGACATAGATACTGTTTTCTCATGTGTAGTAGTATCATCACGAATAAATAAAAAACACTATATCTAATAATAAATTGACATTAGTTCTTTCATATACATTGTTTCTTGATTCGTTGCTTTTTCAGGCTACTGATGTTACCTTGACAAATATATCGAATACTGAAGATGAGAATGATGAAAATCTATCATTGACAGCTGGAACACTGTTTCATGGTCCATCACATATTTTATTAAATAATAATAGTACTTTTACCACTTCTAAATTCTACAGTATTAATTCTACCTCAAATACTAATACTAATAATTTGTCGTGTGGACATAATCTTGGAAATTTTACTAATTCCACACTTTCATGTGCACTACAATTAACTGGACCTATACCTGTTAGTGTTACTGTAATAGATGCATCAATTGAATTGTTTGGTCGTTTATTTGCTTGTGTTTCTATTCGTCATCGTACACAAATGTTAGAACATTTTACTGAATGTATTCGTCTTACAAAATCAATACGTCAAGAAGCTGTACAAATTAATGTTTTCGCTGCTTTATTAAGTGCGTTAAGACATTTAGCTGAAACAAAATCTACATTCGGTGATGATCCAGCGTTAAGAAAAGCTGCTACGAACTTAATTTTTGTAAGTTCTTTGATGCTACGTGGTTTATATTTTATGTCCTGTTCGAATGCTTCATGATAGGATTATACTGTACATGTTAATTCACTCCAAATGATTATCCTGAATTCTTGTTTGTATAAACGCAGAATTGCAAGACAAGACAAAAAACTTTTTTTTCAGATTTTATATCGATATGGCTTATTTGTGCTGTTAGACCTATCCTGGTAAATAAAACGTCTCGGCTGCTCACATTCTTGAAGGGTATTCCTTTTTGAAATGCTTGAAAAAGAAACAGGATGAGTTGGATGGTTTGTCGGTATGATAGCTCAGCTCCACAGCTTAAAAATAATTACTTGAGGTATGGTATTTATGACTCACATCAGTTTCTAAGTCCTCAGCACTAGCGCCGGACACTTGTGGGGTAAAAGACGATGTTCTGTTCTAAGAGTTTCCTGATGGTACGCTGGAATACAGCGAAATCGTCTGTCGACAGTTTGACTTGTTAATTTTATTCACTATTGAGATAAGTGTCATCTGAGTTTCTTTAACATTTGTTTACACTAATCAATCTTGATCGTCAGAGGAATTTTCCCTACTCACAAAAGATTAAATGTGCTTTTTTTCATCCAGATAAACGTTATTATTAGGCTTCAAATTCAACTCTTACATCATTGTATGACCGTCTATTTTATGACTAGAGTAATACAGTTTACTATTAATATTTTCTAATTTTTGTGATTCTCATCAGTTATTCTTATTTGAGTGATTAACAAGTTATATGAGTATGTAACTCAGTGTCCGGTTGAAGACGGACGAAATAAATTGGAATATAAATGGACTATCTGTACATAATACTTTCATCGATCTAAGATGAAAATATTAGCTGCGAAAACGAATACGCGACAAAAGTAAGCTTTTATTCGGATTATATTTGAAGTTAAGTTGAGCATTGATTTATACCAACAAATAAATTCATAACCGGACATAAAAAGATAACAATCCGTTTGGAAAATACCCCAAAAAATCAAGGTTTGTTTAGTCTAAGGAAAACTGTAACATGTCATTGATTATATATGTATGTATATATGAAACTGAAACAATTGAAACTAACCTGTAAAGGATAAGATAAACACAGAAATTTAACAATGAGTTTAGTAGTAGTAATGAAAAAGTTCAATGGATATTGGTTTAGTTTATAGAGGAAAATCATCATTGTTAAGAAGTTCCATACTAACACTGAATAGCTATGCAATATTCCCTTGTTTGAAGTAGTATATTAATTGAGGCTATTTTACGACTCATTCTACCTACAAGGTAAGTTCAGTAGTTTAAATTAACTGATGAGAAAAGAAAAAGTGATATAAAAATAATGCGATATTATTATCATTCTTGTTCTTTTAAACTTATTATAATGTTTTATAAAGCTTATCTCTTTCCCTGTTTCTACATGTGTTCGTGAATATGTGGATGAGCGAAAATATAAAAGAGACCATTGGCTATCTAGAAGATTGTGATGATAAAAGGCTTTTTCTCTTACCTTCTATTCATCGGCAAACGGTGTATAAATATTTAGTTTTTCTGAAACGTTTCTATTTAGTTTTTACATTAATTTTAAGGTATTTATTACATTTATTCACTCAGATAATTGGTCATTACCGTATCGTTGATGATTACTATCCTCATCCAATATCGATAGGCTTTTATTATTGTTATTACTTTTTTTACTATCCTTTTACATTAAGTATATTACGACATCGATCATGAAAATCCAAATTTATTTGGGTTCTCTTGTTGTACGTTGATGTAAAATATTGTATGTTCAATAACGTTTACTCCTCTAATTTTATTTTAGAGTAAGACCTACAGGTGGATATATATGTCAGATCTTCGTCAAGCTTTACCCTAGTATACTTTATTATTTATGCACATTTCACAAAAAATTAACTACTGATTGATTTACTGGTCAGTGATAACAATCAAATAGACTAATCATAATCAGTAAAAAGAAGCGCAAACTAACGGAAAGCTAGCAAGTGCACTAATACTGATATGAATAATAAAGGTTTGAGTAAATATTTTAAAATACAGAGTATTTTAAAACTTTAGAAAGTAAGCCTATTAAGATGATAGTTGTTAAGGTCTACGTGTGAGTAGTAAATGCAGAGAAAATACGAAATAGATTAAAAATTGTATTGTGCAATAAGTCATTTGTAATTCACTCAAATATTTGTTATTATGATGACCAGAGTAAGAAAAGTGGTTGTACAAAGTTTTTATAGATACAATACTAATGTTTGTTGAGATCGATATCGATGACTTCTGCTATATGTATAAGACGTATGCATAAACCATGCAGCTTATTGATTGGGACCCAGTAGGTGATTTGAAATCCATTGCTTATATCCACTTACTTCCTTACTTTTACCGACAGAATAAAACGAATAAGAATAATCAAATATATATGGTTCAATTTGGAACACTATAACTATGATGCAATTTGGTTATTGACGAAATAAACATCTATTTTAATGAAGAAGAGTGAAATCATATGCAAGATAATTACTAGCTTCCATCTTAACTTACGTTAGATAATATCTCGTCTCATTGATTTTACTCGGTCACTTGGGACATTATCATTCAGGATCAATAGATGATCAATAAACGCTGACACCAATAAAATTCCCTTGATCTCATGACATAGTCTTGAATTGTATTAAAGCAAGATAATCATTGTGGAAAATTTTCGGAAAAATTAATTAAAAATTTATGTACATTTACATACAATAGACCTATGGAATAAAATTTCATAAATTAATCGTAATTTATCGTATGTTAATGTATGTATCCTATCTGTATAAATGGAAGGGTTATGTATTATTTATGAAATATTGTTTGGTTAAGCTTAAATAGCTTCAGAATATGTGTGAATGAAAGTTTCCACCAGTAACGTCTACATAAAGGTTTCTTATTACTATTTTTTCCTGGCAGAATTCTCTTGATCGATTTGTAATATGGCAATTTCTTAGTTTAAAACTATCATGCATAATATACAATTTGTTTGGGCGATGACTTCATTACCAATATATAGTGTAATTTTCATAACTATCCTCCCTTTGGTATGTCCATGGTTCATACCCTACTCTAATTTACTTGAGGCCGCTTTAATAAATATCACTACTTCTCACATAAAAATTGTACCAGAAAGTTAAGTGTACGAAACTACACTTTTTAAAAACTAAATTACACTAAAAAAAGCACGGTTGTGGCTATTAATGAATGATTGAGATTCGCAGCTTTGTCTTACTATGTAGTTTAAGTGAAATCTTTTTTTCCTATACATAATTATGATAGAGAATACAGTAATTTAATAGCTGAAACTCATGAGTCAATTAAATCTAGATCACTATGGGAAACCTGGAAGCACTGGACGGTCGTGTCGTTCTAGTATGGGACTCCTCAGTAGTGCGCATCTACAATCCCGCCCGCGGAATTCGAACCCGGGGCTTATCTGTCTCGCGCGCGAACGCTAAACCTCTAGACCACTGAGCCGGCGTCCAACGGTGTTAATGTCTAACTTCAACCAATCCACGAATATAAATCATTTACGATTTCATTTTTCATCTGTGTATGTATGTGTGTATGAATGCGAAAATCATAAAATTTATTTCTTTTTAGAAAAAATAAACTATTAAGGAAGTTTTTTTAGTCTAGATTATGCGGAGACCATTATGCTCAGAATTCTTCGTTGAACGGATCACAAAGGAGTATTGTTTATGATGTAAGTGGTGCTTGTGTGTATGTATAGCACTAGTGATGGCATTAATGTTGATAATAGTGATTATCATAATAATAATAATAATAATAATAATAATAATAATAATAATAATAATAATAATAATAATAATTGATGGCTAATCCACAGAGTATAATCCCCGTTTTTCACTTCACCATTCACTAAGTTAATTCTTTCGTTTACATTTTTTATCATCTCGCTAACCAAACTAAAATCACGATCAAACAATAATTTATCTCAGTGATATTTTTGTGCACATGACAAAATCTTATGGGGAAATCTCACTAACCCATTGGTATTGTTACTTTGTTTAATCTAGAGGAGTTCTTTTATTGCTATCTCATATTATGGTTATGGGTGTTTCTTGTTTTTGTCTTCAAATTACTTTGTAAGAAAAGTTTTATTTTCCCTGTTTTATTTAGAGTTGATTGATGTGATTTTCTTCCTTATAAGATTAATAAATGGATGAAGTTTTTGATATGATCTACAGTTTGTTTTTATCAATACACCCTCCTAACATCTGATCAAAACAAGTTTATGTAAGGTATAGACAGACTTTATAACGGTTTATATGCTAGTTATATGAATGTTGGGTATTATGTATCGACACTTAGTCATAATTATTTACGTATTGGTTAAGTAGATAACCCGTTTCGCTCATCATAGCATATAAACGTTTTCTTAAAGATTTCCTTAGACGATTCTTCAAATTTTCTACCCTAGCGCCTCCATCGGACCCAATCTTTACGAAATTTTTTTTAAAAACTGTAGATCTTGGAAATTGTAGTTTAATTTTCTTGTTATTCTCAACGAGACGAGATGGATAGCCACTTTTAATCAATAAAACGTTGAGCTTTCCAGTAGAATACCTTATTTGGTAATTAGATCTAAATGTGATTGTACAGCTTCAGTAGATTTTGTCGATAAGAAAATCTTTTCGCTGGATTGTCTTTAATTCTTCTCCAATGACTCAATGGGTTACTTGATAGTCAGGTATCTATGAAATATTAACTTGAACCTGTACTGTGTTGAGTATTAAACATAAAATATTTTTGTGTACATTGTTTTTCTTTCAGGTATTGTTTAATTTTTAATTATTGAACATGTAATGGATCTGTGGGGTGTATCATTAATAGTACATTCACAGCTCTTCGTTTGTCAATACATAATGAAGAGAAAAAAGTATTTGGCGAAAAGAAAGAGTTACATTGTAATGTACTAGCTTACTACTCTTTTTTCTTAGAAAAATGAAAGATCTGAACGATTTTTAAGCACAAGAAATGTACGTTAAAATAATAAACTCAAATAAACATCAAAATTATAATGTATTAGTTAAGTGTTGATATGGGAATTTGCCTAGACTGTGGTGATAATCAGGTAGGAACAGTGTGTAAAAGTGGTTTATAAACATACAGTCAATTCAGATCATGTGGTTCGGAATTTTCATAAAATTCTCTAAATAATTTCAAAAGCAATGGTACATAATCATAAATTGTTACGTAAGTTTGTTTTATTAACATGTGTACATAGGAATTTGTGGTACTAATGCACATGCACTCTCGAATTAGCTTGGCCTACTTTTCTCATATAAAGAACAATCATAGGATATGCATACGTACATATCCCTTACTCTCTTAACTATTGATCGGTTAAACAGTCTATAGATGAATTAATCTAACATTTTCCCATGTGTTTCAGTTTCTCTCTCTATCTCGTTAAAATTATTATTTAAATGATACGAGACATGCAAACAAATATTTGTTCTGCTTGTAAAATACATGCTAACTGCTTCAACAATGTTTTATTAATTTTGATTGAGTGAAAAACACGTCCTATATGTTGTAATGCAAAAATCTGTCAGAATTCGTCTCAGTGCATGTTGATTGAATAATAATAATAATAATAATAATAATAATAATAATAATAATAATAATAAATAAATAAATAAATAAATAAATAAATAAATAAATAAATAAATAATAATAATAACAAGCCAGAGACAAAATAAACAGATGGATGTGAAGGTCATTCAGGGTGTATATGTAGACTTGTGTAAATATGAGGACAAGTTTGTCGTTATGGCTGTTATGCCTAACAGTAATGTTTGCCTTTAAATAGGATAGGTTTAATCAGCTCGAATATTATTCTCCCTTGAATGTTAGAAATAGGGGGTATACTTTGTTTTCTTGTTTGTTTGCACTAAAATACATATATACACTCGTTAGGTTTCTGTAAACATATTTCTATTTTCACTTTTGTTTGATCGGATTTCTACCTGTGTGTAATCGTATTTCTCAAGTCGTCATAACTTCAATGTTAACTTTACTCACTTAAGTTCAGTCATTCGAAAGGTATCTACAACTTTCGATAAAAACATTGTGTTTATTTGCATTATGCTGCTAGGACATTCAAAGGTGTTGGAGCGAGTGGTTTCAAAGCGTGTATGTCTCTAAATCTTTCTATTTTCGATCATTCACCTTTTAATTTCGTCTTTCCTGTGATCTTGCTTGTTTTTTAAGGCTACTTTGACCAGTCCAAGTGTTCTACTACGTTGTGTGGCTGGTGAATGTCTTGGAAGACTTGCACAAGTTGTTGGCGAATCTGGATTTTTAGCAGAATTAGCTCAACAAATTTTTGAACGTTTGCGTGCTATTCGCAATCCGATTGCAAGAGCTGGTCATTGTTTAGCTATTGGTTGTTTACACAGTTATGTCGGTGGTTTGGCGTCTGGACAACATCTAAGTTCAAGTGTCGGTGTACTATTAGCTATTGCACAAGATTCCAGTGTGCCCGAAGTACAAGTTTGGGCATTACATGCTCTTGCACTAGTTGCAGAATCAGGTGGTCCGATATTTAGAGAATATATTGAACCAAGTTTAAACTTGGTACTTCAGCTATTATTGAAATCACCAAGCGCTATGCATGAAATTCAAAGAAGTCTTGGTCGTTTATTTGCTGCTTTAATTACTACTTTGGGACCTGAATTACGTGGTACGTTATTTTGGTCTGTATTGTAGAATTTATTATGTACTTTAAAAAAATCTAAATCTTAGGGAATGGGCATGAATAAATGCTAGTTATAAAGTTATTTTATCAAAAAAACAGTGGTCATAGTATAATATGTTATTCCTTTCTGGATTTGAAATGTAACAGTAATATAATATGTTTCTTTAAAATAATAAGCGCTATTTGCTTAACTGCCTTTTTATTATGCTAAGGTAAAATCATAAATAAACCTTCATCTGAAAGTGTCCTCTTGTACAAATGTTTTTTAAGTTCTGATTTATGCGTTCTAAAATGAGATAATATTGGTTTCACTGCTTCAGCAATTAAATGCCTAAGTCGTTCTTTCTTCAAGGACACGATTCTTCAGTTTAGTTTTTTAATTAATCTATGGAACTCTATGATTTTAATAAAATGCGTTCAATACAGTATTTCTCACACTTTTTCTAATCTTTCACTGATTGCTATCTTGATCACATAATTATCTATTTCAATCATCTCAATCTTTTTGTACCGGTTCTCAGTCGTATTTCTTAGAATAAAATATTTAGTTGTAACAAAGTCTTTTAATTTCAAGCATGTCCATACATGTTTACGTTGAATGGTGACTAATTTCATTTTAGTTGAGTAAATCATCATCAGAAAAATCTCATGTTGTAATAAATAGCTGAAAAAACCGCTTACACATTGTTGTTCTTTTCACATCTAATCAAATCGCTTCTAATATTATATATATACCGATGCTAGCCGGTTTTAAGAAACATTAATATACATTATTATAGGTTGTATGATAACAACCAGTCCAATCGCAAATAATACATTTTATGCATATCTTTGCCGAATTATGTTTTTATATTCCCTTTCCTTGTACTGTATTTGTGATTAAATAATACCTTCACATAGGTACAAGCGCTGGTATAACGTCTGTTCGACATTCATGTTTATTATGTTGTATGATTATGCGTGATTCACCGGATGCTCTACTACAAGCTGAAGGTATAGCCTGTCTACAACAATTACATATGTTTGCTCCAATGCATGTTAAGTTAGCTGGCCTGGTTCCTGAATTACAAGTTAGTTTTTTCCCTCTTTGTATTTTGATATTGTTTGTTCAGTTGTCTTGTTGTTTACTAATCATGTACAATATTGTTAGTTTATGCAATGTTTACTCAGTCGTATTTTAGTCCGACGTGTTGGTTCACTGATGAATCAGATCTGATAGTAATTCACTGTTATCGAGAGATTTAGTTAGATTTATGTCTTCATAGCAATTTGTTACATCTAATCGTAAGTACGTTTGTAACTTACTCGTGTGTACGTTACTGTTATTGTTGTTACGGTTATTTTTGGACCACAGAGTAAGCAGTGCGTGGCTTAAAAATAGGGTTCTTGGTAAAGGTGGAAAATCAATTTAAGAGATAGTAAATCTTCATCAACTAAGGTGGTTGGGGCATCTGCTACGTATGCTCAACCATCACCTGCCTCTATAAGCGATGTTTTCTGGAGTAAGAGTAGGCTGGAAGTAAGCTAGGGATGGCCAAATCGAAACATGGTATCAGTCCATGAAGTCACTGACAATCGGACTTATCCATGCTACTAGGTATAGACGATGTGGCTGGGATCCGAGTGATTATCTTAAAAAATGTTTAGAGACTTTGAATGACATGGTACAGGTACATCCATTCTTTGTCTTCCCCCAAATTCTGAGATTCTAAATTTCCATTGCCTTTTTTGTTTTTATTTCGCTGATATATATTTTCTTTTCGAAGTCATATCTTTGATGCCTTATCTTTCCCATTACCACTGATACTGTTACTACCTCTACCATTATGAGATTTGGCCTATCAGTTCCATCTTTCTGTGCTAATGGGATGTGGCAACTTGAATAGATGTACATATGTACAGTTTCTACGTTCTGACTGACTGATTAAGTGAATTGTATGTAGGTTTGTAACTAGTGTGTACGTTACTGTTACTGCCGATAAAAGAAGTATGGTGAAAAACAAAAGTCTAAAGATCTAAAAGAGAACAATTAAAAACGTGAACTGTTTTTTGAGCAGACAAACATACAGGAAACACTTAAACGACAGTGATTAGAAATTGAAAGAAGAATAACATATCAAATGTAAAACCTAAGCGGTGGTCGGTTTAGTTTTTAAAACCTCGTGATCGTCATCGTTACTGGTTGAATTACAACACATTTTGTTTGGGCAGATTTCGAAAACTGATAAGTGGAATAGCTAGTTTTGTATGACATGGTGGGTGTATATCTAAGTCTGAGTTTATATAACAAATAAAATACAATAGATTACGTAACTGATTTGATCAAGTTGAATTGTTAGCCTTCTTTGTTATGTTCCTTACCCATATAGTACTTAAATCGATTATTAATTTACTGAACCAGTACTATACCAAACAGAAAACTTGTTTTAAATACTTGACTTCGGCACTATTTTTTTGTCTTTTGGGTGCCAACGTACTTTGAATTGCGAATTTTCTGCGTAAACCTTCATTCGAAATATTTTCTTCCAAAACATTAAAATTTTACTACATGATGTTCGTAAAGTATCTGTTGAAGAATGTTTAACATTCAGTAGTGTACAAATTTTACACATCAATCACTAAGTCCCATTTGATATTCTTTTTAAAAAGTGATTGTTTATGAATTGACGTGTAAATATAACTTGATCCAATGTATTTTCTGTTTTATTCTCTTTTTATACTTCAGACCAGTGTGTCCAGTTTCCATTTGGTCTTAAGACGTGCAGCATTATCATGTTTACGACAATTAAGTCAAAAAGAAGCTAAGGATTTGTATGGTTGTATGACACTAGGAGGTTTGTTAGAAGAGAAACCTTCTCCTGTTCTCTCTTCATTTTCTGCTATCTCCAGTAAAAATGATATAAATAGTTTTTCGAAATCAACAACTAGTGAGAAATTAGAAAAAAAGTTATTTAGTTTACTTGATGTTGAAATGGACTATCAACTACGCCGAGACATTGAAGATACACTTATTGGAATGTTGGAAGCAACTGGTACCTCACAACTTTCGTATTGGTTTACATTATTGAAAGAAGTATTATTGGTAAATTTTTGAATATATTAATCTCTCATTGATTGCGTGTAATTAATTTTTATTGCGATCATCATCAATTGGACCTAATAACGTACAATTATGTTTGCGTTGATTTTCTTTGAGTTGGTTGTTTGAATTAAATGCTTTATTTAAGTTAGTGAACTTTTCTTCAGGTAAATTAACTTCATATACTATTAAATAAATAGTATATTTGTAATATCTCAACGAGTAAAAAAATTAGATTTTTCTGACGTTTCGTGACTTAGTGGAAAAAATATGAAAACTGACTCAATTTTTATCATTTAAATGTTCCTCTTCTGTAGTGTATGATAAATAAATTGTACAACTTGATATTCATTCAAATGCTTAATTTTCTCGAAGCCTATCCTGGATAAAATAAACGTAGAAGTAATTGTTAGTAGATTGGACTGCTCCTATCTATTACCATTTAGTTCTGATTTAGATTATAAAACTTGGCTAACTAGCCAACTCATCACATGTTTCCTTCTTTAATCACCACTGTGTCTAGTCCTACTTTGTTTCGAGTAGTTTGTTGACTATTAAAGTGTGAAAATGATTTATTATCCAAATCTTACTATCGATCGAATTTCTCTAAAAAAGGCTCATCCCAGTTGAATATTTATAGTACATTCGTTGTTAATGTATTCATTTCCTTATTTTCTTCTCCACTGGAACAAATTTAAGATTTTTTAAATCACAATAAAAGTTTGTAGAAAGTGGAATGGTTTGAAGATAATTAGTTTAGAACATTTAAATAAAAATATAATTAAGAAGGAATGAAAATTATCGATTTTCTTGCTATCTAGGACGAAGAGATAATCTACTGAACTTTTCTCTATGAAGTAACATTTTCTTACTGATTATGAATACTTATATAGCTGACTCATTTTCTTGCAAACATGGAATTCTGTTTTGCAAACACATCTATGCAAGTAGATATAAGATAAATTAGCTTAGTTACAAATGGTTCATGCACATCTATACATTCGTTTTTTTTTCTTCTGCCAAATGTATTCAAAGTTACTGATACTACTTGTATGAAAATCAAACAGAAAACACTCAGAACCTTTAGTTCAATGATTGTAAATCAAGTGTTTTAATAACTAAGTTATTTCTCTACTATTTTTCTAAAATAATAATAACTTTTAATTAACGAGAAAAGGATTCATTATATCAATCAATATTTATTGTGAACAACAATTTCAAATCATTCATAAATCCATTGTTTTCACTGTAACCTCGTTAAGTAAATTATAAAAAAAAAACTGTCAACATTATAACATAGTTGTTCAACAATATAATAGTAGTATTTAGTTCTGACTTATTGAATGAAATAAATAACGACGTCTTTGAAAGGTTTAACAGTTGAATGAATCGTTTTTCTTTGTTTCTTGATTGACGATTTTTTTTTCAAAATCATCAATATTTATTTTCGATAACTTCATTTATCAAACATTATCGACATAAAGTATTAATATGTGTACTGTTGATTGTATAAATTTTTTTTTCATTTATTGGATTTATTCAACCGTACATGGTAAAAATGATTGATTGCAATAAGTTGATAAATTAAAATAGCTTATTTTTTCATCTGTTCGGAAACTTTTTTGAAAAAATGCAAAACAACTGATTATTTTCGAAAACATTAGGTAGTATGCTTCAAAAGTTGATAGTACTTGGGTTTTTATAAAGCCATTTGGCATTTCTCTGCAAAAAAAATATTCTTTACGTACATCATACAAGAATTTTCATCTGAGTTATGTTAATAGATCCCGACTAACTGGTTTGGCATTGAAGTACTAACTGAGATCAGTAGTTAAGGAAATTGAATGATATGACTCAGGATCAATCACAATAGCATATGCATTTACTCGTCTCACTCAAGACATTGAGCTCCTGTATTCCTTAACACGTACCGCTTTTCATTCTGTTTTCTTTAACTATGTTCTTAGAGTTTAGTCCTTTTCGTTATCCTTGCGAATAAATTATTTCAACTCATTTACTGTTCATCTTTTTACTTTCATCTCGTCGTGTTAATGTAATATGATAATTTGAATTAACACAAATTTTTTTACCTGATTCTTATGTCGATTGTGAATGACGTAGAGCATATGTTTGATGTTTTTATTTTAATTTTCAAACTTGGTAAAATGAAATAATGCAGTGCATCATGTCAAACGAATCGTATATGTCCTTAAGGCTGTAGATTATACGTTCTGCACGGAATAATACTTGATGAGCATGAAATCCAACTTTAAGGTTATTTCCATAAAAATATAAAGTACAAATATACATAATATTTAATCAGTCTATTCTAATTAACACGAATGACTATGGATCGTTTCATTTCTAATATGGTTTCGTGTTGAAAACATGAAATTATTTCATATATATATATATATATATATATATATATATATATATATATATATATATTGCCAGTTCCATTTTTCTTTGCTTTTTTTGTCACACACCATGCAAAAGGTTTTAGTTAGGTAGATGCATAAAATTTACTACAATCGTATTGTATATTTAGTTTCATTTGTGAGTTCCTTTTCATAATTTCTTTCTCATTATTGATTGAGTTTCTTTTTTGTTTTGCATAAATTAAAAATAAAACAACTTCACACTACTATTATTCCGTATTTGTTGAATGCTTATATAATATAATCGAATAAATTTTGATTGTTTTCATGAAAATTGCCTAGTCAGTTCACAATGTATATCAAATGTTTCGTAATACTTATCTTAAATAACTTAATCAACGTATACTTCATTTGACCAATTATGAATTCGTGTTTATTATTTTTCTTTTAATCAACAATTTGTACAGCGTTGATGTTTTTCAAACCACATACACACGTTTCACTACAGAATGACAAATGATCATCATGTGAAGAACAGCAAAATAAAACATGTTATAGTGATTTCAAGTTGGTACACTTGAAAAAAAATGCACCAGTGACAAGAAGATCGTAATAGTTTAAAACTACACAAAGAAGATTAAAGAGCAGTATATATTAGAAATAGAAATATGTAGTTGTAAAGTGAGGGAAAATATATAAAAATGAATCAATGTTTTGAATATTACTGTTTTAGTTTACTTTATTCGGAGGTCGAACAGCTAATAATTTCCGCTGCTTCGTATAAACTATTTAGTAAATTGTGATTTCATCTTATTTAATTTAGTCACTCCAGACTTTCACAGATTTCATTTATTCCATCCAACTAACAGGTGACTTTTTATGCAACACACAAACAGTTTTATTATCTAGTTTGGTATTTCATTAATTTTTGTCAATTAGTCTGCCTATAAATACCTGTATTCTTATTAGATGCTCCTGGTCAATAATGGACCTCTCAAAAACCTAATGTACCTTGCTGGTTAAGTACAGATTAGTACATTTATTTGACGGTTAGTGATACTACTCCATTGTTCAAACTGAAGTAGAATGAAGCGGTTTTTGAACATCCTACTTAGTGATTGAAAATTGTGTGCTTTATTTATTAAACCACCGCTTCGTGTATGAGCTAGAAAAATTCACATTTATATAAATTCCATAATCTTGCGATTACATGATACGGTGTATGTCAAGTGCATACACTATTTAATTCAGGGTAGAAAAAGTGTTAGCTATATTTAAACTAGCCTCAGTATTCCAAAGATAAATTAACGTTGTTAGATGTCTGTATATTGTATTATTGGATATTAATAAAGAGCGACTAAGTGTACGTTGGTTGTAAAGTTCTAGAATACAGCGGCTGAACTATTGATTCATTACTTTTTGTTAATGACATTAGTTAATTACAATAAATTCCAGTGAACGTAATTTTGCTTTTATTTTAATTTACATAACATGAAAAAGGCTATTTAACCGAAACGTACCTATTATGATGTGTATGTATGTATTTATTTATTTTTAAAGGTTTCCACCTCACTGAAAACTGATTTGACCAGTGACAGTAATATTGTTATCAGAAATTCTATACAAAAATCATCCAGTACGAACGAATCAAACTCTATTGGGGGAGATAAACTATCTTCCATTAATAACGATGATGTAGATATAATGACTGTGTCTGAACGAAATAGTCGTGTAGACGAAGAAAACATTAGTGGTTCTATTCAACCAGAAGATAATGAATATGAGGATGTTGACATTAATTTTAAACCAAAACAATCTAATCAAGAAATTAATCAGTTATTCACTGTCAAAATTAGGGCCAGGTTTGTTTTTCCCTCTTTGTTAGTTAGTTTTTCTATGTTTGATTTGGTAATTCTTTTTTTCCGTTATTATGTGTTCTTCTGTAACTTATCTTGCCGATTGTGTATGTTATTGGTGACTAATGAAATGGTATGTAAAATGCATAATCAATGCTCAAGTAATATGATATAGGATTTTATATATATATATATATATATATATATATATATATATATATATATATATATATATATATATATATATATATATCACTGTTGATTATATTGTTAGTTGACTTCAAAAAAAAACAAATGTATAGATTCACTGGTACATATAACCACTCTTATACTTTTTACTTCAATTAATGGATATTAATGGACGGAATTCATCAACTCATCTGCTCAACGTAGATTTTCTAAAGTTACAATAATAATTCACGTCCTGTATAGTGAACTCAGATTTTAATATATTGGTTAGTGATTGGTGACATTAAGTGATGATCACATTTGGTCGTAAATTCACCGAATAAATAGCTCAATGGTTATTGTGTTCGTTGCGAAATGAAAAAATCTTGTCTGTAATTGTACAGGCAACTATGCGTTGCTCACTAAACATTCAAGTCTGAAACTAAACCAAAACAGCTATTCGGTGCTGTCGGATTCTGAATTTGATATGAACTACTGATACAACTATCAGCTGTTGTCTATTAAGCTTGGTTTATTTGTTCTAAGAATTCTGTGGTTTTCTTGACCTATATATTCTAATGTTATTTGATTAGTTTGATATCAGAGGTTCACCTTAATGGAGTTATATTCATCTAATGAGTCATATGGATTGTCAGATGTAAATTGTTGATATGATTCTTAGCCAACAAGGAATCCTATGTGATTACATAAGATTTCAGAAGTAATCTATTAGACTAGTTTTCGATGCTAACAATACATTTAAATTACATTTCTGTAGATACTGGACATTAGTATCTTTTCCGATTTTACCTTCGAGTTCTTGTGTGAACCCTATCAAATCTTACATTGTTCTTGTTTGAATATTGAAAAAGCAGGCTAAAAATCATCAATCTAAAATACAATGGTGTCTTTCATAACTAACTTGTAAACATTTTATTACCAAGGTAATTGAGTTTTCTGACTCTTTCAAATTCTTGATAAAGAAAAGCCAATGAAAATTTTCAGTCTTGTGTAGAATAGGAAAAAAATATTTGTGATATATAAATGAATTCATTGTATTTCAAGTCATTCTATTAACTTCGAAAAAGCTAAATTTACGACGAATATTGAGGCTAGATTAAAAAGATTATCTCTTATACTTTAGGCAATGAAATTGAAATGGAAGTTCGAAACAAGACAGCAACATCCAAAAAAAATAGAGTAAAAACACTAACATTATACACTGTAGCTAAAGAAATTATAAACGGACGATTAATAATTAGTACTAATTACTGACATTAAGTGGTTGCATAAATAAATGACGTAACTGGGATAGAATTAACATACCGAGCGGAAATCTTTATTTTCGAAATCTCTGTCCATTAGTTTTACCCGTTGTTCAAAATCCCGAGTTGGAATTCGATAGGTAGTTTAAATTAATGATTGAGACCATGTTTACGTTTTCTTAGACAAACTGTCTCATTGTAGATAAAGTTTATTACTTATCTTATTCTTTCTACTTGTTTCTTTCCCATTTTTTTATTTTTTATCACCGTTTTCATCATCATTCCCTCCATATTGACTTATTATCCGTATTCTTTCCTGTACATTTTGTCAGTTTGAATCAATACGATGAGGTAGAACTGCCTTGTTTCTCGTTGTCTGTCATACGATGAGTTGTTTTCACCATTAGCCTTTCATGCATTGAACTTGTTACGTGGGCGTTTCCCTACTATCTTAACAGTTGAAAAATTCCAAAGTAAGGAGAAGCTACTTTCGATCTAAAAAGTTTGTCATGACATTTATCAAAGCAAATACATCAACTTCTCTCGTGCCTCATTCTCTTCGATCGTTTTATTATGTACTTGATTATAAATCATAAATTTATTTGTGCTCATCCTGGTACTAAGCATGCCTCATGTATTTTTTTGATAAAATATGTGTGAATGGTTTTCTTTGCACATTTTTCAGATGCTCAACACGAATTTTTGCAATCAGTTGTTTGCGTATCCTGATATCTAACTGTGCCAGATTGTGCAATACAACATTTGTAAATGATTCTCTTCCGTATATGAAAACATCTGTAAATGATGATGATACTACTGATGATTCGTTAATAAATTCAAAGTCACTCGCTCATTTTGATTTGGCTAAAGCTAGAATCCTACGTTCTCAATCGGGAAAATCCGATTGGCTTATTCTGTACCTGTCTGATTTAATTCGTGTAGCTTTCATGTCAGCCACATCGGATAGTGAACGACTTCGTATCACAGGTTTAAAACTTATGCAAGATGTTATTCAAAGATTTTCCCTAGTACCAGATCCAGACTATCCAGGTACTTTGTCTCACTATATTATTCGTTTTTGTTTTATTATCCATTTATGAGAATATTTTGTTCAATAAAATGACACCGAAGATGTTTCTCGTCATCATCTGACATCTATGAATCCTGGATTCTATGTAATATGTTATTTTAAGTGCACATTATTGAGAAGTTGAAAACTGAAAAGAAATCGTTAGTAGATGTTTCAGTAGTTTTAGTGGTTCTCCTATTAATGTCAATTCTTATTGTACACACTCTCAGCCACTATCTTCTCAATTGTAATGAGTGATGCAACTGTTGATTGGAAAATGAACAGTGTTTATTTCAGTTAACGTGAATCTGTTTGTTATTTCTTAGAAGTAAGAAATCTTAGTGGTGGTTTAAACTATGCAAAAGTCCAAAACCATTGATGCACAGCAGTATCCATTCTTTATTTCTCTCATGTTCACTTCCTTTCTTTGCTCTATTTTTTATTTCTCTTGCTTACTTTTCCCCTCAATACTGTTTTGGTAATATATATAAAGAGACTTTTTTAAACTTTTCAAACTGATTTCCAGTAATAACATTGATAATATTTAGTCGATTAACTTCCTAATTTAGGTACGATTACAGTCCAATAAGATCAAATGAAAAAATGACTTAATTTATTTATGCCTCAAACTTTTGATGCCCGACAATATTCTTAGAAAATAATTCATGTAAATATTAGCATAAAGTATTGTAAATTTTTCTTGACTGAAAACCAAAATGTTTCAATAGGATTCTTTTCAACTAATTGTTTTCTCATGAAACTATTTTCAGATCATGTTATTTTGGAACAGTATCAAGCTCAAGTTTCAGCTGCACTACGACCAGCGTTTATGAATAGTTCATTGTTAAATTCATTCGACAATATAACAGTTGCACAATCTTCAACTACCAATAATTCCGTATTATCTGGTCCAGTTCAACCTAATCCAGAACTGCTATCTATAGCATGTCAAGTGTGCAGTACATGGCTTACTTCTGGCGTTGGTCGTGATCCAGAAGATTTACGTCGTGTACAAGACCTTCTAAGACAAGCATTTGATAAATTAAAACTTAACATATGCACTGAAGATCACTCATCTAATGTGTCTGCACAAACTCAACGAGTAGAACCATCCCAATCGATATCGGAAAATTCTGCAATAGTTGAGAAACTATCTGTTTTAGCTGCTTGGGCTAAAGTTTACATTTTGACAGCTGGGCATAGTAAGAAATGGGAAAATAAATTACACCAAAAACAACAACACCTGATCACTAGTCAATCGTCTCAGGTCTTAGATGATGAACAATTGATGGATGATGAATCAGATGATATGATGAATGATGAAAGTGAAAATGACAATGATTCCGACTACAATATGATCATTAAAGGAATATCAATAGAAGATATCACATTATTCGGTTAGTTAAACTATTTTATTAATTATTTGTTTGTTTCTCTATCTAAAGTAACCTTTGTTAATAGACTATTTTTTGGATAATAAATATATAAAAAAAAAACCAGTTAATGGACAAATTCAAAATTATTCATCAAATCATTTGCCAATGAGAAATAATAAATTATGCTGTAAACAAGCTTTTGTTTGATTTGAATCCAACAATTGTACGTTTGTATATTTTTGTAAATGACTATATACATACCCTTTCACCTTTTGTTCTATTAGTTTCTTAACGAAGGGTATATTTCAATCAACTCCAAAAATAGTTAAATACAATAATCTATAAGTAACGAAACATTTTTGGTTTCCTATGTTGTATACGAGTTTGTAAAGCACTGGTTCTGTGCTTCAGATACTAGCATTCTCAAAATTTCATACAGTTTATTATTCCAGTTACACTTATTTCATGTTCTGTTCATGTTAGCTGGGCCATACCATCAGGTTGTGTCGTACACAAATACCAGAATCAGTGGTTCAAAAGTTGTCATATGGCTCAAAATCCCTAACAACTGCACAGATGCATCTACTCCCTATCTTACACTAGATCTTCAGTTCCAGTATTCCCTAATGAATAACTTTTTTATATTCTGTCTTCTCGAACTATATTCTCAATGCTTAGTCTTTCTCATCATCTTTGCAACTGTAGACTTTCATTCTATATTAGTTTTGTTAGTTCCATTTCATCGTGTTCATGTGGTATGGAAAGTTGGGTCAACGTATATATATTCTAGGGTCTACGTTGATTATAACTCTATGACTCTTGTTCTATAGTTAGGTGCTTTCTTGTCACTTATTATTAGAAACTGCTCATTAATCTTATTTTGAAATATATTTCCCCCACATAGTGACTTCAGTTGTTCACCTCATGAACTATAATTTGTATATCAAAAGGCTATACAGATATTTTAAAACTACAAATTAAATGTTTTCAATTTAACATGTGATCGATTTTAAAGTATAAGTTCCATCGTAGTTTTAAATTGTTTTTCAAAAAGAAATCATTTTTCGCGCTACAATCCTTTTTGAATTAGGACAGAATTATGTTGTTCTTACTTTTTCACGCAATACTTAATTTTGCGTTGTCTGAGTGTTTTTTTTTTGTATAAGTGAACCAGTTAGTTCCGCTTGTGCTATTTTTATATATAGGAACAGTGTACTGTGCAACACAGATGTTAGTTGATTTCAGTAATTTAAAACAATTATTCCTTTTCATGGGTTTTTAACAATCTGAAAAGTGTGTTTTATTTAATACAATACAACTGGTCGCACATTTACACGTCTACGGATTTTGTGTGTATACATTAAGAGATAGTATTTGGAAATATAAGAGATAGAGGTGGTATATGATAGAAAGAGTAGGAAATTGACTCACTGTTCAAGGGATCGTGCGGATTACCAGAACAGATATAAAGTGATAACTAGTTGGACACTTATGAAATCATAAAAACTCACTTTTAAAGCTTCTACCTGGAAATGTAAAACCAAATTTAAGGTCATCTCTTTTTTCTGTTTCAATCATGTTTGGCTGCTTAGCAATATGTTTGTTTACCCTATATACTTATCTGAGTTTGAAGTTATTTGGGTACATATTTTGTCATAGTAAACTACAAATCTCGGTATACACATAAACTCCATGTATGTATGTGTGTTAATGCCTGCGTACACATAAACTATTAAAATAAACAGTGTATAACGTACTCAGTGTTCAATGGGTAGATTAAGGTACTTATTTGTTTTAAAAATCTTTCTTGTTTATACAAATAGATACTAATGCCAAGTATTTCTGAGATATAAAAACAAAATGAATATAGAATTTAAAAAAAGTCTACAGTTGCAAGGATGATGAGAAAGACTAAGCATTGAGAATATAGTTCGAGAAGACAGAATATAAAAAAGTTATTCATTAGGGAATACTGGAACTGAAGATCTAGTGTAAGATAGGGAGTAGATGCATCTGTGCAGTTGTTAGGGATTTTGAGCCATATGACAACTTTTGTACCATCGATTCTGATTTTCACTTAGACCCCTGTAGTGAACGTTAAGTGAGATGGGGAGAACCAATTTATTATTGTTCAGTGCAAAACTACAGTGTCCTCGTAAAATATAAAAATCATACTTAAAATAAATCTTTTGCTTAGCTTCTTTGCGTTCTCCTTTACATGATCCATTAGTGCTCGAATTTTGTTGTTATTTCGATTTCTCTCCGATTTCTTTTCTGTTCCCTACATTCCAATCTTCTGCTGGCAGGCATTCCACTTCCGATTATTGTGCATACTACTTATAACTATCAGTCTAAGTAGCATACACCATATATCTTCCACACATATATACCACATATCTAGCTTGTTTGCGTATTTCTGCATGACTCAGACCAACAGTCAATAACTTCGTTTTCGTTTCGACCGAAGCCTTACTTTGTTCAAGATTAGTATGTGTTCTAGCATGCACTGAACTTAACAGCACACAATGGGGATCAATTGTAATTGTCTATTCGATTGATCCTATGGTTAAAAACCTCACGTGGATTCCTGAGTTTAAACATCTGAAATGAAGTGAGTAATAAATACATAGTAAACTGTTTTAAATCCATGCGCTGGTCGTAAGCCAATGACTGGTTTGTTTTCTTGAAAGAATATAGGAAATCCTTTTTTGCTAATGAATTACAAATTAAAAGTGATCAACTGTTTACACTGCTGTTGAGTTCCTGTTTCTCTTTTCAGTCAGTTTTAAAAGCTGTCCTACTCTAAAATAAATCTTAGATATTAAATTTACTATTTCTTCTATCCGTGCTGTTTTCTGCCTTTCTACTTTCAGTTCAGTCTAATATAATTTTGCTCGCTTCTTCTGACATTTTTATTCAATAGTTTTTCACATCATATAAACCTTTTTTTCATATAATAATAATTTCCAATCTTCCTTCTGAGTGCGAAGCAATCATCAACTATTCGAGTTCACAATGTACAGGTTTCAAGTAAATAATTGAATTATTTACTTTGCTTATTTTAATTGTTTTTCCTTATTTTCTGTGTCTGTCTATTTAATTTTTCAGTTTGTAAACCTGCTCCTTACCTTCAGTCGAGTAGTTGTTCTGCCGCATCAAGTAAATTTATCTACCATTTATTATCGAAATGGATTCAACCGATTCTCCCAAATTTAAGTAATGCTTGGTTAGATGCACTAAAAAATTATGCATATATGTGTCTACCAGATAATTTGTCAACTCAACACTCATCTATCTTACTATTCAATGTCAACAATAATTCTATTAATCATAATCTTGATCTAATACGTGGATATTATGCACGTTATTGGCCTTGTATGACATATGCATTAGCTTTATGGTTAACTAATAATGAATTATGTGTCGAAGAGATTGATACAAATTTATCAAAGAATGAAATGTCCAAATCAGCTCGACAATTCTTTTTAATTCTAGGTAAGTATTGATTTGTTATTGTATTTCTTTACTAGCGAAAAAGAGATGATTATTACTTTTAAGTGGTAAGAAAGGTACGAATTCAATTTTCGTTTATCAAGTGTAAATTTAGATATTTTGCTTTAAGTCAGGCTTTAATTCTCCGGGTACTAATAATACTGTTGCTTTACTAACCAAACCGTATTTTCTGTCTACTACATGAAGTTTTAAAGTCGAACTAGATATGTATTATTTTTTAAGCCGATGATATATTCATTTTTGAAAGACTTGAATATTTCCTGACAATTTTTATATAGTATGTTTTTCTCTGATTATTTAAATACAACTGTTTCATAACGAATTCTATTCAATTTACCCTGACCTAAATGTTCATATAAATAACTCAGGTAACTAGTGTAAGTTTATCTACTATTGGGTTTGTGAACTTCATTTAATTTTTAGGTGTTAACGTTCCTATTTCTAATAGTCAAATTAAGGATACTGTAACAAGATTTTTAAAAAAAATTAATTGTTTCAATCCACTAGCTTATAAAATCTTAAGAATTGTAGATTGAATCTTTTAGGTTATAGGATTTTTTTTATTTATCACTTAAATTCAATCCATTTCTATGTATGTGATTAGTTTCTTACTTTTATGTATTTTTCGTATAAATTATGTTGAATTTATATGAATAAAATAATACATTTGTAATATCCCAATGAGTAAAAATTTGAGTCTATGAAATTCCACGCCTTATTGTAAGTTGCTACTTCAGAAAATAAATAATTAACAGAACTGAATTAACATAAGTTTAAATAGACTATTAAAACAATACACCTAATAGTCAATTTATTCTCAATTATCAAATCAAACTTTGGCAATGATACTTCTGAACTTACGCTGAATATAGTTACGGTTTCTTATTTGAATATTAATCTTTATGTCCTCTTCAGTTATCTGAATGAATGAAAGAAAGATCAGTCTTACATGATCACAGAGCCTCCAAATAAGACCTCATTGGAGCTGGTGCTATATAGTGTTTTCAGATACATGAACTGTCCGAGAGTTTGTTCTGTCCGTTATTTAATAGACCTTACTGACAGCAAAAAAAGCTATGTGGTTGAATAGATGTGTGACTTTTGTCTTGATCTACACTGACTCGTTTTTTCCAGAAAAGGAAATCAGCATCAGTGAAATCACTGATCGCTGAATAAAATATTTCACTGCTGTCACATCTAGGTAGCTGTACTTGTTCGCCTTTCTTTTAACAATCTAATCACTTTCTAGCAGGTTTTTGTGATATAATTATAGCACCTTGAGTTAACACAGATCCCAGACAATATAGTTTAATATAATTTTTTTCTTTAAACCTACTATACCGGTATTCTCGATGGCAATGGTGTTTGGTTGATTGCTTATTCATTATTGTTGTCTTACTATTTTTATCCATTAAAGGTATGTGTGCAGAAGCTATGTGTAATCCAACGTCCAAACAACCAATATCCATTATTCATACATGTTTGCGTTGTATTCTATGCCTATTGAGTAAGCCGAAATTTCGTGCTTATCTGATGCAATCATCAACAGAAATATCTATTGAACTATTACAAATATTACATCGGTAAGTTTGTCGTTTGATCATACCTCCCCTGGATTGCTTTAATTTGGTGTGTTACGACAAAAATTATCGACTTCTATGACGTTATCCCTGTGCTAAACTGATGACACGTCAACCAGCACTAGTAGCCTTGAGTCAACTCCGTATCCTTATTAGTTCTCAATATAGTATGAATAATATATTTCAGACTTACATAGTTTATATACTAGCAAACCAGACTGTACCATACCATAAAATAAAAAAATGATACTTATGAAAGATCAATTCCAAAAGTCGCTGTGAGTATAGAATACTGTAACTAATAGATTTGGAATAAATTAAGAATTAAAAATCATATAATAGTAGTTAATGGGATAAATGAAAGCTTATGACAAAATGAATATAAATATACATGATCTAGTTACTATATATATACATATATATATATATATATATATATATAACTGTGGGATGTGGCCCCCTAAGAAAACTACCTGCTTCGGTTTGGGCACCCGGGCTGTGTCCTAGCTCTCACACAAGTCGAATGATTTATGTGGCGCATATCTATTTGGTGCCTTCTTGTACCTATGTTTATATGTTTAAATAAATAAAATTTAACAGTCCATAGATAATTCCCGGAAGTTAGCGTTCAATTGGTGTTCTTCGGACATGTCAGGAATAAGTTACGTTTTTGTTGACTCCCTGTTATTTTATTTGAAATTTTATATAAGATTCCCTTCATTCTTTGTGGAATTTATAGAGGCACTGTTAGAATTATAACAGGACGGTTTATTACTCAGTTATCCCAGCTGTTACTGACTCTCTATGAGATAATAGGTTATGGATAGATCTGTCATTCGTTCTGCGAGCATTTTACACTATTTGATCAATGACAATGTTTCAGTCATCACAGCACCATACACCTACTGGTAACTAGTCAATCAACTTTTTCTGTTTTTACTAATAAAGGTTTTAAAAATTTTTTGTTTACTTAAGGAACCGTAATAATTGTTTAAAATGGATATGCTTTGAGATTGATAGGTAAATTGTGTGCATTTACATGATTCAACTTTATACACTAAGGACTGATCACTGATTATGCGCTGGAAATTACGCATATTGTCAAGTCATTGATTTTGTACAGTTTGTTGGCCAGATTGTTATAGCTAAGCATATTATGTAACTCTTCAAACTTGTCGTATAACAAAGCATACGTGGTCGGATAGGTAAGAATGTTAAATGATTTCCAGAAGAATAAGTTTAATTACAATAGGCTTTCTTAGCTACAGACTTTGTACAGTGCACAAGTCTACAATATTGCAGTTTACAACCACCGATGCCATATCGCATGAGCTGACGACAGTTTACTGTTCGATGATTAGTTTTTAAGCAATTAAAACGCAACTTACACATCTAGAGAACGTCTACTCTTTCGATGTTATTAGCTGTTAATAACTGTGAATAGAGATGGACACATTGTCAGCGTTTGAGCGAAATCGACAATGTATGTCTTCACATCTCGATAATATGTGGACATTAAGTCGTATCGAAGTCGTGTTGTTTTCCGACGGTGTTTGAAGCTAGTAATTTTCGTCAGCTAGTTGACTATCAGTGTTTATAATAGACGACACTATTCCTTCAAAAACACTAGTAAGTTGTAGATTTTTAGGTCGATTCCTTTCTTCAAGATGCCTTCTTCCACTCAAATTGTATGTTTTGTGATAGCTTCTATACCACTCGTTTTTTATTTGGTTATGCAAACAAACTAACACTTGTTTTATTATACAGACCCTCAAACTCATACTTATCTTACAAATCCAGTGTTCAAGAATACACTTGACATATATATGTGTACATATTCAATGTATATAAATATATATAAAATGAATAGTATCACAATATTGCATCTTGGTCAAACACACTAATCTGATGGCCTTAAAATATCAATAGTTGTAGAATTCTGTAGACAATAGTAATTTTAAAAATATACTTTACCAATATATACAACTGCCATATTATGAGCAAGTTGTTAATGTATTCATTCCTTTTTGTAAATATTTTTAGTATATTTTCCTTAAAAATATCTTGTTTTTGTTTTTCAAATAAAATTTATTTCTAGACTTATACTTACTCGTGATTGTGTAGAAACACATTTATTATGCTTAGCCAATGTGATTCATATCATGATTGCTAGTAATGAACGTTTAATTAAAGAACGTGATAATTGGTTAACTAAAGGTAATGTTAAGATGAAACAATAATAACTTTTTTCTTTACACTAATTTTAGAGTCATTTCATTGAATCATTTTATAAGAAGTTGGCATTATATAGGTGGTAGATTGAGGTTGTTTAGGTATGAGAAGTAACTGTACTTAAGATGGAACGGTAAATGAGACCATAGAGATAATGAACGGTATTGATGGAAGTCGAATACGTACATCTTCAGCTTACACTTCCTTGTCCACGTCAGAAATATATATATATATATATATATTGATATGTGGGCGAGAATGATATATTGGTTGTCTCCTTAGTCAGACATATAGATACTCTGACAGGTGTCAGATGAGTTATATATTCCCCTATCCTTATAATTATTATTGATTGATTGTTCATTGTTGTTGGATTGTGTCGGGCTTTTGGCGTTGAAATATATTTACATTGTGGTTAGGCTAATCACGTGTTCTTGATCTGAGTTATGTTGAAGTCCTGTAGAATAGACACTGAGAGGAAATCTAGTGTAGATAACCGTTTAAGGTAAATTAACGTCCCATACGTGTAAACGTGGAAAACCAACCGTTATAACATATATATTAATAATTTGCGTACAGATTTATCCCATTTTTCTATTTGAAATTTCCTAGACAATTAGATTGTACATGATTTAAAATCTTAACATTTTTCATTCTTTTTCCATTATGAATGAACTAGGTTTATGTTCAATGCTCACAAGTATATACCTATGTGCAATCTTCATATGGAACTATAAACCCTCTAACTTTTTTTATAGTTTGCTTATACCTATTCATTATAGTTTATATCTTGAATTTAATGTATAACTGTCACGTTGTTTAATGTAATGTTGTTGAGAAAATCTGACTATAGGCTATAAACTCACGAATAATATCATGTTAGAATATACTATAAATATATCAGGAAAAAGTATATTATTGTTCAAGATGATGTTCATGTTGTAATCTGGTGGATGATAAGTTAAAACTGTCAAAGTTTTGAACTATGTATCCTGAAATGACGGGATGAAAAGTCAAAATTAAATTGATTTCCTCATTATGATTCTTATTCAATGTTAATTCCGTTTTAATTCAATGTGATGATTAATCAATATTTATTTCTGTTCCCGTATGACATTTTATTTCTGTATAACATACGATATTCTTGTATTCAATTGACATGAACTATGCTCAACATGTAATTTGTTATAACTAAGTACTTTTCATATATGTGATTTCACCCTAATTATTAATTAAAACTAAGTGTATGAATCAATATATAAATGAGTGTATTTCCGACTAGATTTGTCGTGGTTATTCGTGCTTCTGGCTGTTTGTGGAATATATTTCCTTCTTCTGAACTTGGACTTCTCTCTCTAGTTGGCAGGTCTAAGACGCGTCAGAATAGCTAGCTTATCTGTTATTGTGTCACGGAGTTTTCGTTTCGTTTTCAGATTATTAAACTCGTAATTGCTTCAAACATAGCATATCCCCGAATTGTTTCACTAATATTTACAAATTTTGTCAGTGTAAATACAATAAAATAATAACTTTTCAAAAAAATCTTGACAAAGTATGAGAAAAGCGAAACTACTACAGAAAAAGATTAATTCCTTAAAGTTTGGTGATTTTTTAAATAATTTTTCATCTTTAACACCACGACACATTAGTAGCATACTACAGGGACGGGTTTAAAACAACCTCCGCGAATTTTCAGGTACTTTTTAACCAATCTACAAAACCGCTTTCGTAAATGTATTGTACATGCAAAAGAAAATAACACTATTGCAAAGATTAAACAGATTTTACATATTAAATGACTCCGTTGATGTCTTCGACAGATTACTCTACCTGTAAACTACACAAACAACATGTAAACTCGTCATTATAGATATACATCATGTGTCTTCTCAATTCTGATTGGCTAGTCCCTATATTATGCTCATACCCGCCTAACTGGACAAGACAGTATGATTTCAAACAATTCTTTTGTCTCTTATAATTTATATATGTGTTTCACTTTGTTTATAAACTATGGAGTCTTCTGTATGTAAGGTTGTTAGGCTGGCATTACTTTTTTTAGGTCTTTTGGAATTTATGGCGATTATTGCTTGTTGAATATTTAAGCTATTGTCTTATAATTTTTCACTTGTCTTCTCATGATTAACTCTTAAGAGTGATATTTATTTTCTTGCTTAGTATTAATAAGGAATAATATATAGTAGATGTATTTCACTCATCAATCATTTTGTTATCATGAAAGAGGTGAGATGTTAGCTGAATATGTATTATCAGTTCAAGTCCTCTTACACCTAAGCCATTTACTGTTCATACCATATCCCTACATTATCAATAATTGATTGATCTTGAAATTAAATGGATGATATTTCTCTCATTTGATTGTACTGTGTTCTCTGAGTTATGCGATTTGAATGAAAAGCATTCATAGTAATTCTGGACAAGATCATGTTCTCCTGTTTCATGAATGACGCTGAATGCTTCGCAATTAAATCTTCTCGCTCAAAGAACACAATACCACCAGTAACATTCTCCTGAGTTGTGTAAATCCACTACATCATTTCAAAACAGCGTTCCGCTGTTCTGAATTTTTATCAAGTACACATTGGTTTCAGTATTAGATTGGCATTTTTAAAAAAATTCTTACCTAAAATACTCAATTCATTATGATTGTTTCCTTTTTATCTCTTACAGAATCAACACAGAATGCATCTAGTATGTTTATTTCACCAGAATCACAAAATCCGAAAAATAATTGTATGACATCAAGTACAATGTTACAAACTACTGGTCTAATTGACACTCAATTATATGAACATGGTGATGGAGGCTATTTGTCAAAATTTTTTGATCGTATCACTAATAATTCTAATATGGACTATGATGAATTTAATAAAACATCGATTAGCTGTCAAATGAATAATGGTATATATGGAGAGAAAACATTTGCTGGTTTACATCCTGAAAGATCAATTGTATTTACATGCTTAGAAATTGTTGTCTGTATAGTGGCACGCTATCAATCACAAATTGTCAAACAATTTCCTCTTTCCAATACTAAAGATGATGTTGAATGTAAAAGTAAGTTATGTTATCGTATTTTTTTTTAGAAAAAATTACAAATTAGTTATTTTTCATCAATTGAAGATGTATTAAAAGTTATTGTTGCAGTTAAAGCGTAGCTAACTGTGGAATCTAAGACGCGCTTTTTATCCAATCTTGCACTCGTCAACTGGATGTAATTTCTTTTCAGTATCGATGTTCACACACAACTGTTTAAGAGCTAGTTTAAATCGGTGGATATCAACTAATTCTTCCTAGTTTGAAATTTTTAGCATTGTGCACACATCTTAAACAACTGTCAAAACCAGTTAACATGGATGAGAGTGATTATCAATGTCATTCAACTACTATATCGAATTTCATATTGCATGGAATTACTTACATTGTTCATGATTATTTGTGTGTGAGTATCATAAATACACAGTTAACGACCGCTCCCTTTTTCGACATTGGGTTTAGTATATTGGAATATATCTATTCTACTGTCTGTTTACTGTTATGGATTTTCTCAGTAGATCAACTTCAATCCCATATTTTACTTATTTAGACTTTTAAATAAATACTTATCACTTTATATATATATCTACCCCATTGTTCTTCCAAACGATTTATTAAATACAGTAGGTTGAAACGTAAATCTTCGTCTAACTTTATTTCTTTTAAACAAGAAATTTAAACTACAACTGAATGAAGTCGTGTATACACTGTCCTACTAGTCAATGTGCTAGTCTTATTCCGAATAGTACTCTTAGAAAAACGTATCTTTCCCCATTCTAGCAGTTTTTGCTTTTGCAATGTTTTCGCATAAACTTTGATGAATATTTGGTTATTTATTCCCTGAAGAGGTGGCTCACACTGAGTCACGAAACGTCAGAAAATCTAATTTTTCTACTCAATCAGATATTACAAATATATTAATTTATTTTGATGAATACTCTTCATTTTCCTTCATGATAACTTTTGATGCATGTTTTTCATATTGGTAAAAATAAACAAGTGTATTACGATATGTTGGCTAGAACTGGGAGAAAAGCTTATAAATTGAATAATAATTGAAGTGAAGTTTGAACACAATTCATTTCTGTATATCGTTACAGCTGAAATAATAAGGCTCTGAACCTTTGCCGTTGAGGCCACAGGTCAATACAAGTGTATTACGATGTAACTCTTTGAACTTCTATCATTGTCTTAGTAAACAAATATTATGAGCAGTTTTAGTTTTGTAACTTTTGATTACTATACACTTAGGTTAGAGCCCACAATAATTGAACCAAATCTTATTTTAACTCCTCTCTTCTATAATTATGTATTATTTATGTGAGAATAGTACATCATTTATGGATATATTTTCTTGTTATTTCTTATTTCAAGATCATATTATTCCAGAGACAACATGCGCCTCCGATGTAAATGCTCCACTTGTTCTAGCAACAGCTTTGAAATGTTTAATCCCATTAATTGATCTATGCGCTCCAAGAACTCTTTTAAGCACATTAAGACTTGCTAAACAGAATCAAAATTTTCAATCAAATGATTGTGTGAATAGTAATATTAATGTTGAAAGTGAGATTAATCATCCAAATACATCTCAAGCATCAATACATCAACAAGAATGCTTATTGCCAATTCTATTAGATTTATCTAAAGAAATAGCAAAGGTTAGTTGTGTATCTTTCTTTTTCTTTTAAAAATAAATCCCATTTAAATTTATTCATGGATTTTTTATAGTATAACTTCATGTATGATGATTAGTTACGTTCAGAAGATTATTGATAAGGTGTGTCGATGATCGACTAACTTATCTAGCCATTCAAAGAATCAGTAGACCTCTGAATTTTTCCTAATCATAAATTACATTGATTGATCGGACAAAAGTGATTGATTAGTGTGAATTTTGTAGTCATGCAGACGGTCAAATGTAAATCGGACAGATCAATGAGAATGTCTCTGTCTGTGACATTGAGTGGCATTAGTTCAAACCTCACAAGGTGCATGAATTCCTTTTGATCGCTTCCAAGAGCCATTGATTAGAAGTAGATCGATTAACTAATCTTGGAAAAAACGTTTTGCATCAATGTCATTACAACCGTGATGTATCAGTTTTTTTTCATATTTATTTGTCGTGTTGGATGCTTGAAAATGACTCATATTCTATTGACGGGTGTTATGTCAGTTCGTCATCTGATTATTGACTAAATTGAATAGTTGTAATTATATGTTTCACGGTGCTAACATGCTTGTTCCTTAAAGCTTCTGGACTTTGGTTTCGATAAAATTTTAGGTAAAATTTATTATGAAGAACTAATCAGAGTCGATAACACGGCCTTTACGCTTTTGTGGTAAATTCAAAAATCATGTTAAACAAGGAGTTCAAATACATTTACATACTGCCCATTGTGATCGATTATGTGCCATGTCAAACAGAGTCTCCAACCATTGGTTACGATAGTCACGCGGACCCCAACCAAGTAGTCCGCATCTCCCAACATGGCTCAGACTAGAAGTTAGTGTCTTCAAGGACTGATGCCACGTTTTGGTCTGGCCGCCACTAACTTTCTTCCAACCATCTCCAACACTAGTCAACATTGCACGTCGTGGTAGTCGGTGTTCAGGCATACGTAACACGTGGCCCAACCATCTCAGTCGATGAAGATTTACAACCTCATCAAGTGATTGACCAACATTCCCTAATACCTTGTGTCTAACCTCACTATTACTTACTTAGTGATCCCAGCAGATGCGAGATATATTTGTAAGGCATTTGTGGTCAAATACTAGTAACTTACAAGTATCTTCTACTCTCAATCGCCACGTTTCGAGTAATCTGTTGAAGATATCAACGAATTCATTTATATGTAAAATCTGTTTAATCTTTGTGATAATGTTATTTTCTCTTGCATGTACATAACATTTATGAAAGCGGTTTTTAGATTGGTTAAAAAGTGCCTGAAAATTCATAAAGGTTGTTTTAAACTCGTTCCCACATAAATTATCCTTTACCAAATGTTCTTCTATATATTTTTTAAAAAGTTGTTCTTATGACTTTATATTTTTACCGACTTATAAGATTATAGTTTTTTTAATTGTTTTACAGAGTATATTAATAAAACCAATTCAATGTTCGAATGTGAAAAATAATTTTGCCAATAATCCATTACAAACAAATAAATCAAACGAGATCTACGGTGTTAATAATAAAAACAGCAGTTATACTAATAATAATAGTAATAATAATAATCTATCCATATTGAAACCATATGATCTAACATGTCAATCATCGAATTTATTCACTTCATATTTGATTGGTGAAGATGAAACAGAAATCTCATCAACAACAACTAATTTATCTGTATGCGCTGTTAATGAACTATTAACATCAGTGAAATCATGTCAACAATATCGTTTTATTAATCAATTCATTGGTTGGACTGAACAATCAGCTGAATTAGCTGAAGTTTATATTTCATTATTGAATAAATTGGCTGTGCATCATTATCCTGCTTTATCAGCCAATTCACCTAATCAAGATTTAAATGTGAATAAATATTCGGTGCATTTATCACAAACAGCTGAAATTCAACCGGATAGTAGTAGTATTTCTAGTGTAAAAGAACAATGTAATAATTCAATTAATTCTAATGTCAGTCAATCTTCAACGATGGATATTATAAATGAGAATACAGTGTTAAATGCGTTCACTGAATGGTATCATTTAATTTCAGTTAGTCTATTATCAATCCTACGTCATGAACATGATAATGAAACAGGAGTAAGTTTAGTGCAAAGTTATTTCTTTTTATGAATTCTGCTGATTTGTATCACTATAAAAGGTTATTGGTTCTATTCAAATTCTCACAGGATGTAATAAAATGTAAAAGATGGCTCACTAAACAATCGATCTCTGTAAATGTTTTTAAAATATTCTTTAATACTTCATATTCACACTGTTGTTTAATCTTATTGGGTCAACAAATAGTCAGTTGGTAATTTTTGTGTAGAATGTAGTCCAATATGAAACTCGAAGGTTATCTGCGAAACAAATCTTTAGCTATGTCGTACATTACCTTAAAATCATGAGTTTTTTTGTAGATGTGCTAAATTTTCATTATCAATTCAATTCGAAATTTCCTTGAAAAAAACTCTCCGTTTATGTACCATCTGTTTATCAACATCGCCTTAAACTATTCACACAGACCAGTACTCACGCATATGTATGCATAAATTTATGTTTATCTATTCAACATATAATGCATATCTGGTTCAGAGGCTTTATTAATACATGGTACAGTTTTTATAAATTCATGTGTGTAGACCGATGATTTATTGTGACTTTAAGATGGATATCTATACTGTTACTATGCTCACGACGAGAAGAAATATTATTAGCTCACTAAAAGTTGAATTGTTTTATTTTCACGTATTTTCCCCAATATTTATTTACCAATTTTTCATCATTTATGGCAGGTGTATATTCTTATCTGTAGTATTATGTGAGAACTAACATTGAATCAGTGCTGCATGGAGAGATACATTAAAGTTAATTCATTCATTTATTCAATAACTGATGCAGAAAATTAGTGTTTTATTCAGATATATTGTTTATAAGTTTATGTTTTTTTAATCTCTATATAGTGTAAATTTAACTAACTGATGACTGTTTGCTCGATCGGTTGATGAATTGTTATTTTATTTTCCTTTTTTTTGTTGGTAAATTATTCTTTTTCTCACGTTATACGTCATTGTGCAACTCATTTCTTTTAACTCATGTTATTGTCATCATTACAGTAAAGATTAAAAAAGTTGTTATATTCGGGTCGTCGTAATTGTTGTGCCGGAAAAAGCGCTGATCACTTATACTAGGAACAAGGGACCCCTGCAATTCCCACGATGCGAAGTAAGAACACAAAGACTGGCATAAGTAAAGATTTATTAACCCCAAAACACGACGACGACAAATCTTGTCGAAAATACACTCATTTACATATTGATTGTACACCCATTTTGATTAATAATTAGAATGTAATCACATATATGAAAAATACTTAGTTATAACAAATCACAGATTGAGTATAGTTCATGTCAATGGGATACAAGAATATCGTATATTATACAGAATAAAATATCACACTGGAAAACAGAAACAAATACTACATTGAGTAATCATTACATTGAATCAAAACGGAAGTAACATTGAATAAAACTCATAATGAGTAAATCGATCGAAAATTGATTTTTCTTTCCATCATATCAAAAGTACAGCTATTTTGAATGTGGTTTTCGAAAATAATCACCGACTGATAAGAGAACCTTTAAAAATCTATAAAGTAGTTGATAGCTGTTCTGTCCTCGTCTGAGCCTCCTCAAAACTGAACATAAATGACCTCTTAGGTAATGGAACCAAACGGTGGTGGTTAATTTTATGCTAGGAAAGCACAATTCACTGATTTACATTTGTAACTTTAGTCAATCAGCAATATGATGTCACCAGCTATGGGAACCAGACTGACACGTAATGTTGTCGATCGTATCAGTTACATCTATACGTTTAAAGCTCCAACTGTCCTTCATATATTATTAATCCATAATTAAATTTACCTTCAGAATCAAACGAATGTTAGTGTTTATATTTGTATATTCAAGTTTACTCTACAGACTTTCATGTGTATCATAAATGTATTTTAGACTATTTGAATTAGAACTCCGTTTTGTATTTGTATATAATTATATTCAACAATTTATAAAATGTTTGTGATTATTTCGAACTGATAAGTGGGTCTCTTTTGGCTAAATATTTTTCATATATTATCTTTTCTGACCATATACAGGTTGGTAATTCTTCACTACCTAAATGTTGTCTAGCATCAGCTTATCTAGTCAGCCGTATATGTGCCAAGTGTCCTATTCAAATTTTTAAATCAACAAATTTAGTCAATGAGCTTTCAGAACTGCTTTGTCGTGGATGGTATTTATCTCCAATTTCTGACAATCAATCAAATGGTGTAATGAATAAAGATGCTAATTCATTGGAAAATCCATTAATGGATATTTCTAAATTATTTGAATCGAAGCTTTTGCAAAATCGAATAATATGCTTAAGATCATTTGGATTGTTATGCAATCATCATGAATCTTCAATTAGATCATTGTTTATCAAAACATTAACTCCTCAAGTAAGCAAGTATTTTTCACTGAATTATTTCGCATTTTTATATGTAACTGAACATTTGTTATGTTTACAGCATACTACTGTTGGCCTAATAGTAGTCAAAAGTAGTTTGCTACTTTGAAAGTTTTCAAAATAATTATTACGACTTATTTTAATTTCATATTGCAAAATTTCAGGTCGATAAGATTCTACAAACTCAGTTACTGTATATGTTTACTTATTTGCCTTAACATAAAATAATACACTAAATTAATTTAACTAGGAAAAAAAAGTTATTTTTTCTGGAATTTAAAAGTGATATCTAAGAAAAAATAAAGGTATTAAATGTTAGTCAGTCATCATGAACACAGAACCGGGCACAAATGTGCGTTGGTCCACGTTTGCATATCAAATTAGCAGGACGAAATGAATATAGTAAGATGATTTGCAAAAACAATTAAAATAATGCAGTAGCGATGATAATGAAAAAAGACAGCAGTGTGAATCGGGTTGCAAAAAAACACAACATATAAATGTATGGAGCGATAGAGAGGGAATGCGACTACGCTGCTGAATAATGTTGATCTATTTCACCAATCGTTTCCAACCGTCGATCACCGTTATTCCAAGGACTCCAATCAGGTTGTTTGCATCTACCAACTTGGCTCAGACTAATAATCAACAATTTCATAAACTGATGCTGTATCTTGGTTTGAGCACCCCAATCTTTCATCCAAATTACTTCTACCACCAGCTAGCATTCCATACCAAGATACGAATGCGTATCACATTGCCCAACTACATCGATCAATAAAGATTTATAACCCAGTCAGTCGAATTCTCACCTCTACCTAGTACCCTTTGCTTAACTTCAAATATTGCTTGGTTGATCGTTTCACGAACCAGAGCTATCCCTCAAAATTCTGCAAGCTAAACATATTTCCTATTCTCTAAAACTATAATTTACAGCTAGAAATTAATACTATAGGTCATGTGTCACTTTCAGATTGAATCATTACGTAGTTCGTTGATAGATTTAGTGTTTCTAGTAGCCTCCAAAGTGCCAAGGCCCCCTTTATTTCCTCTACACAAATTAACCTTAAAGTAAGGCTTTGTTCTCATAATCCTATTTTCTCTTTACTGTTCAGCGGTCACATATGGTATTCTGGGGGACTAGTAAGCAGTTATGAACTCACTATCAAGCGTTCAGATATATATGTAATGTAATATATTTTCGTAATGATTTTATTTAATGACTCAGCAATTCTTCTATGTTTTAGGTATTTCATTGGTTATATGATCTAACTAATATTGTTGAAATGTATTCATCTAAACAACAACAACAACAAGAAAAGTTAAATACATCATCTGATTTATTCAATATCCAAATTAATCTAAATGAACTTGCTTTATGTTTAAATGAAGCATTTGATTTACTTACTTCAATAATTCGTATCGTTGAAAGTTCAAATCGTCAAGCTTTATTATTAATTTATTTACCATTATTATGTAATCTACTTACAAATGAATCATCTGTTATATTAAACCGGTTAAATTATAAAAATAATATTATTTCTATTACAAATTCATTAGATTTAATTTATTTCATACATATTATTACATTAAAACATATTATAACAATAGCTCCATGTTTTCCAAATGAATTTCGTTCAACGTTTCAACTACTTAATGATTTTAAATTACGTTTAGAAAATGCAATGAAATTCTCTACTCCATTAATTACTACTACTACTACTAATAATAATAATAATACCAATCATGATTATAATCATTCGAAATATCAATTAACCAATAATATCCCATTCATTCATAACAATCAAACAATTCCGAAACATAATCCTCAATCGAATTTATCATCAATTAAATTGAAAACAGATTTCAGTAATTATACATAAATCAATAATGATAACTATCATCACGTTTATAATATAATATAGTTATTCAACTTCGTTATAAACTTAATTATAAGTCAATATCTATCATTTGTATGTATTTATATGATCTCAAATGATGATCGTTTCATTTTGTTTTTGTCTTATTTGTTTAATTTATATTCTTCTAGCTTTGTTACTTCTTCTGTCATAGAAATAGTTGTTAAGTTCTTTGATATAATTATCACTTATAATAGTGATTCTTATGATTGATATTAATTGATATGCATTTTATCCGGTTAAATTATATTGCCTTCTCTTCCACCTTTTTTTAAAAACATTTTTGCTTTCTTCCTTTCTTTCTTCTAACGTTTGTTCTCTATCTTCAATGAATTTGTCTACAATCATTATTGAATGTAAGAAGTGAAAACAACGAATCTATATTGATTGAATTAGGTTTATTGTTGTTAATGTTGACTGGATCACCTCATTTATTATCTCAGTATAATTTTAATTTATGAGTATTATTATTATTATTTGGTCAATAATGTGACGGAAAAGAAATATATCTTTCTGAAATATTTCTAATTTAATGGATTATTTCACGTTGGATGATGCCCACAATTATATGTGGTCTTCCCTATGGTATAATACACATAAAATTTGTGTATACTATGTGTTTTCATTGTCTTTCGCTAAAAGCAGAAAAAAGTACATCACATCATCATGTGAACTTTATGTATTTCAAAATTCTTTGTGTAAACATTTGACTGGCTGTATGTATAGTAACTTTTCTCTTATTGTGATAATTATTTAGATTGTTATTGCTTTTATTGTCGGTGTTGTTGTTGCTGTTGTTAAGAGAAGTTTGCGTTTTGGCTTTTCGTTTATTTATTTGTTTATTTTTTTTTACATTTAAGTGTACTGATGATATTTATTCAGTGTCGAATCTGTCTTCTTTCACTGAATGTTAGAAACTTACGTGAAAACATTATAGGTTCTTATTTCTGTCATAATGCATTATATAATATGAAAAAAAAATTTTATTTTAATGATATTCATCCTCTTATTTGCTGTGTATTGACAAATCATAACGATGAAGTGTTGTGTTGAACAAATATGGATATTTATTTATTCTTATCTACAAAATATTGTTTTAATTTTCACCAGGTTATAGATTTCATGTCAATCAGTGGAAGGTAATTAGTAGTAGGAAGCAATGCATCTAAGATTTGTCCTTGTTGATACTCGTCGGCAAAGTGTATTTGCAATGTTGAACAAAACGATGGTTGTCCTGAAATTTGTAACCACAAAAAGAAATGAATACGGAAATAGATTATAATTTCCACGTATGACTTCTCCATGATGTTAATATATAATTTCACCCGGTTAACTCCTAAGAGAATTTGTTAATAAGGATTTTTTAGATGATTAGTTGGCTATGAAACTATTTGTGACGAGTATCCAGAAAGGACCACCTCAGGGTTGAAAATAATAGTAAAGAATACATTCACATCTGTTCGCTCTGTTTTACTTCTTTTCATGGCTTTGTTGATTTCTTTCTCATATGGCCACTGCATACAGTATGGCAGCTTGAACTTGGACATTACTACATACAGTTCGATACTATCGTCTGCGAATTAGAACGACTACGCATGATATCGTATCATTTTTTCTACTGCTTCTGCTCTGTTCATGTAATGGTCGGGCTTGCCTGTTGTGACGAATTAATTGTGCTATATTTTCTGTAGCAATCGTACCTCAGGATTCTACCATGCCAGGTAGATCGGTTGAAGAACGGCAAAACTAAAAGAAAAAACTCAAGGTCCGAGGACGAAGTCGTACTACTGACTGTAGAGAGGTGCGTCGGCATTAAAGTGTTTCCCTCAGACAACCAGCATAACAGCGATGCTGCCTTCTCTAGAATCTAATACCGTTGATGTATCCTATGTCTGAAACTCGCATAAGCTGTAATCAGAAAAATTAGGGTTTGAAGATGATATTCAAGGACTATAATCCAGTGAAATAAATTTGGAAAGAGAAAAAAGAAAGGGACATGAAGAATTCAGAAGATTAGAATTTGGGAGAACACAAAGAATCGATGCACCTGAGCCATTGCAAACGATTTTGAGCTATGTCATTCAAGGTCTCTAACCATCGGTTGCTTTCATCTCGCGGTCCCCAACCAGGTAGTCTACACCTACCAACATGACTCAGTCCACTTGTCAGTGACTTAATGAACTTGTGCCATGTTTTGGTCTGGCCGCCCCTAGCTTTCTTCCAACCTACTCCTATACCACTGAACATAGCACGACGAGGTAGTCGGTCGTTGGGCATACGTAACATGTGTCCAAGCCATCTCAACTGATGAAGTTTCACTACGTCATCAATTGATTTGCCATCCTTACCTAGTACCTGTTTCCTAACAACTGCATTACTCGATGGTCCCATGATATACGAGCAATGTTTTGAAGACACCTATGATCGAATACCAGTAGCCTATGAATATCTTGTACTCTTACCGGCCATGTTTCACTGTCACAAAGTAGGACGGAACGAACTGCTGCGCGGTAAACACGTCCTTTGGTTGATAGACGGATATCTCGCCTGCGCCATAAATGACGCAAGTTGGTAAAAGCTAGTCGAGCCTTCTGTATTCGTGCTGAGATTTCGTCACACACCAGACCACAAGGGCTGATGAGACTTCCAAGATAAGTGAAGCGATCGACACACTCAACTACTTCACTCCCTATCACTAGTTCGGGTGTCGATGTAACTCAATCCTGAAGCAACATTTTGTATTTTGAGGGGGAGAATCGCATCCCGAACATGCTTGCATTGTTGCTTAGAGTGGTCAGAAGACTCTGCATTTTGTCAACGTCTTCACCAAATAAAACTATGTCATCGGCATATTCTAAGTCAACAAGTGAACCTCCCGGTAGAAGTTCAACCCCTGGAAATCTAGATGAGGAGAGTGTAATCTCTAAAAGTACGTCGACCACAAAGTTGAACAAGAATGGGGTGAGTGGACAGCCCTGACGAACACCACTTGAGGTAATCAATTCTGATGACAGTTCGCCATAAGCTCTCACTCGACCAGTTGTGTTCGAGTAGAGAGCCTTCATAAGGTTAATGTACTTCTTTGGTACTCCTTTCAGTGACAAACACTGCCATAGAACCTCACGATCAACAGAGTCGAATGCCGCCCTAAGGTCGAGAAACACTACGATTGTGGGGCGTCTGAACGTGTGTCTGTGTTCTAGAACCTGACGTAGTGTGAATATCTGATCTATACAACCACGTCCAGGTCGAAAACCAGCCTGATTTTCTCTACTCTGTTCTTCACGAGCTTTGGTTAGGCGTCGAAGTATTATTGAGGCTAATATTTTAGACACTATATTAGTCAAACTGATCCCTCTGTGATTGTCACAAGAGGACTTTTGTCCTTTCTTATAGACTGGCACAATTAGTGATTGAGACCAGTCAGATGGGATTACGTCCAGTTCCCAAATTCTACCTAAGACCTCAGTTAATCTCACTGCTAATACTGGACCACCATCCTTAAAAATCTCAGGAGTAAACCTGTCAGGGCCTGCTGCTCTCCCTCGTTTCAGATTTCCTATGGCTTTTTCAACTTCGTAAAGGGACGGAGGACTTACATTGACTTGCCATTCAGGTTGACTAGAGATCGTGGGAAACCGAAGTGTGGCTGAAGGCCAGTTGAACTGATCCCTAAAGTGTTCTGCCCAACGATTCAATCTCCTGGATTGAGAATGTATAATATGTCCATCTTTCTCTGAGATTGTATCGCTAACAGCCGGGTTCCTAATGCCGGTTTCATTAGCAAGTCTGAACAGTTGTCTGCTATTACCTATTGCCGCTGCCTTTTCTATCTCTCTTGCTTTCGCTACCCACCACTGTTCACGATCATTGCGTAGACTTCTTGTCAGCTTGCGCTTAAGTTGACTCCGCTCTTCATTATGTTCAGAGCCAGATGGAATGAGTTTCCGAGCATCTATCAGTGAGATAGATGCTGCTGAGATCCAGTGTATCTCCCTAACCTTACGGGTTACCTTACTGGCAGATATCACTGCTGTTTCCACAGCTTTTCGGATATCATTCCATGCTGCATCGGGGTGGGCATCACATACATGGCTGCCTAACTGTTTTCCTAGTTGTTCCTGAAATATACTCTTAGCTTGACTATCATTAAGCAGGCCCCTAAGAAGTTTACTTGCAGTGTCTTTCCGACGTCCAGTAAGACGCAGACAGATACGCGCTCGTACTAGAGCATGATCTGAATTTAAGCATGTGCTCCAGAATGAGCGACAGTCTTCTATCGAGCCCCTCCATCGGTGGCTCATTGCGATGTGATCTATTTGGGTCCAACGTTGGGACGAATTAGGGGGTCGCCATGTTAAAAGATGTTTTTGCTTATGCTTAAAGTTAGTATTTGCAAGGAACAGGCGGTTATCTGAGCATAGCTGCAACAGACGGTCGCCATTATCTGTTCTCTGAGCCACGACACCATAAGATCCACCTAGGTGTCTTTCCCTATCGCTTAGTTTACCTACTTGAGCATTAAAGTCACCGGCCACTATTACTACATCCGAGCGCTTAGCTTTTCGGAGAAGGTCCGAAAGCTTTCTGTAAAACTCATCTTTTACATCATCTGAGCTGCAGTCAGTGGGAGAATAGGCAGAGACGACGAAGAGGCAACGACGAGTGTCCCTATCTTTCCGGATTCTTACTGTTCCGTTTAGTCGGACAGCGCACAAACGACTGTCTACTGGGATCCACTCTAAGAGTGCTAGTTCTGCCCTAGGACTCAATGCTATACCTACGCCGGCGAGGCCACGGGAAGCAGAATCAGGGCTTCCAGATACACGAAGCGTAAATCGAGTTGGTTCTTTATTTTCGCATGGTGAGATCAAATGAATGACGCTACTCGGATCCTGTATGCGCGTTTCGGAGACGCAGCACACATCGATGGCGCGAGATTCTAAAGTTCTAGCTAAGGAAGCCTGCTGTCCTATTTGGCAAAGTGTTCGTACGTTAAAAGCTCCTACGTGTAGTTTAGAGAGTGGTTTCAGGAGACCAGGAATAGCGTTCCACGTACTCGAATGGTTTGCCCTAGCGGTGCGAGGTGATAAAGAGACGTGAGGAGGGTTAGTCATGGAGATAAGAGAGGTATTAGGAGGTGTAGGAAGGATTTGAATGTGACCAACTTGGTCTCGTGTGCTGTTACGGGTATGAGGGCTGATGTCACTTCCCGGCTGCCCACACCTTGGAAGGGTATTTCTTGAGGAACCTGAAAAGGAAATTGGATTAGTGTTGGCCTTGACGATCTGGGAGCGTGACCGCAGAGCCCAAGGGACAACTGCTTGAGGCCGGTCGCGCACGGCCTTTTTGTGGAAGATTTTTGACGTGTTAGCTCCGTTCTTCAAAAGGCCTTACCGCCGGAGACGGAAATCTGTGAGGTAAGGTGAGGTGTGACATTTTTAGGGTCGACCTTTTCTAACCCCACCCCTCCTTGTGGGAAGGCAGCATCGCTGTCATGCTGGTTGTCCGAGGGAAACACCTTTCTGCTGTCACACCTCTCTACAGTCAGCAGTACGACTTCGCCCTCAGACCTTGAGTTGCTGCTTTTAGTCTTACCGTTCTCCAATCGACCTGCCTGGCATGGTAGAACCTACAGGAACATATGTTCCAGCCAATATAGCTCGGTTGGGTCATCACGATAGGCAAGCCCGACCACCGCCTCAAGGTAGCATTTCTTTTCGCATACAACTCGTCAAGTAACGTCCTGACTTGCGTTGCTCAAAGGTCGTCCATAAATTATGGTCCCACCAAAAATTACACATCTTAAGGATCTAAAAACATATTACAGCTATTGGACAGATGTATCCACCACAGTTGAAAAAATCACGTTGGAAATTACCTACTGCATATATCGTCAAGTAGAACAAGCATTATTACTATTATCATTGCAAGTGGATAAAGTACACACCACCAATCATTACAATTACTACCAATCATAAAAATGTTTGCAAAATAAGTTGACAGTCACGTATATGCTGTACGGTTTCTTAGGAACTCGGAAGCACGTCGTTGCCTTTATTTCACTGACTGCTGCCTTAATGAAATGAAAGGTAAGTGTCACAGAAAGCCATCTGAACTTCTTCAAAAAGCTAAACGCTTAGACATAGTGCTCGTAGGTGATTTTAATGCCCAATTAAGTAGCTTAAATCAAACTGAAAGACATTTCAGTGGGTATTTTCTTATTCCGGTTCAGCGAACAGATAATAGTGATTTCTGCTGCAACTGTGCTCAGACAGTAGTTTACTCATGACAAGCGCTAATTTTAAGCATGAGGAGAGACATCGTCTAAGATGGCGACACACTTAAGCAGTTCTGAAAACGAGATATTGTTTGGAAAGATATACGAACAGCTGTGGAAACAGCAGTGACATCTATTAGTGACTTGAACCAAAGGGTTATGAAAAACTACTCTACTAAGTCTATTGTACTGATGGATTCTTGTAAACACATCCCATCGGGCTCTGAACACAATGAAGAGCGTAAAGAAAGAAAATTTTGTTAACCAAAAGTCTGAGGAACGACCGTGAGCAGTGGTGCGCAACGAAAGAAAACGCAGTGGCCGAAGGTAACGCAAGACAGCTCTTCAGACTAATAAAAGAAACTGGAATTAAGAAGCCAAGTGTAAGTGAGACGACACTTATCTGCTTTCAGTCCCGACTTTTAGAACGATGGGCGAAACACTGAGGAGCAGTTGAGCTACTCTGCATCTACCCACTATTTTCAAACAGCTGGAATGTAACATTGGAATAGATTCCCAACTCTAATTGAAGACGAAAAAGTAATAGCTAATCTGAAACGAAGGGCAGCTAGTCCAGATGAATTAACTCCGGAAATCTTTAAGCATGGTAGTCGTTTTAACGGTTAGGTTAAGTGATATTTTAGTTAAAATCTGGGAGATGGACGTAATCACATCTCACTAGTTGTCTCAATATATAAAAAGGGGTCAAAATCATCCTATGACAACCATAGAGGGATTAGTTTGACTAATATACCATCTAAAATACTAGCCTCAATAATTATCGGGCGCCTAACTAAGGCTGATGAACTGCAAACACGAAAAAACCAGGCTGGCTTTAGATCTGGTCGTGGCTGCATCGACTACATGTTCAGCATTCGTCAGATCTTAGAACACAGGCATGCTTATGGACGTCCGACAATGATAGTTTTTCTCGAGTAGAGGCAGCATTTGACTGTGTAGATCAAAAGGTTCTGTGGCAGTGTCTCAGAAATACATCAATCTTGTGAGGGATCTTTACTCGAACACTAGCAGTCGAGTCAGAACTTATGGCGAACTGTCATCTGATTTTGCAACCTCAAGTGGTGTGCGACAAGGCTGTTCACTACCTCTATTTTTGTTTAGTTTCATCAGACCTACTGCTGGAAATAACGTTCTCGCCGTCAGAATATTCGATGACAAACCTGTTTGGTGAAGACGCTGATAGAATGCACAGTCTTTGGTAGCATTGAACAACAATACCAAGATGTTTGGAATTCATTTCTTCCCCCCTCTGAATGCAAATTGTTGCATTAATACTGGCCTGCATCAACACCTGAACTAAGAATAAGGAGTGAAGTAGTCGAACGCGTCGACAACCTCACTTATCTTGAAGGTCTGATCAACCTTAATTGGTTGGTGTCTGACTAAATCTCTGCACGGATTCAAAAAGCTCGTTTGGTTTTTGCTAGCTTACGTTACCGATGGCGAAGTAGAAATATCCTTCTATCAATAAAAGTACGCAGTTTATTCTGTTCTACATTACGGCTGCAAAAAGTGGTAATTAAGGGTAGAGGATACTCGTAATTTGCTAGCACTTGATCACATATATCTTAGAAATATTGCCAGCATCTGCCGGGTAAGTAATACTGAAGCTAGACGAAAGGTGTTAGTGATTGATGATAAAACAGTTGATGATGTTGTGGATATTCATCGACTGAGATACTTGAACCACTAATTATTTCTCCTTAAATCATATCCTTATATGCAATCTTTTTTTTCTATATATTATTACCATTGAAGTAACTGCTTCTATGAATTGGGTGTTCATCTTGTTGTGCTAATGAGGTATGACAACTTGGACCGATGCATATATGTTCCTGGTCCTGCGTTGTATATGACCGACTGACTGGTCAACAACTGATGGTGTCATATAGATACAGTTTTAAATCATACAAACCAGTCTGTCAATTAAAAGAAAACTGAAAAGTAAACATTGACGCATTCAATAATAAATAAATATTATGATCTTTTTTTCTAGGTTGCTTCATCTGTTCAAGTAAATTAGCAAAAAGCAATAATTTTAATAATAACAAAGATAAATAGGAAGTCGACAGCTGTGAGTAGATAATTATTTCTAAAAACAGTGGTTTTCATCACTTGTGCGTGAGTGTAATCAATTATCAATAAATGAATAAGGAAAATGAATCTTTTTCAGAGGAAAGACTAGGTTACAATAATAGTTAAAGAAATACTAAGAACATAAATATAAACAAAATAACCTGAAAGCAAAACGACAAAGCCAAGTGTCAATAATGGTGCTATTGTTACTGTGTGTACGTGTGTCGAGGACAGAGTTCTATGGAGAATGCTGGTGGGTGACCTATGATCCTTCACAAAGGGTAACAGGCGTAAGTGCATGTATCGATTTCTTGTGTCCATCAAGATGAAAATGTTAGACACATGAGTGAAAGAAGAATAAAACTGACAAGATAAATCATGAGTAAAGTTGTATTAGAGATCACGATTTGATGGAAAGAAGTTATGCAGAAACGACAGAGTCGAAATACGATTAAGTAAATTCAGGATGAAGAAAACTAAAAATGAAAAGAAAAAGGCTGGCAAAAGGCAAGCAAACATAATCAAAAATATAGCTGTCATAACTAATTGAAATAATATTATATTCCTATCATTGTTATTATTATTGTCTCGAGAGAAAGGAAATTAATTTTATCACCTGTGAGCAAATTGTCGGAAAATAGAGGAAAAGTAAATAAATGAATAAAAATCATCTTTGTAACAATTGCATAACATGTATATCAAAATGAATGAAAATTAAATAAGTTTAAAGCACAAAGGCCCTTATTGAATGAAATGAACAATGTCAATACAACACACAAATAGCGATAACATAAACAACATTGAACTAAGTATAAACATTACTATCATTTAAACAATAGATGAATTATTTTAAAAACGTTGTGGATGATTATCATAGGATTCAATTAAATGCTCTTCAAAACAAATAAATCTTGAAGGTGAATTTACATGATGTGAATTGATTAAAGGGATATAAGGAGTGTTGTTGAATGAAGATAACCGGGTAGCGGATCGATGTCTTATGCATCCGGAAATCTACAGAATAGTAGTAAGCAACAAAAAAAACGGAATATTTAATAAATAGTATTATGGCAAAACATAAGATAGAAACGTATATAAACTGAATAGACAACAGATATGATGATGTGATGATAGTTGTCATTACAGATTGAAGTAAAATGGAGAGAAAAACAAATGGGAAAACCAAATCTCACAGAGAACGCCATACCTTTAAAGTCAAAATTCAATGGTAAACACTATTAAATAATATTTAAATTCAATCCATCTTCATGAACAACAGGAAAAGAAATGAATTATTCAAAGTTTTGTCGAATTCTGACTTGAATAGTGGGGAAAGAATTAAATTTGACAACTAACAATATAACAGGGAGTCTGATTTTTTACAAAAAACAAGCGTGTAATTGAGAGTTGTTCTTTTAGTACAGAATAACAATTTAAATGTAACAACTTAAATCACAATATATGTTTCCCCAGTTTCACCTTATGCCTAAATTATTTTAGTAATCTTTTTCAACTTGTGCGATCGATTTGTTTAGTGAAATCACACCACTTACATTTTTAATACGACAACTGTGATACCATTGAACAATAAAGGATTTTTAATAAAATAAAAGAAACATACTTTAACAATTTACGACAAAACATAGTATAGACAACATTATGACCAAGAAAACACGACAGAGGAATTACAATAATAATACGACGATACTAGATTACTGTTACTATTTAAGTCATTGGTAAATAACTATCATTACTTACTGAGACAATAGGTTTTCGGAGACGAACACTAGATGGGTGGTATTAAGTGAAGGAAGGAGAGGATACACTTAGAAGGTGAAATAAATACAAAGGCTAAAATGAAATGAAAAAATTGTAACCTGTTGATTATTCACACAAACTGCTGATTAAAACGTCGGAAGTGAGAAAGAAGACTGAATGAAGCTATGTTGCAGGCTAATACTGAGGACCACCGTCTCCCTATCTTGATGGTATTAACTAACTAACATCTTATCACATTTTCCCTTATCGACAGTAAGCTTATTTCATTTGCATACACAGTAAGCACTGTATACAGTATCGTTTAAATCATCAACCGACCAAAATTAAACTAGGAAGTACTGGACGACCGATTCGTCTTAGTATGGGACTCCCCATCAGTGCTCACTCACTACCCTGACAATGAGAATCAAACCCCATGTGCAGACGCTTAATCTTTAAACTATTCAACCGGCATTCAATTGTGTTTATAAAGTATCTTTAGTGGTATTTAACATGATATAAGCAAAAAGACAAACTGTTTAGTATTCTAGTAAACTAAATGTTCACAAAAAAAGATTAATCTATCACACTAACTGATCTTACCCGATATTTACTTCACCACCTGTGTTATTATTCACCTTTGGTTTTCGTGTACATACTGACCTAGAAGAAAATGAAGTATATTATCCACAATGTATAACTGTAATGTGCGTTTACATGGAGGGAAAAATTGTTGCCATATGTATGTAATTATACTAATACAGATAAAAATCTATTTGAAATATTTCAATGAGTAGGAAACTGAATTTTTGACATTTCGTGAATTGTTGTAAATCAGCTTTTCAACAGAATAAATAAATGTCAGTATAGAAGTTTACGGAGATTGCTGAATATTATTGAGAGCAGGAATCGACACAAGTTCGACAACCAATGCAAACCAGGAAGGACTGGATAGGTGTTTGATCCTAATGTGAGACTCCTCAGTCGTGCCCACTTACTAACCGACCGGACATAAAACTTAGGACGTCTACGTCTCGTAGCGAACGCCTAACGTTTAGGTCACTGAGTCAGCGACCAATGGTTTGCGTGTTTACCGTCAATCAATTAATGACATCGGCTCAACCATTTTCCATTTTCGGTGAGGCAGTCGCATAGTAGGGATCCACTGCTTCCTAGTTTTCGTTAATTGATTTCAGATCACAATGAACAACCGAATTAAAATTAATTCTAACTAGCATGGAGGAACAAAAAAGGTATTATGTACAATGCGAACAAAGTTGATCATGCTAATGTTACATCACTCAGGTCAAAGGTTAGACAATTTTTGTATTTATCGATGCATATCTAGGTGGTAAATAAGAACTTTCGTCTAAATTTGAACGAATAGTTTCACAATATTTGGGCGCCGAGTTAATTTGAGACATTAAAAAGAAGAATATATTTGTAAAATCTTAAAAATTCATTCGCTGAGATTTTACAAATATATTCTTCTTTTTAATATCTAGGTGGGTATGAAAAATGTAAAATTCGTAATATGAAGATGTAGAGCTGATTTTTGTGTGTTAACAGGTGTGCCTAATTTGACTGTTTGGATACGTACTTGAAGTTAGATGGATAATTAGGCTTTCCTTTTGATTGGGTGCAGTAGTGTTCAGCAATATACAAAACGCTTTAGCCATTCGTATTTTTCGATGGTTGAAAAAAACTTGATTATTTGAATATAGACATGATGGTGGCTGACATCGGTTTGAAATTGTGTTGTCGTCTTAAATGCATAATTTAATTATGTAAAAAGGTTAATAATCAAAGTAATTCCTACTAAGATTTGAAAGACTTGGGGTTTAATCCCGTGTAAAACAACTGTTCATTTGACTTTAATTTGTCAACAGCTTTTCATCTAAGTTCAGTCCCTAATCAAAACAATTTTCAGATTACACGTTGTTACTACATATTCCAATAAACAGTAGTGAGCCCGTGGTTAACACTAGGATTTTTACTGTTCATTCCATATCATTCAACTCCATAAAAAGGTTCGGATGATGAGTTATATCAGTTAATTAGTTAGGCATCTACAATGTACAACCTGAAATCTATGTCCACAGCAGTTCAATTTGCCATACCACGTTAGCACAGCGAAAATAAATTATTTCAAGACGTATCTCAGAATAGTAGAAACGTTTAGTGAAAAAACGTTTCAAGGAAACTTAGAGACTGGAGTTCTGAAGAAAGTCAAAGAGTGAGTGCCTTTACGCAAGTTCGAACGATTCTGAGCCACTTCATTCAAAGTATCTATTCACTGGTTATGATAGCCGTGCGGTTCCTAACTAGCTAGATTTATTAAAATAAACATAAGACTGCATTAACTATAAATAAAACAAGACACTTGAATATTGATACTAAACACAAACCTGTATCGTGGATTATTACATTGACTTGATCTAGGTTTTCTAAGTTTAGGACCAGCTGAAACTCCCGCGCTATTACCATTCTTCTTTCGATTTACATACCAACGATATCGATTTTGAATTAAAAGTGCAGCTTGACATAATCGTTTATAATATGCATACTAATGAAATAGAAAAAAAAGTTGAATGCTACAACTAATCATATACACAAACACGTATTAATCTTTGTAGACACCGAGCATTCAGTAGCTCTTCTCGATGAACTCAAATATTCATTAAGTTACCGATTTGTGTTATTATTAGAGTTCCACAGGTCAGTCGTAATTCAAATAGCTAATTGCTAAAATCTCTGACTGCGGTGCTATGTGGAACTGGTTTGAATTTCTAGTGATTAGTTTTCAGAAGATCGTAGATACACCATATTGATGTCTATCAATCAGTACGAAACCTCGATCGAGGACTTTTTCCCAATTTCCTCCAGCCACATGATACTGAGAAAAATTCATCTTAATGTTAGTCAAGTTAAGTAGCTTAATTGTCATAATATAAATCTGATGAATTTTTTCCAAAATGAGTTCAAAAAAGACAAGAAACAAGAGAAATTGTCGTGTCACATTAATTTTTCTAAAGCAAAATTAACGAACATTGTGAAGTAAGGTGAATTCATTTCTATTTGTCTGTAAATCAAATGACGAGAAATAGAAGATGACACAAACATGCTATAGCATTCATAAAGAATAATTTCTAACAAATATTCAATAATAATTGTCTCATGGAAAGTTTCCATTAAATAAATCAATACGTTACTGGTTACAGTGGAAAGTAAATAAACGACAGATAAATATACTAAGTACCTGTTTATAACGTCTATAATAACTTTGAATAATAATTGCAGCCTCAATTTCTTTATTACATGGCCCACTGGATGATGAAGTCATTGATGGTTGTGGTGAATTCAATGATTGTATTGAAGTTGAGATACAATTGGAAAAGTTAGTTGTTGTTTTCAAACAACAAGTGGAATTTGTTTCTCCAGGTAAAGACAATTGACCAGACTGAATAGACTGAACTTGATATGAATTATCATTATCATTGGTTATTGTATTATCGTATGATGTTTCTATTTCCACTTCAAGGCCTACAGATGTATCATTTTCGAAACCCAGTAAAACATCATTATTCCATTCTTGTTTATCAGTTAGAGAGATGACAGTATTGCTATTCTGCTGAAGTTGGTGTACAATCTGATGCGTGTTGTTAACATCACACACACTTTTTGAATAAGCATTATTATTGGATAAAGATTTATCAAAAGTACTTAAATCTGTTTCAGTAGTATAATCATGGTTTGATGAAGAGCATAAAACATGATTAGGTATAAATGTATTGGACAATTTCTTATTATTATTTTGAATAATCGCCGACTGATTGTGTTTTTTATAAGCTCGATAATATTTCTGTATAATTTTGGCTGCTTCGTATAAACGTTTCTGTTCCATATCCGATAGAGTTAATCTACTTAAGTCAGTTTCCATAAATTTTCCTGGTACTGCATTAAAATGTTCAGCAATTTGTGCTGTAGACGGTGGTGGACTATTTAAACTGAAAGCGCTTAATGATTTCCCTTGACGATCATATCGAAGTACATCAAAATCATTTTCATTATTTAGATCTGAACTCATAAAACTAGTAGAACTAAAAGGTGTATCGAACATTGAATTCGACGTGATAACTCCACTATAAATAATAAAGACATTAAAACAATTATTGGAAAATGGAGGTGGAGTGAATGTATAAAATTTTCAAAACTAATTAAAACGTTCTACAATTTCATTTCCAATTCTTTGGGAACCTACCAGTGGACATAAACTCAGAGTAATACCGAATATTGGACTACCGATTTCTAGTAACTAAGTATAATCAATTCGCATGCGAGACGAAAAGTTCAAATCTTGATTCTCTGTAACATGATTGTGGATGTGCTCTGATGAGGGGTTTCATACTAGGACAAAACATGTCCAGTGATTTCAGGCTTTCCGTGGTGGTATAGCTGAAATCAATTCGTAATATAAACTATGAATATAGTTCAATTAGTCAACGTACGTTGCTCATCATTTGCTAGGAACAACCTATTTCAAAATCAATTGTTGAATTAAAAGTAATGATAAGAATTGTGATAACCCTCGTATCTATGGTTTAGGTCAGAAGGCAAAGTGTAACTCGTGAGATCATTAAGACAATTTAATCCTAATTATTTATAATTAATTTAATTTTTAATACTGTTGATATTTTCGACTGAATTCTGAGTCATAAATTGGTATATATGCAGACTGCCTCAATGTGACACCAACGTCATGGAATGAGTCGATAGTTGTCCCTATCTTTAAAAAGGGTTCACGTCGTTCCTGTAACAACTATCGGGGGATAAGTCTACTTCCGATTGCGTCCAAGCTATTGGCTTCCGTCATTCTTCGTAGGTTGTTCAAAACCCGAGAAAGATTGACTCGCGAGGAGCAGGCTGGGTTTCGTTCTGGTTGAGGATGTATTGATCATATCTTCACCCTCCGCCAAATGTTAGAACACCGTCATACTTTTCAAAGGCCAACAATCGTAGTGTTTCTTGACATCAGGGCTGCCTTCGATTCGTTGGACAGGACTGTTCTCTGGGAGTTTCTATTGAATAAGGGTGTGCCTGAGAAGTTTATTAACATCCTAAAAGCCCTATATAAAAACACCTCAGGCAGAGTGAGGGCATACAACCACCTCTCTCCATTGTTCCATTCGAGCAGTGGGGTTAGGCAGGGTTGCCCAATCTCACCATTCCTCTTCAACTTTGCCATCGATGACATTCTGGAAACAGCTCTGATGAATGTAAGTAATGGTGGTGTGGATCTGTTGCCTGGAGAAAGACTTCTCGACCTTGAGTATGCGGATGATATTGTCTTACTGTGCGATAATGCCCAAGGCATGCAATCCGCACTTAATCAGTTGACAATCAGTGTCCGTAGGTATGGTATGTGCTTTGCACCTTCGAAGTGCAAAGTACTTCTACAAGACTGGCAGGATTCCAATCCTGTACTCACCCTGGATGGTGAGCAGATAGACGTAGTCGAGAAGTTCGTGTATCTGGGTAGCTGCATAAGTGCTGGTGGGGGTGTGAGTGATGAGATCAATGCACGTATAGTGAAAGCCAGAGAGGCTTATGCCAATCTGGGCCATCTTTGGCGCCTTCATGATGTTAGTCTGGCTGTAAAAGGTCGGATCTACAACGCGTCGGTGAGAGCAGTTTTGCTCTATGCTTGTGAAACCTGGCCTCTCCGAGTTGAGGACGTTAGACGACTCTCTGTGTTCGATCATCGCCGTCTCCGAAGGATTGCTGACATTCAGTGGCAACACCATGTCAGTAATGCAGAGGCTCGGCATCGTGTGTTCGGGCACAGAGATGATAATTCAATTGGTGTCACCATCTTGAAACACCGACTTCGGTGGCTTGGACATGTTCTCCGAATGTCGTCTCAGAGAATTCCACGTCGTGCATTATTTGCCGACTCTGGGACTGGTTGGAAGAAGCGGAGAGGTGGTCAGTGCATGACATGGTGTCGTGGCATGAAAGAAAGCTGCAAAGGACTGGCTTGTGTTGGTCCTTCACGACTCCCTGGTTGGGGTCTGAGAGATGGTGCTACACAGTGGCTAGAGACGTTATCAGATATGGCTCAGAATAGAAGCCAGTGGCGATCCTGCTGTAACCTTCTTTTACTTTCTTCATAAAAAGTGATTGTGTCTCCTTTACCTGAAAGATTTCTTCTGATTGTACCTTTTCGTTCCGTCGTTACTACCACACTACCTTACTTCAATCTCTTCGTCATTGTTCTCTTTTTCTTTTGCGCTCCTTAGTTTTTTTTTCTACTTCTCTTGAATTCTCATTGTTTTGTGTGGCGCATATATATTGGCGCTCTCTTGTACCAATATTCATGTGTTCAAATAAATAAATAAATAAATGTGACACTTAAGCTACAAGTTTTGCAGATTAAATCGATTATGACTAGAAGTGAAATTGTCCTATTTGGAACTGTTCAGCTAATGTATCTGCATCCGAGTACCGATGTAAACCTTAAGGATATAACTTACCAAATTTCGCTTCAAACGCTCAGCGCGTTGTCCATTGAGCTACTGAGTTCAGAGAGCCGCTAGATCGTAAAGTAGGCATTCAATTTCATCTGTAATGGTTTGAATTACCCTTTAATCGATCTTATTTGATGCATCCTAAAAAGGACAAAACCTGAGTCCTGGATTCCACAATCCATCAATTCTATAAAGAGTGCGAACTTATCTTTTGCGTAAGATATTTTGTGCAAGCTGAAACACTCAACTATAATTTAAGACATAAACAGAAACGAATGGTTCAATTTTAATTCGAAAAAAATTGGATGTCATGCTTATCGTAGTAGTGGATTCATACTCCTGATGAGTTACATACTACGGAAGCATTATTTTGAAGCTGTCTGATTTTCAATGGTTATCTAGTTTGTTAGCAAGCAATCAATAAAAAATAATGTATCGTAATCATAAAATTACACGTACGTTTCATGAGAATTCAATTCAACACTGATTTCATCATCATCATTGAAAGTTTTCAATTTACTTCTATTTTTTTGAATAGGAGGAGTAAAATATGATCTTCTTCTCAAAGGTTCATGAAAACTAAGTAAAGCACTTTTTAACTGATGATTCACTTTATTCTCTGGATAATCATCGATACCAACACCACGATATCTAAAACTGTTATATAATGTCAAATATTTATCACGATAAGGTCGTTTCGATGGAAGTGAATTAAATGAACCAATTGATTTATTATTTTTATGATTATTACTAAATGATTTTGTTGTTATATTTGGAAAGATTTTAACTGAATATTTGTTTGTATCATCATTATTTGTTAACTGAATAGGATTAGTAATAGAATTAGTATTAGTGGCTAAAGTGAATGGTTCATAATGCAACAATGAAGAATGTGATTTGAGTTGGTCAACTGGTGGTCGACTCAAAGCAATACTTTCACCTAAAGCTGAATCAGAAAACTGGATAGAAGAAGAATGGGACTCTTCACCATTATAATTATTATCATAATCTACATGGGTTGATAGCAGATCATCACAATTTTGATTATGAAGATTAACAATACGCCTAGGCATAGCCTAAAAGGATATTTTGAAACAGAGAAAAAATATGATGGAAAGTGTTTTAAATATAGAGAAAAAGAAGTGCTAGAAGACAGAAGTAGGTAAATACTTAACATTATTCAATAGGTATACTGTAAGGATTTGAGTTCCCATCTCTGAACTTCTTGGTTGACATCAGATGACTAACCCGATAGCATAGTTGAATTTCACATTAAAAAGAATGGCTTAATGTGGGTTATATAAACTTATACTTAGTTGATAAATTGCTTTTTCGTAGATGCTAAATGGTAACCAATATATTGAATCTGGCATCGGCTTAATCTGTTGATACCACCCGTAAAAACAAGTTAATTATATCAAATCACATCGAGGATGCGGATTTTACATAAACCCTAAAATGTCAGTTTTTTTATTATAAATACTGTTGCTACAGTTTAAATCATAGAAAATTGAAGGGTTTGTAGTACTGAAATTCCGAAGGCAGATTAATTCAGTGCCGAAAATATTAACAACAGAAATAAAGAAAAACGAAACCTGAGTATTATGTATTAAAATTTAGTTACTGAAGATGTATAAACATGTAAAGAACAGCTAGTACAGGTAGGTATAAACGAGTATATAGCCAATGTCATTAGAAAGATGTGACGAGGTATTTTTAACAGTCATCTAAAAACGCTTATTGAACTTGATATGTGATTTTTGAGCTCTCTAGCGATCGATTATGACTCGTAAAGCATGTCGGTACAGTTATGGAAAGAGATCTATACCATCGCCGATTCCTCTTACTAATATTTGAAGTAGGTGAACGAGGAATTTATGCTTTATATGTTCCTTTCATTTCGTTTTCAATTTTCCTATTTGATCTCACGTTATGATACTTTTAATAGTAAATATTCACACATCATTTTTATTCGTCATGAGACCTGAAGGTTCTGTGGTCCTAATACGATGTGGAGTCGTCGATGTACATTTCTAATAAATCACAAACTAAAACAAAACACAATTGTCCTCATTAGTTGATACCAGTTTATAACGAAACCTATCTTTCCATTTACTGATAGACTATTTTATTCCATCATTTTCATCAGCATTGTTAATTCATACAACCCCTTTTCAATCAGTGATTTGCTAAAAGAAAAAAAATGCTCTAAAGTTTGTAAATATTATCTGGAGAATTTGAATTTGAACTTGTTCTAAAGTGTTCTAGTTATTTAACATAAATATTATCTGCAATTTAATTGAATTCACATAATCGCATTTGTTTTTTACTGAATTTATGATGGGAATGTATTGTGTGGATAGATTGTTCAATTCCAAATATTTGAAACAGTTAAAAACGATTTGGATTTATGAATAAATATGCACATTTCACAATGTTTATGTGTGCATTAGCCATTAACTCACTTCCTTGTGTATCACTCTATACTACTTATTTATATTCAGTAATCCATTTCGAATTTAAAAACTTTTGGATGTCTAATGGAAAGAATATTGTCATATGATATTCTCGAGCATTGAGATCAGCTGACAATATTCAATTGATTTATTACTGTGTTCACATCAGTATAATACTTATAGCTGATATTTTTAATTCTAATGTATCTATTGGACGTTCTTTTTATTGTATCGGTTCCCATATTTGATGATCTTCATTCATGTTTCGACGTCATCTGTCATTTTAATTTCGACACATATATCAGATGTCACGTCTTACCGTACGTTGTTACAAATTTCCCTCTATATCCATTTTAAGGAGCACTTTCATGTGATTGTACACGAGCTCAGTAAAAAGTGTGGATACCGTACGAGTTTAGATTTTTAATTTATTTCATAAATAGTTTCTAAATAAAATTAACTACTCTGCAGGTAATCTCAGGTGTTGGGATGCCTCCTTATTCAACGCATCCAGAGCTCATATAAGCACTTAACATTGAATGTAAATAGATGATAATCAACCGAAGATATAATCAACTATTTATAGATCTTTAATTTAATAATAAACAACAAATTCCGATTAACAGATTACATCAAGTGAATTAATAAAAATGAAATCATTAGCATGAAACCCTTACCCATCGAGACATAAAATAATAAATATTGGTTCAGAGAAGAGTTCTCTTTTCGTCAAATTCATTTACAAAGCTGTACGATTGCAAATATATACTGATTTTTTAAGATGATAATATTTAAAATAATTTTATTATCATTATTATTGTAATTATTATCATGCTGAAAAAAAGTACATACTTACTATTGTACAGTTTTGATAAAGAATTAGCCGAAAAGAGAATTCTTCACTGAACCAAGCTTTCTTATTTTATAAAACACTTACTTCAATTATTCTGTCAGCTAAACAAAACATTTGAGAATGATCATCATTCATTAAATTTGTTACACTAGCATAAAGAGAAGTTGAATCTAAACGAACATTATGACAATGATGACGTCGATTGTATGTTTGTTTACGCCAGGTACATATATTTTTACGTTTTATATTTGAATTCAAAGTAATGTCATCCTCATAAAGTTGATGATGAGTATCGAACGAATTGTTGTTATTTTCGACTGCATATTTAAAATTATCTGAATTATCTACAAACTGATTGGCTGCTGGTGTTGGTAAAGACTTTAAAATTTTTGAATGATAACTTGTACTACAGATATTATGTAACGATGTGGAGTGATAAAGTGATTCTTCTCCTGGAATATCATCATCATCAATAGATACGTCTAGACTATAATTTTGCTTTGAATAGTCTAACTTAATCATATTCGATTGTGTATATAACAATGAGTGAGTAAATGACGATGGTTTTGTATTAACATCAATTTCCGTTAGATCAATATGATTTGGTAGTGTAAATGTTTCCGTATAATTAATAAGTCTTTCTAATTTAGTTCTAACAGTATCTGTTGCATAATTTTGTGCATTCGATGAAAAATATTGTACTTCTAATTGTTCAATACACTTTTGCATAGATTCACTTTTGATAACCAATGCTAACTAGAAAAAAATAATAAAAAACAGAATTTAATCCAATGAAAACAAAAACGTAATTAACACTAAAAATCATGTTGACAAGATTTGTTTTAAATCAGAAAATGAAACAAACTTATTTACTTTTTCGGTCTTCCATTTCATTTCTTCAAATAATTACCAATAACAAAGTAAAACTAACTTTATCATTATCGTGATGTTAATGAGTATAACATGATGAAATGATTTACTTGTGAGAACGACTTTACATTGATGTTTACATCTATAAGTCTATGAATTTGTTTTGTATGCATTATGAATCTTTCATAAAACAAAACATTGGACTAAGATCCATTCTTACTAATGGCTATTAATAGCAGTAGGTGAGTGTTCATAGAGTGAAATATATAAGAAGGTTACGAAACAATTAACAGCCCTGTGTGTGTGATTTAATGAATAACTAAACAACATTCAAATAATCAAGGTGGGTTTTTTTACTGATTCATTAAAAATTTATAGCAACAAGACAGAATGGTGCAGAAGGGTTCAGAATTCGATATAATCTAAACTATTTCTACAATCAGATAACACAATTTGAAGTCAAAATATTATCTCCATGTGGAATCATTAATTTAAATCCATAAACTTAAAATAACGGTTTTGTTTGCCACTTTCTTTTCACAACTCATTTTTACGTGAAATGCTTAACGTTAAATTAAAAGTTTGTTCAAGTGTTCTTGGTTAAATTGATTCAAATATTAATGTTGAGAATTAACTGAACGTTGTATCAATAAAATCGTTTTTATGGCAAAGCAAGAGGAAAATAAGGAATGAGATTTATACAGCTTATATTTATCATGAGTAATTTTCATTTTATTGCACAATTTCTTGATTCCTATTACTTTTTGTCCTATGGATTACAACTACACATATAAGCGAATATTGTAAGCTTCTTCTTGTCATAAAGACTCAAATTGCTACATCAAATTCCCATCGATTCAGTCAGATGTAAATGTTGAGATCGAACTTCATTGGGACAATGTAAAGATATTTGCTAAGATTTCATGGGTAAATTTTATTTTGTTGGACAGTTTCCTGAACATATACTATCAATTATTTAAAAACCAGTTGGAAATTCTTTATGTGTAGATCGATATTATCCCCATATTAGGTAATTCGAGGTATTCGATAAGAAATCGTGAGTCTAGGTTTTGTGTCAGATGTTACTCGCCCGTAAGGCATACATCTCGGTCTTGAGAAAACTAGTAGCCTCTGCAGGATTTGAACCCACATCAAACTGCTTCAGTCTGAAATGGTGCTGCTAGGCTATTCAAGCCTATTGCGTAGCCTGCTGTTGAACTGAGGTATTTACAGTGACTAATTACTGAGTAGTGATTGATGTCATGTTTGTTTAGCATTCTGAAGGTTGGTCGAATTATATCGAACAGGTTTTATTGTAGCTACCAGTTTAAGTAACTCGATATTGAATGTACTATTTTTAATATTATTTATATATGAACATTAACTGACACGATCCAAGGTGCGTTTAACAAGGTGAAGTTGTTTCGATATTTGAATGATGACAATAAAATATACTATTTTAGAGTAGCAATTTTTTGAGTTTTTAATCGGTTAAAGAAAGCCATGTAAACGTGTTGATATTTAAAGTGACTGCAATTACTAAATCAGCAGTTACTCAATGAAATAAACAAGGAATATGATATTTCACTGAATAACAAAAGAATCCTCTTACTTTTTCTGGCGTAAACTCATCACCCAATTTTGAACACGACGATAATGAATTATATAAACAAGGTTTATGAAGAGCATCTGGATCCCATACTACTAAGAGCTTCGTTGTTACAACCTGTTCGTACAGAATAGCTGAACCCAATGGTGTGAGTGTTGGATAAGCAGGGGAGGGGGAATTATTTGGGGTCAAATCTATACCAAATGAAGTGCAACAGAAAATTACTAACCATAAGAAACAATACAAATTTATGAAATAGATCAATCACTATGTATGTAACAACACATGAAACCAAGCGAAGACCTTATAAAAGGTTACGACCAGGAATGAAAGATTATACTTTGATTATGGCTGGTTCTGCAGTGTAATTTTAATCATTAGTTCATCCAGGATAAGGAAAAGTTCCTAATATATTGGTTCGCCGTTGATTTAAAAATTTATCGGCATATACCCTAATCAAATTATTTTAACCACTTTGAAGTTTTTATGCCAAACTAATATCGGTAGACAGATAGAAATTGGAGCATGTTACCAATCATTATATATATTGCAAACAATAACGTTTTCAATTAGGATTTCTTTGTTTTTATATGTACAGCTCTAAATGTCACTGAAAACAATTTTAACATTCTGTAAAAGACTTATACATAATACTTTTCTTAAACTATAAATGTTGCAACTATACGCAAAGATAATATAAATGATAAGGAATGAATATTTTATTGATCGAACAACAACATTATTAAATACACAGACTCACCATGTAAAAGAGATAAGATCCTAGATAAATCTGTATCGACATCTGACTGTAAAGTTGTACCACAGTGATCTGTAAAGAATGATGTAGGTTGATTACAATAAATTCGTACAGCCCATTGCAACAGTCCTAGTATCAGTTCAGAATAACTAAAAATGAGAAAATAAACAAACGGATTGATTGAAACTGACAAATCACTGAAAGCCTAGGCTCTCACTGTCTTTCAGCGAACAAATTACAATGATTTATCACGGAGTGAGTGAAGATAAGGATTCGCATCATTGAATTTCAACATAGTAGATTAAAGGTAAGGCACTAACAGCAAGGTCTGAAAGTTCTGGCCTCGATTCATAGTGAATTTGTGGAACCGCCCCGTAAGAAATCCTATTACTAAGATGAAATAGCTATCAATAGCTCCCTGCTTTTCAATGGTTCACTATCCAAAGATGTCCGAAACCATACCATAATTAAGTTGCTTTCTCTTTACAAGATGACAACAAAAAATGCAAAAGAATTTTTAACAATGATCTAGCTTCACAGATCAAATCGATCTAACAATTGAGCTAAGAGATTCAAGTAGTAATTAGACATGAACTATATTTAAGTTACCTATTGTTTTGCGCTCGAACAGTCATCTGTGCCTAATTTACCAAATCTACTAAATGGTAATCTAAATATGTACATTTTTATGTAGATGTTAGAGAATACAGTGTTTTTAAATAAAAATTACTGATAAAAATAAAATTTTGATAAAAGGATTGTTTCAATAGGTTCATTCACAAGACTACATAAGGCTACATTAGAAATAACTACTGGGGTAAATACAGTTAATGCGAATATAACTGGTCGAGAAGGTTTATATAAATAACAACTTGGACAAATATATTAAGAATAACATATTTTTTCTAGCCCAAACACAATGACAGCAGTCTTTTTCAAATAAGACAAAAGACGATTCAATCACAGACCACCTACAACCTTCCATAAGGTCGTCATACTTCACAACAGTGCAGTCCAAGAAAAAAACAAAAGAAATGAAAGCAACAGTCGTATCAATGACATTAACAGTAAAATATAGAAAATTTAGTTCGAAAATTATAAATCCTATTAACGAACAAAAAGTTTGACGTAATATTAAACCTTCGGATTTAGAAAAAAATAATGAATACAGCCATGTCACTTATGTTTTTTCATGTATTACGATTGTACCGCGGATACAACTAGAAAGTTTGGATCTTCTAAAAAAGCCTAAAGAATATACCAATGAAGCTATATCGTTTTTGTTTGAATGCAACCGAATTACTCCAATCTGCCCCGATCCCAATAACGATTTCTTAATGAAGCATAACGACCTAAGTAACTGACAACACATCCTTTAATATGCAAAGGGTAGCAGACTTGGATATTTAGCGACACGCCTTTCATTTGGTATCATATATAAGATTCAGTCATATATTCCCAGAGCTTGATGGTATAAGGATACTTCACATTTAAATTACGATAGCTTTAAAACTATTTTACTGGTGCAAACAAGATCTGTACTTTTCATTAGATCTGAAACTTCTAATCAAATATTTTATACCCAGTCGTTTTTCATTGTGCATTTTCTCACTGTTAAATCTTTTTTAATACCAAACATTCACACCGATGCTCTTCAAGTATATGGTATACAAATAATTAGTGTTCAATAGTTTGAGGTATGTTCAACTAGTTTTATGACTTATGGATTGAATACTATCATTCACGACCACGGCTTAAAGTTATGTATTTAGTCTATGATTTATTCACACATGATCTGCACACGTATAAACATCTTTCTTTTTTTTCAGTTATTATTATTCTCACTACATTTCACACCAATAACTCGTATTCACATTTGCACTTAAATAAGTCCCGAACTCAACAACTTAAAAATGATTGGACAATGGTTTAGCTGAACAGTTGTTTTGGAAGCCTACTCATAATCGATTATTGTGATTTATGAATATTTCTCTAGAGATGCTCGGGCCAGATTGTTGCGAGAGATGTTGGAGTTATTTTAATTTTAATTTCTGAGAAGTTTACGAAAACAATTTCCTTTTAACGCCTTCCATTAATTTTCAACTGAAATTTTTTAAAATTATTCTTTCAAACATAGATGAAAATTCTCATAAGGCTCATGTTATTCACCCTGATAGTATCGTATTCCAAGATAAATCTCGTCTTTACTTCCAGGGTTTTACAAGTAACTAAGGTATGTTAAGAATCATAGGACGTATTCTATGATCACGATTACTTGTTATATGATTTGCCTTAACTTGATTGTAATGTTTATAAATATTCAGACTTAAGTCTAGATTTTCCATATTATACTCCTTTATTATTAAACACATTACATGATCTTGATCTTAATTGTATTCAACTTTACTCAACTTAATTTTACAACTAAATATCCCTGTTTTGCGAACAACTACATAATCATATACTTAATTTACAAAAATTACGTATTTAATTTCCTCATCATAATTCGCATTAATATTCTAACACATACATACTATTTTAATAATGAATAGTTAATAATTACGTATAGTTATAGAGATCTAAAAAATTAGCGTTGCTTCAGATTGAAAAATTAAGGTACATTAGATCTTTAGGAATTTCGACTATCATTATATACTGGTGCATGATAACTACGTATGTTATTTTGCACTTGAATAGATGTATGATAGTAAGCGCTATGAATCTATAGGAACTAACCTACATGGAAGCTTAATTTCAAGCCATTTAAACCACCATTAATTAAAGGAGCTCTTGGTTCATAAAGGAAAGTCTTATGTTTGAACTGTTAACAGTAAAATCTTGGTTTAAGATTGACGGCATTCGAATCCATAGTAGCTTACACCCTTTACAATATTAGTTAATGTAATTTTTAAGACAGAAGAGTAGTGCCGTTACGTTATCTCTTCTTAATTCGAAAGGTAACTAACAGCAGGCTGAAACAAAAATATCAAGGGGAAAACAACTTTACAGTACTGAAAAAGCTTTTGTTTATGAAAATATAATTCAAATGGTATGTAGCAGCAGAGATCTTGAAAAATTCCGAGAAGGATCCTTTATTTAACGGGGTCCACTAGGTACCTGATCTCAGGATGCATAAAGGAAAGACTAATACTTAGGACTAGCTCGATGGGCATCGACCAACTTTACTTGATCTTTTGAAGTAGGTTATTTCGACCTCATACACAATGCGATTCTAAACGCAAGCACTATCATGTAAGGCTGTCTAAAAGGGAAGGTAAGCCAATTAATTTTAACACGTCTTTGAAAACTCAAGAGTAAATACTCAAGGTACCCTTTCTGGCCAAATATAGTTAGTGAATTCGGTCGGGACTTCTGAAAAAGCACACATGGAAGCGCAGCACGACTGCCTAGGCTTAAAAGTTGTTTATGCAGTGGATTTTTCCGTTTTCGGTTTTATTTCCTGTCATGTGATTGCTTATAATCTATGTACTACAAAAAAGTGATTGATTAAACCTTTGAGGGTTGGAAGTCTTTTTACAGTCTTTGAAAGAGTAGTGGTGTTAGTCAGTTGAGGTGCTTTGTGAGCTGGTGTTCGTATGATTTTTAGTATGTGTGATTGGTGTATTTTGTTTATGTTGTGGATCATATGATTGTATGTGTCGTGTTACCCATCCTGCAGTCTTGTATATTTTTGATCTGGTGGTGTTTTGGTCAGTCTGTGATCGTATTTTTGGGTGTCTATTCATTTCTTTAAAGGTAGAAAATAGTCAATTGCAGTTTTCATTGAGGTATTTGTATATGAGCTTTCCTTTCTCGATTTGTAGTTTTGCTTTTTCATTCTGGTTAATTTTGACATTGCTTGGATTGTCTATTCAACTTGCTGGTAGTCTATCTTTCATTTTCTCTATAACAAAACAAAGTTACCTAAGCCAATTTCTTGTATGTACTTTTCAGTTACAGTTTGGATCTGCTACGTAACCTTTCAGATGCCTCACTCTCAGGTTATTCGATCTTTCGTCTCTGACCATCACGCTTAAGCAGGCTGTACACTTCAGATATTGGCTTTTTAACTTCTAGAGTGCTAACGCTAAGAATCATTCACTTCAAAATTAGTATATGTAAAAACAAGCCAAACAATTTGTATGTGATTACGTGAGACTTCCCAATATGAAAACGTCTAAATAAGACGTCAAAACTGATGATCTTCCACAAGTTTGATTAAACACATTAAGAAGACATAAATAAATGCGTTAAAGTCCAGAATTTATTTATTTTTTTAAAAGATAGATGATTGCACAAATATATTAGCTATACTTTCTTTGGTTTTCCTTAGTTTCAGTGATAATCATATAGAGAAACTTCCTAACCGAGTTCAAATGTGCAAATCCTAACATAGTGTTACGTGAATAAGCAATTAACATGAACGTTTTCCAAACACAAAAATCTATTCTAAAACAAAACAACCTTAACAAAATGTAATCATGCAAAAACAACTTACCCCAAAGCAGCTGCACAACTTAAAAGAGAAATATCTATCTTCAATGAAGACATTTGTTCTTGTAATTGTTGAATATTGAACTCATCAAATTCATTTTCAGCTTCTAATAAGTAACTGACAGAACTTTGATTTGTTCTATCACTATTATTATTACTAATATTATCTGTTTTCTTCATCCATTCGACTAGTTGTAGAATTAAATACATTTCCAATTTATCTGCACACTGATCATGTCGTAGTGGTATATTCAACTGTACAAACATGTTTTGTTTTACAAAAAAAAGAACCATTAAAGTGTTACATTGGGGTAAAGATGATAATCCAGATAAATGAATAGTTTGGTGTCAGATGGTTGAAACTAATCGATGAGAAACTCTCAACTTAAGTTTATGTGCTAGTTGGTAATCACTACCATGGTGTTAGCAAAGGTAAGATGGCTGATGCTTCAAGAAGGATTAGGACCAGTAATCGCCAATGCTGTTGATCAGAGAGGTCACCAATAAGCCATTCGGGTTGAGGTGGACTTTACAATATTGGTTATTATTTATAGATCAGTTAGTGTGAGGTTTCACTTGTACATAGTGGTTTAGTCCTTACGAATGACAGAGGTCTGTTGGTCAAATTGCGCTGTGATTACTTACTGATACGGACGCTGCATACTTTAATAACAGAATTTATACTGAGAACATATATAATGCACTTTTGCATAACAATAACAGGCGACCGCAATTCTAGCACAAAGACTTTTGTAAAAAAAAGGATTGAATTAAAGGTGATATTAAAATAGTTCAACGGTTATACATGTAATGTTGTATGTTAAAATATCTTTTAATCACTTAGATAATTTGATAAGATGGGTGTATGAAAAACTTTTAGTTTGGCCAAAATGATTATGTAAACTAAAACATACACAGTCCAAATCATAAAACTATTATCAGAATGGGTTTTGTGGAGAGTTTTAGAGATTTCACAGGTTGAAATCATGAGTCAGTTGAAGCTAGACCACCATTGAAAACCTGGAAGCACTGGACGACCGTTTCGTCCTGGTATGGGACTCCTCAACAGTGCGCATCCACGATCCCGAACCGCGCGGGGCTCGAACCCAGGACCTACTGGCTTCGCGCAGGGGCACTTAACCACTAGACCACTGAGCCGGCATCCAACGGTGTTAATGTCTAACTTCAACAAATGCACGAAGTTGCGCCACCGTACACCATTGTCTTCAGTGAGTTGTTACCTCACAACCGACCGGTTGAACTCCACTGGTAACGGCTTCTCACTAGAACTCCAGGTGTTTTTCTTGAAGTCAGTCACTAATGAGCAGTTGATTATTATCAGAATGGGTTTTGTGGAGAGTTTTAGAAGCCAGTAGGTCCTGGGTTCGAGCCCCGCGTGGTGCGGGATCGTGGATGCGCACTGCTGAGGAGTCCCATACCAGGACGAAACGGTCGTCCAGTGCTTCCAGGTTTTCAATGGTGGTCTAGCTTCAACTGACTCATGATTTCAACCTGTGAAATTTATAAAACTATTATTTATGGTTAGATGGAGCTCAAATTATCATATTTTTACAACCACGGCTTTCAATGAGTTGGTGCAAAGAAAAAAACTTTCAAAAGGAAAGCACCAATGTTTGATCTGAAAAACACATACACAACGATAGATACACTGAATGATAAATTTTAACTGATGGTAACAAAGTGAACAGTTTGCAAATTGATGCATTACGTTCCTTAAAATGAATTTTGACAAATACAAATTCATTATCATGATTCTGCCCCCCAAATACGACCGAGTGTCAAAAGAGTAAGCTCTCCCTAACTAAATACTCTCACATGGACACACGTATACAGCCACTACCACAGAAGACCTACTCACTCACTCACTGACTTCTTGTGAACAGGGTGTTATTTACAAAATTGGGAGGATGAAAAGCGAGTTTCCGATGCTTTAACCGGGTTGGTGGATATGGAAGATTCACCTAGAGGAGTTGGAAAACTCTGATTTCAAACCGATGGTGAACATGTGCTCCAGGATCCTGAGGAAATAAAAGGCGTACGAACCAATTGTTGGCCACCGACTACCATGAGACTGCATCTCCTTATGTTGCTCCACTGTCTTAACCATTAGACCTTTAGGTCGAAACCTCCAGTTGTGATCCCGTAAAGAAACCAGGTCTATGTTTGGGCAACCGAGCAGTATCGCAGCCCACACACGCAAGTCAAGTGACTAGTGTGACGCATATGTATTCGGTGCCCCTTTGTACCAGTGTTTATGTGTTTAAAAATATAAGCATAAGATCTTAACAATTAGTTAACTGTCATAGAACAGTGAATACGAAAAGATGAACTTTATTAACTTAATAGTGTATTTCTTTGATCATCTAAATTATTCAATTGATATGATATAGTTCCCGAAAATTAAGAAAAATGATTCAATTGTTATCAATTATACTATTTTTCCAATTTAATTTCGATAACGCAGTGAGAAGACGTAGTTTATCAGAATTATGTGATATATTTGCGCAATACATTTTGAACAATCTGATCACACATATACTTGTTAAGAACATTTATATATGAAAATTAAAAGGTCAACTAGACAGGTTAAGGGTAAGTCACAGCAAAGGAAAAATATTAAAGTACACAAAAAAACAAATGTGATTACCACTCTGAATAGTAAATCAGTACTACCAGGGTAGGTTAAATGTAAGCACAAATTGATTTTGAACACATAAAGGGGGTTTCAATTTTCGTATAGCCAAGGCTTAGTATACGTCCTTAAAGGCTTTTGTACAACACAACAAATGCTGATTTGATATCAACCTTGTGACCCGTCTCAATCAAATGTTTCGCAATGGATGATGATGTCTGTCTATCCTGTGATCTTATTTCACCATTGGAATTCATCTGATTCTGCAACCATTTTGGTATATGTTCACCCACCCTTAATTGCAAATCACGATTGCTCCTCCCTATGTACGTGTTTCCACACATACATGTAAATTGATAGACACAATGGGATGTAACACAATCGTTTTCGTGCTGTTTGGGCTTTTGGTGAAACATAGACCTTGTCTTTTCGATAATGACAAGTTGGGCTGCATAAAATGTCCAGTTGATAGCTGATTTAAGTCTCCGTTTCAGCATGAGACTATTTGTGTCGCCTCTGAATGGTAACGTAATATAAACTCGCTTTTTGGGTGCCAGAAGCGTCATAGGTCTAGTCATATTGCAACCCCTCCAGCGGTTTATGAACTTCAAAGAGTAACCATTATTGATTAACGCATCAGTCAAGAGCTTCATCTCTACTTCAATAGTATCACTACTACAAATACGATTGATTCTATTGAATAAGCTCTTTATTAAACCGCGTTTATAATGAATAGGGCAGTGACTATGAAAATTAAGATATTGTCCTGTCCATGTTGGTTTTCTATATATAGCACGTTTGATGGAACCATCATCTCTCCTAGTAATCAGGATGTCAAGAAAAGGGAGTTGGTTGTTCTTCTCTTCTTCACATGTAAGAGAAATGTGCTTTTGACTACTATTGAATTCTTCAAACAAGCGGTTTATGTCTTCAATTTTATCACCTATGATTATTATGTCATCTACATATCGTTTATACAGACCCATCTTTCGAATTGAGTCTCCAACTAAGTTTTCCACATATCCCATGAACACATCAGCCAGCAATGCTCCTAGAGGGCTGCCCATAGCTACACCATCTATTTGTTTAAAGTGTTCACCTTCAAATGTGAATTTTACATTATCTGTACATAATAATAATAAATCTTTAAGAGTTTTAACAGGAAAGGGCAGTGGAAGGTTTTTCGAAGAAATAAAGTCACACAAAATATCAATGGTTTTCCTAAGAGGTACATTTGTAAATAAAGTGTTTACATCAAAGGAGCACATTGTCTTTGTCTTTATATTTATATCCTTTAAGTAATTAATTAATTCAAATGAGTCAGTCAAAGAATACTTACAATATTGATTTCTGATAGGGTTTAATAATTTTGTAAGCCATCTTGCAAGGTTGTGTGTAGGTGACCGACACATTGATGGAATTGGACGTAGGGGGATATTAGGCTTATGAATTTCCGGTAATCCATATAAATTAGGATATGCCGAACCCATAGGTTTTAATAAATTAAACTCATCTTTGTTAATAGCATTCATGTTTAACAATTTCACAAGATTCGAGTTTACATTCTTTTCAAACTTACGTAATCCATCAAAGCCAACATCAGCCGAAAATTTGCTTTTATCACTGAGAATGGATTCCATTTATGTGTAGTGACTTATTCTATTTCATTGTGATTATTGACTCATATTGCCTTGATTGGTTTAAAATTTTCGTATAAATATTCATGTATATTAGAGTAAAGCCTGATGACGATCTAATTGAAAACAATTGTTCGCTTATATGTGTTGTTCTAATTTTCACAATGGGAATCTTTAGTAATCACATTTGTTTTTTTGTGTACTTTAATATTTTTCCTTTGTTGTGACTTACCCTTAACCTGTCTAGTTGACCTTTTAATTTTCATATATAAATGTTCTTAACAAGTATATGTGTGATTAGATTGTTCAAAATGTATTGCGCAAATATATCACATAATTCTGATAAACTACGTCTTCTCATTGCATTATCGAAATTTATCAAAGGGGCTAATTGTTTTAAATTTAATTTATTTAAATATGAATTAACTAACCTTAGGATACTCATCAAAGTTACTTGTTAAATAATTTATAAGCATTGAATTCGAAACATTGTCAGAATGTATATCATCCATATGTTTCGACGTAACTGATGTACTATTATAACTAGATTCATCAAATGACTTGCTAAATATTCTAGATTTATGATTTGGTAATAAAATGAATTCATCTTCAATGTCAATGGATAGATGAATACCCGGTGCTAATGAACTAAAGCGAATAAACACTATCCAACGTAATAGATCATCTGGGTAATAAAACGGAAAAATAAAAACAAATAAAAATTGATAAACTAGTCTCCTATAAAATAAAACCAGTAATCGTTATTTTATGAATGGTTATGCAGAGAATGATTTCTACTTTTCTTCAGTGAGTAACTGCTTCACACCAAACGCAGTTGAACTTCATGGGACATAGCTTCTCACTAGAACTCCAAGAAAATCCATCTTGAAGCTATTATTACTTTGTCAAAAGGATGCAACAGTTGTTATTTGGTAACTACTGAGAACTGTTTTAACTTATCTGAGTCAATAATAGTAAGAAGACCGGTGTCAATGAGACAATTTGTCAACTAGTAATCTATAAAGGTGTCTGGAACATTGGATTGAACAGTTTGAGAACCAAATTAAGTAGATTGTTTCACAACAGATTAATCCGTTCATTTCTTCAAACCTGATAACTACTGGTCTACTTAGCAAACTGAAAGTCTGGAAGAGATCCAGCACGCGGGTTTCATTCTATTTGGGACGCGTTAGCTAGATGTATCGGCTATCTGGATTTAGTAGCTAGGCGGACAACATTACTGGGTTCAAGTCTCAGAGTAGACACCAACTCTAGGATGCAGGTACATCCATCTGACGAGTCCCAAATAGGATGAGAAGCGCGTCTTGAATTTCACTGCTGGCCACCATCCATCTTGGCCTACAAAGAGATGGCTATTCTTTTATGAGCAGCACTTAATGAAAATCGACATAAAAAGTAGTTACTAACCTGAGAGCTTTAATTTGAGCAAATCTATATTATTGCACCGACCAAAACTGTACTCTGAGTATCCTCCATCAGATATGAATGGATTACAAGCAGTATCATTTTGCTGGCAATTAAATTGTCCGCTTTCAAAACTCTAAAATAAAACAATGAGTAAAAATATAATAATATATAATAACATCGTTGACTGTTATACAGTCAAACTGTATTGATCAGAAAGACAAGGTAGTTGATATCCACTTGTTGAAAATCCATTGAAAAAAATGTAAACCTGAAGAATCAATTATTGAACTAGGAATTAGTGAACAGTTATTCTATTTTAGTTTGAGACTTTATTTCATGAAATCAAGTGAATAGGACATTGGATAAAGGGATATATTATATAACAAACAGATTACAGTTTAAAATGAAGACTATTGTCTTAAAAGGAAGGTATTTGACAAGTATTACAAGTTATTATTATTATTACTATTATTATCATTAGCTTTATTCAATATTATATTTTTAGTACAATATAGAATTCTCAGCGCAAAGTATTTCAACAAGTTTCCGTTTCTTTCTTCTTGTTTACAATTTTAAAAACAGGTTGAAATGGATAGGTAGTACTTTCATGTTTTAAATGCTCCTCTTTAGGAAATTATTGGTACTTGGTGGAAATTATCATTAAATTATCAGAAATCTCAATAAAACAAATGCTTTTAGTCATATTTTACTAAGATATTCGACAGATATTCTAAAGTAGTTTTGTTACATTGTCCTTTTGTAGTCATTATCACACGTTTTATTTTGACTCATGTACTGTTGTGTATTTCGACGTTCGAATGTATGAGAATGACAGTCTTTTCAAATTAAATTCTGTTCATTAAACAGAAAATGTGACTTTGATCGTGTAGTGTTCATTCATAGATAATATGGGCAGATTTGTCTCATGAGAATATTGACTAAGTGTCATTGATTAAACCATAAGTAATGTGAACATATTTCTAGATTATAAAATGAGAATTAACTAGTTTCTAAGCCAGTGTAAACAACTTTATTTAACAATGAACTGATACATGAAATTCAAACTGTTTCACTGATAGTGTTGTTACTCATTGAAGTGAATCAAACTAACACTAATATATCCAGTAATGAATGATAAAAGTAGTAGTAATACATCTCACCGATTAGATGATACTAACCTATTTACCAGTACATCATTTAAATACTTTGAGAATAGGTTGTAGCAATACGTTCTAGTTCACATTTGCTTGTTTTAATTAACTAACTTGAACGAGGTTGATGTCCAGTGCTACTTAACTTTTATTGGTCAGTTTGTGATGGAAAACAATCTTTAAAATACTGAAAAAATGGATCAAATGGATATAATTTCAACAAAGCTATAATTCATTATTAAGGCATCTGTTCATAGTGTTCTTATACCAAGAAAACACTAATATCAACCCACTCTTAAAAATGTAAACGACTCAGAACTAATAATTTCTAAACAAAAGATCAAAATAAAATGTCACTGGCATTACGTATGTACTATGAAAAGAATAAACCCAAATATTTACTAATTTTCTGGATAAACTGAATAATTCAGTAAACAATGAAAAAAATCAGTTTCAGTGCATGAAATTAGAAATGATTAGTAGGTTATAGTGCGTATGTGAGTATGTTTGGAAGAGAGATAGAGAGACGTGAAAAGACAACATACTAGCACGTACACATACACACAAGTAAGATTATATAGAGAAACGAGCATTTATGAATATTGATTACGAGAATAAAAGGCTTAGGGAAGAATAACGATCAACTCTGGGACGAGTGTACATCTAGCTGACGAGTCTCAAATAGGACGAAACGCGCGTCCTACATTCCACTGCTAACCACCATCCATCTCTGCCTATAATGATTGTGACTTAAGGCAATATCGAGGCAATCCGCTCAGAATGCAAATATGCTAATAAGAGACAAATCAATTGCAGTCCTAAACATCAATGGGAAGATTCAAACGGCCAACACAAGGTGAAGAATGATAATCATTTAAAAACTTACCAAACAAAAAGAAACGACGAAGAACTTAAGTGTAAAAACCAGTAGGATACAAAATATTTTAGAAAAATGCTGTGTATTAGAGGGCAGTTTCTGTTTAGTTGCAGAAATCTATGAACCATAAGCATCTGTCTCTCTGATATGACTGAAGTTGGAAATGTAGATCGCTGTATAAAACTTTCAGTAGTTATTATCAGAAGGTCTGATCTTCACGGGTACAGTTATGTGTGAAATCAAGTCTTTTCATTGATGACAGGCTTTAGATTGTAACTCATTGACAACCTAGTTTTCAGTGATTTTTGCATCTATCATTATCAACCAGAAGTCATAACAATATACCTGAAACATTCCAGATTTTTTCTTTGGGCTGAATATCAGTTGGTTAAAACTGGCAAATTTACACAAACAAACATAGAAATTATCAGGAAGATAGAGATGGTTATTTTTTTCACTATAGAAGAATTTTCGGTCTTATGCATATTTGATTAGAAAATGATGTCTACTTAATCATTATTATGATAAACGTACAGGAAACAAAAAGATTATTTTTCGCCGAATACAGTTTGATGTAATATTCAATACCTATACGAAAAGGTATACATAAATCTGAATTTGTATTTTATGAATAACGATAGTTTACTTATGTTACAACAACAATACAATTTGGGGATACTGAATAAATACAAAAGATAACAGAACCTTTCAGCGTTATATATATATATATATATAACAGTTTATTCTGCTACACATATTGGTAAAATTAAGTCATGATACAAAAGCGAAAACCTAAAAGTGTTTTATTGACTGAAAGGGATGAAATATATTACAATTTTTTTGGTGTAAAAATCTGTTAAACAATTTGTTCTATGACCGTAAGAATATTTAATCTGTTGTTGTTGGATTGAAACTAAAATAACAAATAGCTCTCACGAATGTATATTTTGGAAAAGAGTAACGACCTCATAGTTAAAGCACTTACCTTTCAATTAGTAGATCACAGGTTCAAATCTCCATTAGCCTATTTCGACTTGAAAAAGCGATTGGCATTATTTATTATTTATTTTAAAACATAGATATTGGTACAAGGAGGCACCAAATACATATGCGCCACACAAATCTCATTCGATATGTGTGAGGGCTGGGAAACTGCCCGAGTGCCAAAACCGAAGCAGGTGGTTTTCTTAGGGGGCCACTCCCCGAGCCTTCGACCTGAAGGTTTGATCCACAAGGCAGTGGAGCATCGTAAGGAGATGCAGTCCCATTGGAGCCGGTGACCAACCATTGGTTCATACGCCATTTGTTCCCTCAGGATACTGGAGCCCATGTGCACCATTGGTTTTGAATCCGGTTAAAGCGCCGGACATTCGCTTTTCGTCCTCTCATTTTCGTAAACAACACCCCCGCCACGAGAAGGCAGTGAGTAGGACTTCCCTGGCAGAAGCTATATACGCGTGGTCATGTGACAGCATTTCGAGAGGGAGAGCAGACTCTCCCCACTCTCAGCCGTACCAGGGCATTTAGGGGCGATTAGTATTATTAGTCCGCATACAACTTAAGTGGCTTATATCTGAGTATATAAATTTGTACTTAATAAATGAATAAATTATTAATATTTTGGGGAATGTTAGTCACAGCTCTGTTGGTTTATTCAGTCTATTCAGAATAAGAATTTAATGGTTTACATATAGAAAATAGAATATTATATAATATTTCAACTCCGTCTAGAGCCTTTCTGGGGCTACTGCCAATCCCAAGCCCGGATAAAGTAGGAGGGTTGGGCATGGGGTTAGCGACCCCATTCCTTAGAAAACTAAGTTGCTAAAAATGCTAACCAGAAAAATTTGATTTAAACTATCGACGATAACAATCTCATCTCATGAACCTTCTACATCATTACTTCTTTGTTATTCAAATAACTAAAAAGTTCTTTTACAATGAAATTATTGATTATTATGTGATCTTAAGTTTTATACTTGTATAATTATGTTATTTAATAAGTCAATCAAAAGTTTAACTTGCATAAATAATAAATGTCATTATATACAATCTACATGAAATCAATTCATCAGTAATTCTATATTATAAAAAAATTTATTAAAAATCGAATTAGTGAACAAACTTGAAATTTAATTAATTAAATGAAATTGTGTTGTCATAAGGAAACATCATTCAATTTATTTGATTATTTGTAAATGATACTCAGATATTAAAATGTTTCATGAGTTTTAACTTAAAGTTTAAAAATAAAAAAAACAAACAGTGTAAACATTTTTTATTGTAGGTCCAAAAAAACAAAACCATTATGTGTGTCATTAACAATAATGGAATTATATAATCATGAAAGAATACTAATTCAGTGACTGTATTAAAAAAAGATAGGAATCTAGTTGAATAACTATCAAATGATGAAACTGATAAGTATCACAACTTATTTAATTGGATCAAGTATTTAAATTAATAAGAATGTATAGATTTAAAAACAATAAGAGCATGTTGTATTCATGCTGATGAGTTATATCAGTAAATGATTGTAGTATTGTTCATGTTTTTAAATTAATGATACAGTTAAATAAAAGAACCGCAGCCTAATAATGATTAGAACGCTTTACTGTTGACTACTAGTTAGTACATTGGAATTCCAGTTTTCTCTAAATTAGCGGTATTATTAGCCTATATGAGAAGAGCATGGATTGAAGTCAAATGAAAAAATCTGTGTTTAATTATGATTTAATTGAACACATAAATATTGGTACAAAGGAGCACCGAATACATATGCGTCACACAAGTCAGTTGATTTGTGTGTGGGGGCTGTGATACTGCTCGGGTGCCAAAACCTAGAGTTGGTTTCTTTACGGGACCACAACTGCAGCTTTTAACCTAAAGGTCTAATACTTAAGACAGTGGGGCAACATAAGGAGATGCAGTCTCACGGCAGCCGATGGCACCCGGGCAGTATCACAGCCCGCACACAAATCGAGTGACTTGTGTGGCGCATATGTATTCGGTACCCTTTTGTACCAATATTTATGTGTTCAAATAAAATAAATAGTCGGTGGCCAACAATTGGTTCGTACGCCTTTTATTTCCTCAGGATCCTGGAGCACATATTCACCATCGGTTTGAAATCAGAGTTTTCCAACTCCTCTAGGTGAATCTTCCATATCCACCAACTCGGTTAAAGCATTGGAAATTCGCTTTTCATCCTCTCAATTTTGTAAATAACACCCTGTTCACAAGAAGTCAGTGAGTGAGTGAGTAGGTCTTCTGTGGTAGTGGCTGTATACGTATGTCCATGTGAGAGCATTTGGATAGGGAGAGCTAACTCTTCCCACACTCGGCCGTACCAAAGCATTAAATAACAAAAACTATCCATTTTGCCTTGGTCTGCACTCTTACTTGGAAAAAAATTATAAAACAATTATGGAAAACCCGGAATATCATGCAAAAAGTGTATTTCATTGAGTTTTAATAACGAACAAGCAAAATGACATCAACAAAGAAGACTTAGTACTCGAAGATTGATCAATTTTCAAAGTTGAACAAAAATAGGAGTAAGAAGTTGTTAGCGATCCTTTCTTAGTGAATCTCATGTCAGCCAACGAGTTGATAATAAAACTTATATTAACCTTAGGAATGAAAATATCATTCTTTTGAGTTCAATAGTTTGTTAATGAAGCAAAATGTATGATGCTCTTAAAATTATATTAAGAAAAATTAGCAACCGAGATCTTAGAACATGAATACACCAGTATATTAAGTAATTGATTAAACCACCAGATAATCCATACATAAGGTAGTATGTAAGCTTACTGCGAGATAAAATATTTGCTCTGTCACTTACTTCGTTTTTTTCAGGTTCATACACATTTGTTATCAGAGGTAAACGATGATTGGGTGAGTAGATACTAAATTGTGAAATGAAGAAAAGTCAAAAAAAGGAATAAGGGATCTTAAATGTATACTTAAAAATTTCGATTAATATAAGAAGGAAGATAAATACGTTTGTAGTAGCAACGATCTCTTTTCGAAATATTTAATGAATAAAACTAATAACAGACCGGTAGTACAGTTGCATTCCCGTTTTATCGATTTATGTCAATCGATGATTCTATGCTGCAATATATGACGTCGGTTGGAACAGGATGGATTGAATAGATATTTGTCACTAGTTTGTAACTCGGCGGGAGCTTCAAGATCATAGCGTTAAACATTTGAAAAGCTAATTTTTTAATCATTAGACCATCTCGAACTCAAACGAAGAACAATCCAGTACAGTGAGATTTGCAAAAGTTATTGGATTAATGTCAATTTATAAATGGAAACTATCTTACGAGTAATTCATATCGCCAAAAACACCAACGTATGTGACAAGAATAATAGTAATTCATAATTGACGCTGGTGGTGGATTGTGTGATGTTTGGGATGTGAACCATTCGATTTCGAGACACGGTGGTTTAAAGTTAACATGGAAGTTATGGTACAAGATGTTGGATTTGATCTCTTAAGGCTATATTTTCATGGATATGTACAACTAATAAGTCCCAAACTAGAATGAAACAATCCCCCATTGTTCCTTGTGTTTTTAATAGTTCACCAGTGTTCATGTCAATACTCAGAATCCTAAGACACAAACATAACCAACACGACTCACTCGTAGAACAAGATTCACATCTATCTGACGTAATGTAATGATGTTATTTAGAATACAAAATGAAACAAAGGCTTCTAATTAAACTATCCAACTTAGCTGACTCAATAATTCATTATTGTTAAAGTATACAAAAAAAAGACAACAACAAAAATCAAGTTACTTACTTCTTACAAGTTTCAAGATTCAAATTATCATCGATTTCACTGATAGGATTATTGAACCGATTGTTTTTTATCACTTCTTTATCAATATTAACATGATTAATTTGTACAGCATATCTACCATTATTAGTTATTGTATGAACATTGAAATTACTAGACGACAACTCACTGGAAACATGTTCTTTTGAAAAGAATTTATGATTAGATTGATGCTGTTCTGTTACACAGCAACAATCATTACAGTCATTATTGATTATTTTGCTAGTGGGTCTTATTGCAGTTGTTGTGGTTGTTATCGCTGTAAAATCATTTCCAAGTAGATTATTATCAGTAATTAATTCATTTGATAAAAGTCCTAAGTCTTCATCAGTATAAGTTGAAATAAATGGTGAAGGTGTTGATGTTGATGTGATGATTAAATCAGTGAAATTTATTAATTCATCAGAATAACCTATTTCAATGGGTGTTATTCTAGTTGGATCTTCTACTACTACTACTTCTTCTTCTTCATTAATATGAAAATAATCATTATTACCATTATTAGCAGTAGTAGTAGAAGTAGTGGTGATGTTATCATTGGAATGTGTGCTACCATCAGTATTAACATACTGATGATTATGATTAACAACATCATTGACATTTTGATGATCAGGACTATCATTTGACTCGATGCTTTTTGTTGTGTTAAAATTTTCAAAGTTATTCATTGTTAGTGATAATGAATAGGGATAATCATTCGCCCAGTTAATTACAACATCAGATAGCAAATTATTAGATTCTACACTATTATTATTATTATCATCAGGAAACAATAACTGGTTCACAGCAGAACTTGCCTCTACTTCCCTGTCTGGATTATTATCATTATTTTTTGAGTTAATATTATTGTTATTATCATAATTAGACTGTTATTTTTAAAAAAAGAAAAGATGGTAAATAATTAATAATGACAATATATATCCTTAAAACAAAATAATCTGATTATACAATAATAATAATAATAATAATAATAATAATAATAATAATAATAATAATAATAATAATAATAATAATAATAATAAAGAGGAAGAATGTATTTGATTATAATTTCCTTGAAAAATCTTGGACCAGATTGCCAGGTGAAACGTTGGATTTACTTCAAATTCTTTCGCTGAGATTTTACAAATACATTCTTCCTCTTTAATGACTCACATTAACTCGGCGCCCAAATATTGTGAAACTATTCGTTTAAATTTAGACGAAAGTTCTTATTTAATAATAATAATATATGTATAGACAAATTAATTATTTACCAAATATTCCACTGTAAGATGATAATTGATCATAATTTATAGGAAAGGAATAAAAATAAAACAATTCAATGTATGAACAGTAAGTTAATGTTAAATATGATGTAATTTTTTCTTTCAAAAATGAGAAAACAGAAACTTACAGTCTCATTGTTTTGACAATATCTATTTATTGGTTTTGAAGAAGAGAATATGAATGGAATGTAATCATCATTATTTTCATTATTATTGTTATTAATTATATCTGATAACATGAAATACAATAAAAAAACGAAAAAAAAGGAAAGAAGACAAATGCTTCATTTAAGAGAAAGTCATTATATCAAATTAACTTTTGAAAATCATGTTTACTGTGTATTTTTTGAAAATATCTCCTTTTCTCATTAGACATATAAAATCTCATCAACATAGAAATGAATGTATCAATAGAAAAATATGCCACATTTAAATTATGAGATAAATGTTATTCAATTAGTCAATAGTATAATATCACTCATATTAGGTTCTTAATCATAAATATTCAATGACAGGTAAGTAGACAAACGATCCAATGACTGAGATAATAAAGTAGATGGAAGAGAGAGAGATGATCAAGCAATTTAAATATTTTGATTAAGACTACTAGGTGACAAGTTATAATTCCCTATATCTACGTCAACTGGACAAAATCACTAAGCAAAATTGCACCTTTAAGTCAAATCAATCAATAAAAGCTTGATTAGGGAGGTGTATTGTACCATTGTTATAGGTCATTATTGATTATTGGGACTCTATGAATAATCACATTTTAACTCACTCGATACACGAGCAACTATCCAAAGATATACGTAATCAAATACTAGTAAAACACTTTCACAGTAATCAAGAAAACAAAGAGGAAAAATGCGCAGTATACTCGCCTTTGGTAAGCAGACGGACATCTATCCTAGACCATACACTGAACAAGTAGGAAAAAGTCGAATGAGCTTTCTCTTTTGTACTAAGACTGTCAGCTATTGCTTCTAATTTAGCCGATCAGACTTTCAAGATAAATGAAAGGTCAACACACTTGAATACTTAACTCTCTGTATTCAAATAAGGCATTGATTCAAACCAGTTCTAAAGTAACTATACATTTGAGGAGATTAAAACACATCTCATTGTGCATTTACTCAGTGTTCAAAAGATTGGTAGTTGTATGACGAAATTAAATAGCAATGTAGAAAATGAGCAACCGTGATTGTTACCAAATCATGCAACCAAACACACACACACACAACCAATTTATCCAGATCCATTAGATGGATCATTCAATCTTTCAAATACATTTAACACTCTTATGCCAAATAGAAATGCTTTACATAAGAGTATGCTTAAACCTGCTTTATTAACTAATTTAATTCCTTCCCCTTAAAAATAACCTTCCATTATAATCATTCTTTATCTTGAAAAGTTACATTATAATCGCAAAGATTTACCTTATTCATTTCTAACTTTTTTTAACCGCTAATTTTAACTTCGATAATTAACTAACTATAAAGTGAATTATTTCATAATTTTAAATAGGATGATACGCATTATGCTGATAACATATCCAGGTTAGAAACAACTCCATATTTTTTGCCTTTAAATATAAACATTTTCACTTAATAGGCAACGATGGAACAAAAATGGAGAATAAAAATCAAAACTGGTTAGAAGACAAAAAACAGTAAAAAATATAATCAACATGTACACAATGAGCATAATAAAGGATTGTTGAATGAATATTATTCGTTATTGATTTTCATCATTAAAATGATCCGTTTGTATTATCTAATCAATGATAAGCATGATCACAAACAAAGTGAAAATAATGAATAATCATTTTTTTATAAATCAAAATTTCGGATGGATAAAATCCAAACTGAAATAAAATTCCACGATTTAATTTAATGTAAAATCATTAATTAAGTACTAATTTCTGTAATTGACTAATAATGCTAACAGATCATTTTGGTTGAATTAGACAAACTAGTATTCAAATATGAAACCTACTGAATAAAATAAATAAAAAGTACATGAAATGCAATAAAATTTCAGTCAGAAACAATGTAGTACAAGGCACTGTTGTGCGCTGTCTTGTTTGATGGGAAAATCAAACACGAAAAGTAGATCATGAATCAATCTAAGTCAGACCACTATTAAAAACTTGAAAGTACTGGACGGATGTTTCATCCTAGTGTGGGACTCCTCAACAGTGTGAATTCACACCGCCACAAGCGGGATTCCAACTTAAGTCCTTCAATCATCTGTGAATAGAAATTTCCGGAGGTCTAATGAAAAGCCGTGATCAATAGAGCTAAACTGTGTCGAGTGTAGAGACAGTTACTCACCATCGAAGATAGTTGGACAATGTCTTGGACTGATTAAAGTTAGACATTAACACCGTTGAATGCCGGTTAAGGGGTTTAGGAGTTTAACGTTCGCGCGCGAGACTGGAGGTCTTGAATTTGACTCCCGTGTGCGGAGGCATGGATTCACACTGCTGAGTCCTATACTAAGACAAAACGGCCGTCCAGCGCTTTAAGGTTTTGAACGGTGATCTAACTTAGATCAGTTCAGGATTCCAGTGAGATTCAACAATCCCCATAACCTCATACTAACGAAAATGGAATTAATGATAGTAAATATTAATGGTAGTGATAACTTTAAAGTATTTTAAAAACATGGATTTACATTGAGTAAAACAGATATCAAGTATTAACAGTGATATATAGATTGAACAAGGGTGTGTATCAAGTTAACAATACTATAATTGTGGGAAAAATTGAAGTTAAATGATAATTGTCTGATAAAACACTATTTATTAAGAAATCTCTTCAGTGTAACTACGAATTACCTACCTGAAAACTGATATCCGCGAATATTTCGCGTATGAGGATTTGTTCGACAAGACGACTTGTTATTCGAAAAGACTAATTCCAAATTTGTCTGATAATTATCATTTAATTTGGGCGTGATAAGGAGAAATACAGCTGCGTGCGGATGATGATGATGACGATGATTTATATCAGATTGTAGTGAAGACATACTCTTCACAACACTGCTACTCGTTATGTTTCTATATGAATTATCAGACAGAAATGATAATGACGATGATGGAGGGGAATTCGGATTCACTGATGAATTCCAAATATGATCACTCAGCATCTGGATTAAATTAGAGAAATTTAACTGGGAAAAACAAAAAAGTAAAGTTTATTGACTATAAAGACATTTTTACATTGAAAAATATTGATATTAGCATAATGAATATAAAACTAGGTTTGTAAAAATTTCAGCCAAAATGAAATTAAACAATTTCAACTATTCACCAAACAGTTTGATTTGAACTTTTATGATTCTTTTCATGATGATGATGATCATCATCAACACTAACATCGTCACTGATTGAAAGAAAGCCCAGAAAGTTCATAAAATCTAGTTTATAAGGAATAGTATCTTAAAAAAGTGATTCATACCGCCTATAAAATGTTTCTAATATAATTTATTTTGTGATGTTTAAACTTTGTATAAAACTATAATGTAATATTATCAATATCAGATGTAGTAGTAAGCGAGTAAAATTTCTTCAACTAGACTATAGCCCATAACTTGTATTTTATATATATAAAACTGAATACAACAAATCCATACTTGATCTATTGTATGTAACTCCAGATATCAGTACATCGTCGTAAGAAACAAAAAAATCAAAGTTAACATGATAAACAAATACTAGGACTCTAGCAAAATTTTCATTTGTACCAGTTTCACCATATATTAACTGTAGTCATTGTTTTTACTTCGTGACATAAAAAGTCGCCATTTACAGAGGTAGAAGATTTACAATCTACTTAAATTTATATACACCATAGCGCAAAAACATGATACATCACCAACAGATAGAGAATAACAATAATGTGAAACACATGTGTGCACACAATAGAAACAGAATGATAAACTTGGACTTCAATAGAAGGCTTAACACGCATGATATTTTTGTCTAAACTTAATAATAATAATAATAGTAATAATAATAATAATAATAATAATAATAATAATAATAATAATAGTAATAACAATAATAATAATAATAAGAAGAAGAAGAACTATGTTAATTATATTTTCGAAGAAGTCCAACTTATTGTTATTTAAAATGTAATATTATTTTACGATCTTTTATCAACCAAGTGCATGTTTAAAAAATAAATACCATTTTACATTGAACGAGATATTAAACTGTTCAACACGACGGGCAGGAAAAACTATGGAAAAAATCAAGCCCATTTTTTCTGAAAAATAACTATACGTTTACTGAATAAATAAACAAAACAACATTTATCAGCTACAAGTAAAGGATTTCACTGATTACTCGCATATGTTAGTATAATGAATTATCAAGTGATTGATGTGTTGAGTTTTCTTATTACAACCCAGCTACTCTTATTGCTTGATATTCGTGGACAATATTTCGCTTGACAAGTCCCCAAATCAGAACATTGTGTGAAAGCATATAAGAATAACAGTAGTGTTACGACCAATTGGAAGAGTTGATGTCAAGGCCACTATCTTAATTTAATGCTTGAATACGGTAATGAATTGGTTAAATCCAACTCAAATCAATGTAATATAAACTGGTCATATCAAGGGAATCAACTCACAAATCAAATGCCTGATCACGTAAATAGAAACATGGAATAATATTTATCGAGAAAGAGAAGGTTCGAACTCAAAATTAGGAAGTTAAACGTCATATACTAATTACATTGATTCATGATTGATTATAACAAGAGAAAATTGAAGAGAGAATTAGGTAGTCTAAAATATGAAATTGATAGACATTCAAAGCACGTAACACCATATACACGCAGTTGGGTTTAGAACAGCATATCATAACAGAAAAGACAACATCAATAGAAACTGAGATGAAAGATGAATGTATCTTTAAAAGTGTAATCGGTTTCGAACTATATTTACGAACTGTGTCTATAATCATCTGTAGTTTTCATAACGAGAAACCCTACACGGGAAGTCAATGTTTCATCCCACAATCTAAATCAATGGTCAGTAATTTTAGGGTTTCGTAAAATACGACTAAGTCAACTCATAGGAGGTTCATCACCTAACCGACTAACTTAATCTTGTCTACATCACCACTAACGTTAACATTCTTCATTCAATGAGTTCAATACGTCCGAGCAGTGCTCAGAAGATAGCTACGATTGAATACCCATCCTAACTGTTTTCCACTTTCATATACCAAGTCCCATGGCCTTAAATAAGGATAGAAACATTGACATAACACAGTACTAAAATTGGGCACGCGTTTAAATTTTATCAGTTTATTTTGTGTTATATTGACTGCGATTACAAACAAATATTTTTGACAATCATACTTGACCCAGTCAATATAAGTGACCACTTGTATAAACCAAACCAGTAGTCGATAACCTCCATGGAATAATATCACTTCTGCACTACAAGAGAACTCTATTTGTTTGCATTTGTTACAACTTATATCACTTCTGTCCAGGTAGATATTTTAAAATCATAGACAACGGGCTGGACTTGCCAATTTTATTCAAAGATGACATTTTGTATAACCAAGTCTGTTTAATCAGAGACTAAATTGTACATCGTTAACTCGGTGGTAAAATACAAGCTACATACGCTGAATCATTGTAAACTTCTTACGTTACATTGACGTTTTTCATGTTATGACAGTGTACGACATAGTACTTTGTCGTAAATACGACAGCTTGAAGAGAATGTAGAGTAGATGTCCACACACACACACACACACGGATAAACGAACACAACGAATTAAGCGAGCTAGTTAGTCCAGATCAATTAGCAACCAGATTATTATATCAAGTACAGTTAAACTGCATTTTGCCATTCAAAATAATATCAGTACATTCAGCACACACTTGGTTAAACGATTTATAACAAATGATAAGTTGAAACAACTGAAATATAATCCTGCAACCTAATATTTACTAAATAAATGAGCGTTGAGATAGTATGCTCATTTATAATCTCAAAATAGTTACAATGACATTTAAGCCTTTTCTATAATAACAAACAGCTAAATTATTATCAATAACATGTAGTGGGCAATGCTAGAAATGCATTGGTAACTAACTTTGAAGTAGTATGCCGATCGGAGTATTAATTAAATGAATCCATGTTACAGTGATCAGATAAAGACATGAAATCAATCTCTTGAATTCGTAACAGTTTATTTGAATAGTGTAGGATCATTAAAGCGGCGAAAATCGGTGAACGGATGAATGAATGGATGCTGAGTGGTGTGTGGTTTGAATTTGTTTACAGTGAGACAGATATTAGATTTAACTATCATTTTGCTAAAAAAAAATAATAGCTACCTTATTGTTCTAAGATACTCCTTTACGAACTTATTATGTCGATCAATATGATTGACAGGTTTAGATTAAACGAAAAGAGAATATACTGTCAGTTCAATTCACTAACAGTTATCTTAAGGAAAAACAGAACAGAAAAGATTCAAATGAAATCGATTCAATTAGTTTCTTTAAAACTATTATATTGACTTCACCGCTAAATATACAAAATAACATATTGAACTCTATTGAGAACAGTTACTTCTTATAGGAAAAAACTGAATAAATAGAATAGGTTATGTAAACATTGAAGCGACTCATTTACGAAGTGCACGGATTTATATACTCGGTTGTGAGCTACATTACAGGTATGAAGGCTTTCGAGATTAACCGGTTACTCGAATCGAAGTAAAGCAGAGTTTAAGCCAGTAGTCTAAAATTTGGAATTGGACTGATGAAATCACTAACTTTAAAACATGTATTTTTATTGTCTTATTCAACCGATTATCATCTGCCTATTATGGAACCCCTTGGCAGCATACACACTCTTGCGATAATAGTAACTGTCAATTTTACATTAAATGATCGTAGCGCCATATTGCGAATCGACTAAAGATGGAAATGTGTAACATCTGAACCAAAACCAATAGTCCAAATGATAAACACTCCGCAAGGTACCTAAACGTTATAGGATCAACTTCCACTAGGGTTATGGGTGGGCACTGGTGAGAAATTCCATACCAAGAAAAATTATCTGTCTAGTTTTCCCTCGTTATCAATGATAATCCAGCTGAGAAAAATTCGTGAAGATACACCACTGACAGATTCGAACCATTCCCACCAAACCATTTCAAGAATAAATATGACAGGATATTTTAAAAATGAAAAATTTAATAATAAAGGGAAACTAATAAAAACCAAGTGGATTTTTGTTGTCAGTGAATAGGATGAAAAAAAGATAATAAAAGTTAATGTATGAGCAAAAAAGTAGAATAGATATTTTTAGTATATGGTAGTTGACGATTTTCCTAGACGTACAAAAAAAAACATCTGTGATTTTAGGATTGTAATGAAAGAGATGACGTCCAATCTTCTCTTTTTAGTGAATTTCTTCTCGGTATTATAAATGATTTTGAGATTTAAAAAACTTTGCTAGAATACAATGATTAATGTTAACTAAAATTTTAGAATAGAAGATTTTATGGTAAACATATTACTTTATTTTTTACAATCTCAATAGATAAGTGAAATTGTGCAGAAATGTAAATCAATATGCCTAATTCTGTAAGATCAAATGAATGATGTTACATACATACATCGAGTTGTTCAGTGAAAAGGTATCCTCCATTTTACTGTTTTTTTAAAAACAAGGGAACAAAAAGTATCATTCCCATCACTGATTTAGGAAAAAGGATAGTTTGATAAACTTGAAAATGAACTTTAAAAAACTAACCACTGGATCAATAAACAAGTACATATTTATGTAGAACAATGGTTTCAGTGTAAGTCATTTGTCTGATAAGTGAATCGAAAGCCAGGAAAAACTTCTGGTGGAGTTGTATTCTTTGAGCTGCATGGTTTATTCGTGAAGTCTTCATTGTCTTTCTAGACAAAATTATCAGCACCAACTTCAAATAAAAGACAGGTGTGATTAGTTTACATTAATTCCAATCGACTTTCATTTGTTACTCACATAGGCATACTTATCGACGTCCGACAATGGTGGTATTTCTTGACTTAAAAGCAGCATTAGACTCCGTAGACCGCGAGATTCTGTGGCAGTGTCTGTCATTGAAAGGCGTACCCAGAAGTACATAAACCTTGTGAAGGCTCTTTACTCGAACACTACCAGTCGAGTCAGAGCTTATGGCGAACTGTCATCTGCTTTTGCAACCTCAAGTGTTGTCCGTCAAGGCTGTCCACTTTCTCCATTTTTGTTTAACTTCATCATAGACTTATTAATGGAAATAACATTCTCGTCTACTGAATTCTCGGGTATTGATCTCCTTCCAGGAGGTCCACTTATCGACTTAGAATACGCAGATGACATAGTCCTGTTTGGTGAAGACGCTGATAAAATGCAGTCTTTTGGTAGCACTAAGCAACAATGCCAGAATGTTTGGAATGCGCTTTTCTCCCTTTAAATGCAAGTTGTTGCTTCGGGACTGATCTGCGTCAACACCTGAACTAAGGATAGGGAGTGAAGTAGTCGAACGCGTTGACAACTTCACTTACCTTGGAAGTCTGATCATCCCTAATGGGTTGGTGTCTGACGAAATCTCAGCACGGATTCGAAAAGCTCGATTGGCTTTTGCCAACTTACGTCACCTGTGGCGAAGGCGAGATATCCGTCTATCAATTAAAGGACGAGTATACTGCGCGGCAGTCCGTTCTGTCTTAGTTTACGGCAGCGAAACATGGCCATTAAGAGTAGAAGACACTCGTAAGCTATTAGTATTTGACCATAGATGCCTTAGAAATATTGCTGGCGTCTGCTGGGATCACCGGGTAAGTAATAGTGAGGTTCGACGCAGGGTATTAGGTAATGATGGTAAATCAGTTGACGAGGTTGTGAATCTTCATCGACTGAGATGGTTGGGCCACGTGTTACGTATGCCTGAACACCGATTACCACGACATGCAATGCTGACTAGTGTTGGGGATGGTTAGAAGGATGTTAGGGGCTGACAAACCAAAACGTGGCATCAGTGCTTGAAGTCACTAACTTCTAGTCTGAGCCATGTTGGTAGATGCAGACTACTTGGTTGGGGTCCGCGTGACTATCGTAACCAATGGTTGGAGACTCTTGGTGACATAGCTCAGAATCGATCACAATGGCGTTGGTGTATACACTCTCTGTCTTCCTTTAAACCAAGAGATTAAAATCGCTTCATACCTTTCTTTCTATGAACTAATTGTTTCTTCCTGTACTACATCCTTATATGCGATCTTTCTTTTATATATTACCACTAATGAATTAACTACTTTTATGAATCCGGTGTCCATCTTGTTGTGTTAATGAGGTATGGCAACTTGGACCGATGCGTATATGTGCCTGGTCCTACGTTGTAGCTGACTGATAGTTACTCACATCGTTTGATCCTTTCTTTTTGAAATATTCTGTCAAGTTCTTTCCATGGATTTTGAAACCTAGATGAAGCGATTTTGTGGAGACTGTTTTAATCTGTAAGTAGTATATGTTCACCCATTGATATCAACTAGGATACCACTTAAAACAAGGAGGACAGGTTTCTATAAAAAGTTTGTGATGATGTCGTCTAGAAAGACAATCAACGTGTCAAGATTAAATAATCCAGAATAGACAATAGAACTCTACCAGGATCATCCTCCTAAGCTACAAATCCTCTTCACTGTCCCTAGGAAAGACTTTCAAGAGATTGGTCGGATGTCAAGGGGTGCTTACGGAAATAATGCATCAAAGAAAAAACCTCTTTCCAACAAAATCAAGTCATTCAGGGAAGTTGATAAAGACCAGAACAAAAGTAGACCCTCTAGTACTGATTAAAACATACTTTTTGTGACCTAGTTGTCTATCCACTCTCCGAATGATCAGTGAGATACTGAAATTAAGAAAATAGTCTATGTTCACCACTATGAAAAGACATGACAATATAGAGCAGCTGTAAAACGAGACTTTTGGGATGTCTTAAACAATAGAAGCAGAGCCGAGACAACTGTATTGTGAATAAGATTGATGTGTTTTGAAGTTTGTGAAATAAAGTTTCTATGACTTCAGTTCCATTATTTATTGGACACCCTAACCATATACCAGTAGTCTACAAAAAATATGGTCGCAAGTAACGCTCAGAAAAGCTAATTTAAAGTTTAAAAATATTTTCTCATTTTATCTTAAGTAGATATTCTTGATAAATTGGAAAGCAAATAATTTTATTATATGGATGAATTTGATGTTACGATTAAGAGTAAGACAGTGAGATGTTTTGCAATCTGAATTGGTGTACAAAATCACAGAGATCTAATAATCATGTAACTATGTTGTTCAGTCCTGTAGACAGATACATGTTTATATGAATAATTGAATAAATATAATGTAATTTTGTAAAACAATCACATAAGTGATAACTTACATCGAAATTTAGAATTTGGTCAACACCAGGCTTCATGATATGTTTTGGGAAATTATCAACTATAAAAAAGCAATATAAAAATAAATTCAGTAAGGCGAAACATAGTTAAGTGCTTATGTTCAATATTTTTAACTACCGTATTATCGGGTTTGAATAATACTTCATCTATCAGGGTGTAAGCACAATCGTATAGCAGTACCATCAGTCTTCAACATAGTTTAGTTTACAGATTACTATATTATTATAATTAGTACAACTTAATCATTTGAAAAAATTGAAAATGGATTTATTCTGAGAAACCCTAGGGCATTGAAAATTACAGAACTATTTTCATCTTTTGAAATAGTTTAGAAACATAAATATCCCAACTTATAATCAATAAGGCACGAATCTGGTAGGCAAACTAGTTTATGATATGTTAACAACCTGAATTCAAAACGTAACACAAATACAAATTTGGTGGTTTTTCATTCACTGAGCTCTGTGGTTTAACTGAAAAGATTTCATTGTCGACGTAGACGACATTTCCAACTTCTACTACAAATAGATATGAACACTGATATAATTATTCAACAAGGATATCAAATCAAAGCCCAGAGTACGCAACACTATCAAATAAATCCATTTAGCTTTTGAACATTTTAAGAGCTTGAAACAAAAGTAAAACATTTTAGTAATTTGTATTGTTTAACAATCTTATTAGTCGGTATTTAATCATTTTATCACAAATTATCGTGAAAATGCTTATCATTTTAAGGATATAAAAATCGATTGAAGCGAATATCCCTATTCTAATTTTTCCTTAGTTTGATATAATTCCAAAGAAATTCATAATATAAAAATATCCCATACATGTACAAGGTTAAATTATCCTAGTAGGATGTGCTGTAAGCTATAAAAGGGAAAACAAACAGTATCTCCAGAGCTGGTTTACAATAAGGAATGTCATCATTGATTAAAGCATTACCATGTACCCATAGTTTGTTACTACTTCTCATTAGTACACAACCACGATACCAAAGAAAACATGAAATGTCAGCTTAGAATCACTGTTATGTTCAGTCCCCGATTACTATATGTATATTCTATGAGCAAGCCGAAAAACAGCCCCACACAAATTCAAAGTTATTGAATCATTTTGCCCACAATTATCTGGAAAATAAATCTCATCATATTCGTTACGTCGTAGATGGTAGTCTTCACGGATTGACCGCAGTTAGTGCTTCAATGAAAATCAAGAAGCATCCGATAGATATTTAGTTCTAGTATAAAAGCCGTCAGGAGTGTGGACCCATTATCCAGTCAGAGATCGAATCTATATCTCACATCAAGCACTTAACATTTTACCAAGTGTCTTAACCAAGTTTTCTGAATATGAAATGTATACTTATTTGATTTTCACCGATATTACACATTTATTTAAAACTAAAAATACCCAAAGGTTATTTAGTTGACCTGAAGAGAATAAATATTGGGATTTCTATTGCAAAAATATCTTAAAGTACAAACGTCTAACTATTTAAATCGTTTAATCATTTAGTGAAATGAAATAACACAATGATTATTATTTACTGAATAATTCTACTATATAATATTAAAACAAATACAAGTCAAATAATTACTATATATTGCACGATTCCTTGGGAATCGATTAATGAGCTAGTGTGCATACAATGGATTACAAAAATAGTTGTTCAAACATGATACACATGTGGTGTATGCCACTTATGTTGACAGATATAAGTAGCATATAACACAGCTCAGAAGTGGAATGCCTATCAAAAGAAGGTTGAGAAGATTGAACTGAAGAAAAAGAAACATAAAGGAATCGAGAATTGAAAGAATCATGAAGGATGTAAACGAAAACTAATGGAAGATGTGCAAATGGAGTATTTAATTTACGAAGACACCCTGTAAATATAAAATGGTTATCCGCACCACGTCTTCGTTCACCACACATATATGAACTACAATGCTTTGATATTTTAATTTATATCAAACTATAAAAAATATGGCTACACAATCATGCTTAAATATAACAAGGATCAAATTTGTACAGCCTTAGATTTTATGAAGAGGAAGAGATAGAATAATTTTAAAGTAGTGAAAGAAACATACAGATGGATCGAGAAAAAAAAGAATTTTAAAGATAAATAAGTTATATCAATGTTATTAATGTTTAATTTATAGAGATAATCAATAGAATAGAATTTTTAATCGGATTGAATTGGTAACGTTGTACAACAGTTAATGGAACCATAACAATCATTTTTATTAATCTTGACTATTCATGACATAAAAACAAAATTACAAAGAGAATAAATAAATCTGTTAATTAAACTTACACATATTCACTAACTGTTCAACAAGTTGAGCATAAGTTAATTCATTACGATCATTTTCACTTAGATTAGGTAATGGTAAACAAAGTTTATTCTCATGAGTTAATAAGGGTACATTCAAATAATGAAATAATACAATAGAAGGATTCTATGAAAAGAAAACACAGCAAAAACATTGGTTTATTAATTAAAATCAGTAGTAATAATAGCCAGTGAACAAGTAGATTCAATGAAAATTGATGTTTTTAGGAGAAAATGGATATATTTCTGTATTACGTACTGACTAAATCACTAAATTAATCATTATTATGTCTAAAACCAATCGACAAAATGAATCTTCATCGACTGAAGTGGTTGAAAAATGTATGATGTGTATCATTTACTGTTTCACTGAGCTGTCAGTAGATGCAGATTATCTGATTGGGGTCCGCGCGATTACTGTGACCAATGGTTGGAGATGTTGCGTTATGAAGCTAAAAATCGATCGCAGTGGTGGAGATGCACTCATTCTTTGGCTTCCATTAGATTTTGAGCTGGAAAATTATCACCCATTGTTTTGTGACCTTTATTTCCATTTATAAATATTCACTAGTTAACTGACAAGTAATTTATCAAACTATTGTGATTGAATATGTTGAGCATGAATTACAGCTTAAATTCACTTATAATGGAGCAGTGTATCAGTGGTGACGGTGTACGAATTTCAACAGGTTTGAATCCCTCCCCAATTAATTTGGTCTAAGTAATCGAGTATTAGTACTAACCCTCAGATTGGGAGTGTGGTTCGAAGTCATGTACATTAATCAGTACCTGGTAAATGAGCTGAGCATATATATATATATATATATATATATATATATATATATATATATATATCGATTAGTGATTTTGTGTTTTGTAAACTAAATAATTGGAAATCAGTCAGTCAGTAACAACGTAGAACTTCGTACGTACGTACATCAGTTCGAGTAGTTTACACCTACCAACATGACTCAGTCCACTTGTCAGTGACTTCGTGGATTTGTGCTACGCTTCGATCTGACCGCTTCTAGCTTTCTTCCAACCTACTCCTACGCCATAAAACATCGCACGTCGGAGCAGTGGGTGGTTGGGAATACGTAACACGTCCCAGCCATCTCAACTGATGAAGTTTTACTACTTCATCAATTTATTTAATTGGGAATCGGAAAATCGATTTCGTGAGCACATCATTAGTTTCGCTATACCAGTAATTATAATATTTTATCAAGTCAACAATGTCGTAAAAACGATCTGTTTATAACATAGCATGAAAGTTATTACAACGGTTGAAAAATAATGCTTTTAAATGAAAAACCGGAGTAAATTATTATTAATTAACGTGTGCATGTAAAATAAATATACACCGGTAATATGATATTCAATCGGATAAAAATGGATTATAACTTACAAATCTTAATGAATAGGTTCGTCGATGAAACGTAGAGATTAAAGCGGAATGTGCATAGTTGGCGATAATACACTGGAAAATATACCGAATGAGAGAGAAAAACATTATTATCTATTAGTGAATCAAAGTAAAAACACTTTGAATAACACACGTTTTTACTTTAATTGACAGATTCCGTAAGAAAAATTACATGATCAACAAAAATAGGATGTAGTAAAACAAATAGGTACAATATCAATGCAACATTTATAATGACAACTAACTCTGTAAATTATCAGTCATCCTTAATTCCTAGGAAAAGTATCCAGAAGAATAACGTGGAAAATACTTATCAATTAGACGTGCTAAGAATCTTCTAAAAAACTTATAAAGCAGTTCTTTAGGCTTTTATTTAATCTAAATGAATAATTTGAAAACTTATTAACAATTTTATTATCCTTTCTAAAAACCTCTCGAATCGCCAGGTCCCCTTCAGTTTTATACATACCCCTGTTTTCTGTACAGAAAATATCCTCGAAGTAGGCCTGGTTTAATATTCCTCTCTTCCCAATTTTTATTCCGAGTTCAAGTGTCGAAGAAATAGGTCAGTAATGGACATACGAATGATAGCATTTGTAACGTCAGCTGCTGTGAAACTGGTGTGAATACTAAAAGTAAATCTGGGAATCAATTTTTTTGTAATTAGAACGCAATTATACACATCTTCATTCCGTATGTATCCGTGCAATCATACATGAAACTTATCATGTTAGCATAACATTTGTAAATATGAAATAAATCCTCCTATGAGCTAAAAACATTTCTCATCATAAGAAATACATTTTGCACATATTTCCTAAATCTGATTGAAACTTGCTAGGATAATCCATTAAGCGTTCCATGATGTTGGAAAATGTCTTTAAACTACATTTAGTCATCTGAAAAAAAGTCATTACACTGACCTCGATCCCTTGAACTTTAAGGACCATGTGAACTTCTTTAGTAGTACGTCGATTTGGTTTCTTTTTCCATAAATAACCATCTTGTTTACGTGCTACGGTGGCCAATTCTCGTCGATAAAAAATAATAGAACCATTTCTAGGACTGTTTTAAAATATTTCAATGAATAATAGTAAAAAGAATCTAAAAGACATGAAGCAATATGAAATTACTAATATTAAAATTTTCTAACAGCCTGATTATCCTTATAGATCGAAGTGCGTTCTTCAGTAGTCTACAGGGTATATCTATAAATGCCTATCTAAAGGCGACAGAACGTGTATACGTATTTCGAAAGTAAAAATGAATGAAAAACGAGTAATGGTTTTGTGTTTTTAGGCACAGTTTCCCCTTAAAAATAAAGGAAAATAAGTGATTAACAACATTAACCAGTATTTTGACTAAATTTTGGAAAGGTCCTTTCTTCCTTCCTTCACATATCAAATAAAGTAACGACTAAGATGGACTTGATTCGACAAAGTTCAGTACTTATGTTTACGTATGATGGAAAATATGAGGCAGGTTAAACTGTTCTAGTTCTAATTTGTAATAAAACCCTTTCTGCATGACAGTAATATAATTGAATATTCGACTATAATTCAGTCACTAATCTAGGAGTCATGGCTACAACATGATTTTTTTCAAATTAACTCCCCAATGATTTGAATACTGAACAATAACATTTCTCAAATGTGTTTGAAATGGTGAATAATGAGGTGTTAGGTTGTCAGATGGCTGGAAGAAATCAGTAGTAAGTCTTATGTTAGTTAGTACTGGTTAGAAAAACAAATACACAAACTTTGGATAAATAATGCTCTTTGTGGAATTTGAATCTATACACCTAAGCAGAAAGATTGAATTGTGATTAATAATATAAGCTTGTGCGACTACAGAGTATTGTCCCTGCTTACATAATATATGCAGATGACATACTTAAACGGATCTTATTTCATTGAGTAGAATTTATTAACATTATAAAAGTACTTACCGAACTTGAATAACTGATGAAAGCCAGTTGGGGTGTACACATGCTCCTAGCAAAAGCTCAGCAACTTCCTTTTAATTTAAAAAAAAAGGATTATTCGAAAATGAAACGTTTTAAAGACAGTAAACAATTTTTACACATAACCATACCCTCAAAACACACGAAAACAATTCTTTAGTATAACACGTAATTAACTAACTGCTTTTGTTTCTTTAAAAAAAATATTTGACAATAGACGTCTGTTATAATCACAGAAGAGGTGGTTATGAATGCTTAAATAATAATAATAATAATAACAATAATAATAATAATAATAATAATAATAATAATAATAATATTATTATTATTATTATTATTATTATTATTATTATTATTATTTATTCAATATTATATTTCGGTACAATATAGAATTCTCGGCACAGATGAAAATATTTATTATCATCCACAGACTGTGGTTTCTTTAAATAATAAATCATCAGTCTGGCATTTGTTCTTTGAAAACAAACTTGTTAACTCTGTGACAAGAGCCATTTGTTATACTGATAAAACTATAATGGTATAAATTTGACATTCCGAATGTAGGAAAACTTCAGTGGAAAGCAATTAACTCATGAAGATTATGTCACTTATTTATCTTTTCACATACAAGTATGAGCTAAATAGTTATATATATAGTCCAAAATAGATACAAGTTAGACTCTTTCACGTTGATCTGATCAAAAATCACCTTAAAAACTGACCACCTGTCCATTGAACAACCTCGTAAGCCAAGCTTGTATCTGGCAAAATTACACATTCCATCGAAATGAAAAAGGTTCGCGAACACTAAACAATCAGGATTATCACACTTAACAATTAAGTATATAAGTAATTAGCTTTGTAATTAAATTAAATTCCACATACCTTTTGATTGCACCAAATAAGTTTACGTGCTATACAAACTGAAGGAATCACAAGATTGCTTAAAGGTTGTGGAATATCGGATGAACATTGATTAAATGCTAAAACGTTATTATTACTATTACTGCTGTTATTGTCACCATGATGTGTAGTGTTAATAGCAGAAACACTACTTTTATGAATGTTATTATAACTGATTGGCAGATAATCTGGTGAAAATTCACTAGATTGACTTTTCATGTGGAAAAATCCATTTTTTACAATAAAAATGTAATCCAATCGTTTCTCCAGGTGAATAAATAGATTGATAGCGATAAGTAAATAAACGAGTCACAAAAATATGTGACCATATATAGCACCTATGGGTAATGATCCCAACAAATATTGAACCAAATCTAGGACTAGAAAATAACAATAATAATAACTGAATTGAATTGTAAGTAAAGATAAACTATAAAAATGGGCCAAAAGGACTTAACGAACAACAAATTACATAGTTCAATATTGCAATACACATTTACTTTAATTAAAAGAACTGGACATCTGATTCATCTTTTTAAGGTGATTCTTGCGAATACTATATACGATAATAAAAAAAACATACAAAATAAACAATATCATACATCGTTACTTACATGTCCTAATATAAAGTCTGGAATTGGTTCACTTAAAAAGCCTACGTTTGTACTACCGAAGAATTTGGCAGTAGAGTACTATAACCAAAGATGGTTGCGTAGGTTAAGTGAAATCAACAATGGGGATAAGATTTAACTCTATCCACTAATATTACTTTTAATAAAATATTGACGTTAAATAGTAACAGCTTCAAATTGTAAGAGAGGTTATAAACAGACAACATTAAGAACGGGCGAAACTCACTGCAGTACACAAACTATACGAAAAAATCGAGAAACTCAAGTTATCGGTCCTCCCTAGAAATGGCTATCCCAGGAACTTCGTCAAAATATATCCGGTGAATCGACATATCGTAGAGAAATCAACCCAGAAATCCAAGAAACATGTCAAAACGACAATAATTCTGAAACCTTCCCAACTAGTATCTCTCACAAACCAACGCGATTACTCCAGTCCCATTCATGCAGACTGAAAAAGCGCGATATCAGTCATTTAATTATATGTGACATAAAAACGACATCAAAAGAAGACAAATCCAACATTTCCAAAACAAATTGCGCCAACAGTAAGGAACACCATCCAGGACATACATAACACGCCTTCACTTACACAAACACGAACATTAATTAGTGGTGAAGCGATGTGTTGTGAAGACTAAAATCAATACACATAGACAATCATGAACACGTACTTGACTAAAATGTCGTAAATACGGATCAATAGAGTTCTGAGAAAATGAGTTTCTAAAAGCACGATAGTTAAGTTAGCTGGCAGCCGATAGGCACCGATGTGGATCCAATCTATCAAAGTCCAACTGAACAAGACAATCAGTAGAAACGCAAGGACATGTGAAAATACCAATTCATAAACAACGGCATCAGAATAAACTTATTTAGTATTGGCGGAACAAATGAAAAGTCTTGATGATGTTGCTTAGAACGATAAAAAAGCTTAACATTTAAAGCATTTATCTACGAAAATATAACGTCAATGAAAAAATCCACTTGAGCTCCATCGTTTTAATATCTGAGATTGTTATTTCGTAATTTTTAACATATTTTTTTATAATCCCCAGACGATAAAAAGTTTGTAAAAATGCTTGGGATGTGTAAATGTTGAAAAGATCTCTATATCCAAAAAGCAGTAGCCGTTGTAGATTATATCGGCCAAGAGTTTAATAAACAGAGCCTGGAAATTCGTCACTGAACCAAGTGACAAAGGAACTGAAATGAATTTAGTTATATCCACTTTGATGAGGTGAAATAAAATACTAATCACTATCTGGAGTACTACAAATGCAAGTGCTTATCATTAAATAAATGACAATATGAGCATCAAGAAAAAGGGTTTGCTGGGGAGTCTTATTTTTGTGGGTATTATAATGCTCCCTATTATAATCATGTGCCAGTCGGTAGATGGTCATCATTAACCTAGGGTTTGGCATAGGTGTACGTCACACCACTTTACCATACTGCATTAGCACGAGATGAAATTAACAAGATGAGTATCATAGGAATCAAAATAATGTAGTACTGGGAGACTAAACATTGAGAATGATTCAAAAATAAAGAACTAAAAGGCATATACATAAAAAAATTTCGGGACTAAAGATCTGGAGGAAGATAGAGGGTGAATGGGTTGTGTGGTCATGAACGATTCTAAGGGAATTCACCTAACGTCTTCAACTACTGATCACAGTTAACTCATGGACCCCAAGAAAGTAGTCTGCAACTACCTACATGCCTCAAATCAACAGTCATAGACTTTATTTCTTGATTTAGTCACCCTTAGCTTTCTACTAACTTACTCATAAATCAGCTAACATCCCTTGTCGAAGCAAGTGGTGCGTAAAGAATACGTAATATATGTACTAACCACTTCAGTCGATGAAGATTTATAACTTGGACGACTAATTCGAGTAGACAGCCTTTAAATGTATTTGTTTATTTGGGAGACTTTTCAATAACAAAAATTGCCGTAAAACCATCTGGTCAACGAAATTGAACGATACCTTAACGTCGAAAAGTACAACTAAAGTGGGGCGTCGGTAAATAAACTAATTTTCTAAAATCGGATGGAGAACAAAAATTTGGTCAATGCGTCCACGTTCATGTCTGAAACCAGATTGTTCTTCCTAGGGTCGTTCTTCACGAGCGCTAGTTGAGCGTCTGCTAATCATGGAGACTAGTATTTCAGATACTATACTGGTCAAACTGATTCCTATATGATTGTTATGAGACGATTTCTGCACTCTTTTAAAAACTGGGACGATCAGTCATCGATACCAGTTAAATAGGATTACATCTATTTCCCGAAATCTAGCTATTATCTTAGACATCTTATTCGCTACAACTGAAAAACCACCTGTGAATATCTCTGGAGTTAATCCATCATGGTACACTGCTCTCTTCAGCTTTAAAATGGATATAGCCTTTTCAATCTCATTAAGAGTTGAAGGACTTGTGTCGATTTCCCATTCAAGTTGTTTGGAGATATCGGGTAACTGGAGGTTAGTTGGACTGTTCCTCAAAGTGTTTTCCTCATAGGTTTAATCTCCTGGACAGGGAGTAAAGAGGAACCGTCTTTTTCCGATAGTCCTAATACCTGTTTTCTTGATCAATCGGAATAGTTGTCTAATATTATGTATAGTCCCTTCTTTTTCTATCCCTTTTGGATTCATCATTCACCACTGACCGCGATAATCTGTAAAACGTCCTGTTAGTTTACGCTTAAGTTATCGCCACTCTTCGTTTTTCTTCGAGCCTAGCTAGGTGAGTTTTCGAACATCTATCAATTCAGTAGGTGATACTAAAGTCCAAAGATCTTTCACAACCTTTTGATATGAGCTGTTGGTAGATGCCACTGCTATCTTTACAGCTAGATGTGCATTTACCCAAGCTTTTTCAGGATGAACCGTTTTTCTACGATCGACTAGATGCTAAGCAAATTCTTTCCTGAATGCATCCCTAACCTTCACATTTCCGGATTGATATCTGAAGGATCTTTCTGTTTTGACTTGCCTATATCCAGTAAAAACGCATAGAAATACGTGTTTTGGCTATGGCGTGATCGGAGTCTATCCGGATACTGTAGGAGTGAAAATCTACAAAGCCTGTCCAAAGACGGTTGATAGCAATCGAATGCATCCAGTGATGTGCTAATATTTCGGGCTTCCAGATGAAATAATATCTCCCTCTATGCCAAAGGCTTGTACTTGCTAGGAATAATAGATTATCTGAGGACAATTGCAGCAGATGGTCATTATTAACTGCTTACTGACCGCGAACACTATGGCATGGACGTTAAAATCATTTGCTAAGATCACCAATTCCGAGAGCCTAGTTTTTCTGTAGGTTCTAATGCTTTTTAGTAAAACTCATTGCAGTCGGTGGGGACACAGACAGAGACGATAAAGAGGTAATGACATGTCTCTGTCTTTTCAAGTATTCACTGTACTATTTGCGACAGACGGAGCATAAGCGACTATCAACAGGGATCTAGACAAGACGTATTTGTTCTGTCTTCAGACTTGATGCTATATTTGCACTATCAAGGCCACGAGAAATTTTTGTCACGTCTTCAGATACAAGAAGGGTATATTGTGTTGGCTCTTTATAGTAACTACACTAGGTTAAGTGAAGGACCACACTACGATAGGTGTCTTAAAGACGAAGCATATATCAATTTTGGAACCCTAAAAATGTATGGCTTGTAGTGGTCAGGATACAGTAATGTCTGATCGACTGAGACAAAATAGCGGGGAACAGCTTCTGGAGCCTTCAATTTGTGCTCACATTCGCTCAGTCTTCAAATAATCCTCTATTTTTAAAGCTCACTACTTATGCATCTATTCGGAAATCATCTAACGAACTATCTCAAACTATTGACACCTGCAAAATTTTATCTTAATATTCACGAAAAATCAATGAGAACTCGCTACAGTAACTGCTTTATTGCTTACTGTTTACAGGCTTTCATACATATAAAAAGCATTGTTATAGGGCACGTAACAGACCTATGAAAGTTTCGAAGATGATATACAAAGTTCCAATCCCTGAAGGAAATTGTGATAACGCAAAATCCAAATTAGGTCTGAGAATTATTATGAAGACTTTGGAAATCGGAAGCAAATCTAATAATAAAAAAGCTCATGGGCCAAACGTCCTATGTATGATTAAAGTGGAGTTCGAGGATACTGGCACAAACACTTGCGTAGTGAAAATAGAAATTTTGTGCTGTTCCTTCTGGTAAACATGATATGAGCAAAACTTATTACACAGTCCTAAACAGATATACGCCTGAAAATCACTTCTTTCGTGTAAGCTGAGAGTCCGAAGTGTCTAGCCTTAAGACAAAGGAGACTTGTAGGCGGGAAGTTCACATGAATGCTTCCAGTTGTTACGTACGATTAACATAACCATAGTACGACGGGAAATAGATACAACTAAATGCCATTTTTCGAGAGATCGTGATCTTAGGAACTACCTAAAAACGTAGATACTTGCAAGTAATATGCTGAATGCTAAATACACAAAACTGACAATAGTTAAACTGGTTACGTGCTCAGACAACCTGGCAACTAAAAGCACTTTACACCTGCTAACAATTTGAGAGGGTCCTTTAACATTGATTTTTAAAATACGATATTGGATAATTACCCAACCTCATATTACTGGATAAGACGGTGATGGTATGAGAACGTTAGCAGAAAAATTTTACAAAGTTTATCTAATCTCTATTACTATTTTTAATAATGACATATTTGGTCTGCCACATTAAAGACGATTATTCACCACTGGGAACACCCGAAATACGGATAACACCTACGAATTTGGCAACAAATTCCCAACATAAAAATGGAGTTTTTCGGTCTAATACCAAGTTAAAACCTATTAAAACTGATCATGGAATATGACACGTCTGAAAGTTACTGGAACAACATACTAACGCTATCATCAGTTTGAACAACAGACTTTGAGCCACCAGGGTGTTTTACTCTGGAAATTAATGGCTTGGGTAAAAGGAACGACTATTAAAATTTAGATACTCACCTGACTAACTTGATAAATAGAAGTGCAAAAAGAACCAACAAATTTTACACCGCCCAGCAAGAATTAAAAGACAAAACACATATTCACAGACACAAAACAGAACGAAAAGTTCGGAGAAACATAAAAGCAATTATAGCCATGAGGGGAAGAAAAGAAAACGAGTCAACTGCAGTAAAGCAACGAGTAGCGAGTACACTGAATACAGCGGTTTTATTGTGCAAATATTTTAAAGTATACGCTCAAAAAGTACTACTAAATTTGTTTTTAGGTAAAACGTCTATATATGTTGTATCGTCTCCTACGTCTTAGCCCACCCAATGGTTTCTTTCTTCTTGGCCAATAGTGTAGGTCTGAATCAACTGGATCATAATAATCATAAGGATCAGGTTGATAGGCGTCCCCATATGGCTGGTTAACTCCATCATCACCATATTTGTACGGAGGTGGAATTTCTCTCAACCATCTTGGAACATAACTACCGATGTACGGCCTTTGATAGGGCTTAGGATATAAATATTTACGAAATATTTCCGGATGATGTAAGGCTAGGTATGACAAAACAGATTCTACAGTTTGCTGAGTAAGTGTGGCAGTTGGAGAAACTGAAGACCCTGATTTTACTCCTGGTGTAACTGGTAAAACTCCACCTGGAAATCCAGCATTTCCTGGCTGTGTGACAGATGGAGTACCCCCAGGGAAAGAAGCAACAATTATGTTGTCTGATGGTGAGCTGATACCGGGTACAATTCCTTTCCCTGGGGGAACAGTAGGAAAATAACCTGGAAATCCATATTGCGGACGATATGATGGGAAGATTCCAACAACTGAAGACGCTGGTTGGATATTTGAGTTTCGAGTTCCAGCTGCAAAATCTTCACCCCCTGCATTTTCTGCACTTACAGAAACTGTACCTTGAACAGGTGTTGGTACTTGAGATGAATCAGATGTAGTTATTGCATTTGAACCCATTTGAGTAACTTGAATAGAATCACCAGGCACGACATTAGTATATCCCATCCCAGAATTCATTCCACTCGAATCGGTTAACTCCATTTGAATCTGTCCGTATGTAGCATATAGTGTTATGGAATTAACAAATAATTGAAAAATAAAGTTAACCGTTAATTTTCGAATGATATAAACAACTTTCATCTTGATGTTTAGTGGGAATAATACTTTAATTTAAATGAAGTGAATTTATGAGCTCTAATCAGTGAATAAATTTTTTAGCCCATAATTTAAGTGATTGTGATTAGTGCTTATACGATCCATCAAATTTGAGATTGGCTGAATGACATAGTGATCTTAGTTCATATTGACTTAATTGTTAATTTAAGTCATTTTCTTAATATTAAACTCAAAAATGGAGATTTTGATTGTTCAAACAGGAGGTGAAGTCAAATTAAATTGTAACTGATACGCTTCCAGGTACAATAGATAAGTGTTATCCTAAAAATATTGGGGGTTATGCCTTTGAAATCGGCAATAGTTATGCCATGGAGATTTGCAGTAGATATACATTGCCGGATTACATAAAATTTCAACTCACCAAACCATTTTTAAAGGATAGCTTAGAAATCTCAATGGAAGATAGATCCGAACTTATTAATTTATTGATAGATACTCAGTTTGAGAAGGTGACATCCAAATAAGCAGTTAATAATTTTTCTGGTTATTGAAGATACTTATCACTCATGGAACGGATACAATGATTGAAACTGCACAGTATTTAACTAATTATGAAGAGAAACTTAAAAACAAATGTATTGTGATAACAGGTACATTGTCTAGTTTATTTTTTTGACGAACGTATTGAAAAGATTTTCTCCGTTGATTGACTTGGAGAATGTTTCATTTTTCTGCAAACAAGTGATTTTTGACATGTGCGTGATATATAAAGTTATTCAGGGATTGTGTTTCAGTTAGTGACCCTTATCAACTTCAGATTCTATCTAAGTTTGCTAGAATATAATCATTATAGTAATTATTAGCATAAAAATATGATTTTCAGTCTAATGTGAGAAAAGGACATCAATATGATGAACATTCATGATTTGCAACCCTTATTTACTCATATTCATAGAATGTAATGTCTTTTTGCTATGGATGATGAAGTTTACCTAGCAATTACGGTTTTGTACTTGGCGTTGTGATTCATATTTATATTAATGAGAATGAGTGCCTTCATCAACAATGTGTTGCTGAAAGGAAGGATGTACTCGATGTCACATTGAGGGATAAGTCTTCGAAAACACCACAAAAGTTAAATAATTTGACTGTTCAGATTTTGAACCATACAGTCATACCTCATGTACGAGATAGGACCTGTTTATATTATGTTACAAATCGACAAGCTAACAGAGTAAGATTTTTCAAACATTCGTCGCATTTGTTAGTAGATCAGAATAATAACTGGGTACTATATATATAATTCAAGCTTCCGCAATGTAATTCTTTCGTTTAAAACTGACGATACATATTGGCATCATACCTTATGTGTTCATTATCCGTACAAGCATGTAGTGTCAAAGTGTGATTTAAATGCAGGGTAGTAGCTGACATTTCTTATTTTTTAAAATCATACGTGCTCACTGGTATCTAAGGCGTTGAGATTTCTTCTCATTTTGCTAAATGGCTCGTCTCTTAGGAATAGTAATTTTAAATTTCTCTTCTTTGATAACTGAACTGTTAATTATAGACTGCATTGGATTTAAGATCAGTTATTTTAATAACTTAAACAAGTGTACTAATGTGGTATATCAATTTCACATGCGATGTCTCTTGATTTTCCACCAATATGGTCACTTCAGTCATGATTTGACAAAAATGTACATCCCTTATAATCGCCCCACTATCATCAGTAAAATAAAGTCAATAAGATACCTAGAGAGAACAACAAATAATAACAGTACCAACCATACTGTTGTGCTGTTTCAAATATATGTATATATTTATACATCGAGTTATTTGCAGAGTGACTGCTAATCATAAGAAATAAACTACCGTTTCGTTTGTAGAATCACATTTATTGAGATCTGTAGTTTGTTCGCTTAAACTGCATTAATTTAAGTAAACCTAATCAGTGCTGGAGAGCAGTACTGGTGAATTGACAACATGAGTGAAGTGTAAAACCCATACAGACTTAATTCTCTAGTAGCATTATAAAAGAAACAAGCGACAAAACCCAGTCATATTAATTCTCAAGAAGTCCCATTTGTATACTCTTCGCTTGATTTAGTCTTCGAGTTTTTAAAAAGTAATTTAAAATTTCTTAACTCGATTTACGTTACTAAAATCCACAACTTTTCGATCTAGGTGCTTTTCGACCCGGTGTATTCAAAAATACAGATGCCGACTTCAACGTAGCATTTGCAATTGGTGGACTGATAATGTCAAAGAAGCCAGGAATTTTCATAGCAATGCATGGTCAGTTCTACCAGCCAAGTGAAGTTGTTCGTGATGGAGAAACAGGGACTTTTATTCCAATCGGAAATGAAAAGTGAGAGCCATCAGAGCATAACCTAGTATACAATTGTTAGATTCTAGTCGAACGTTCACCAGAGAAATCAACTTGCTACTGTTTTTATTTAAAATAGCATAGATTGATTATGAACAGCGAACTATCAATACAAGTTTGGGAATTCTAGATGCACTTAACGAGATAATACATTTGTTTTTTTACTTTGTATTATTACTATCTTTCTTGATGCTTCCATTTAAGGATATTTCTTAAAATCTGCTATTATCAGCATGGAAATTTCTCGTAGATTTTATGGGATAGTTGTCAAGAAGCAACATTTTGTGTTTTCGTCGCTTGGTTTTTTTTAACCTCTAGTTTGAGATCAAAATCACTTTTCATCCATAGATTTATTCTCAAATAGATATTTTTGACATCAAAAGGCCCAAAGTAACTTCTCGCATGATTCAGATAGGAACAATGCTTAGGAAACCTGAGTAAAAATGACTATTCTTAAAATTTGAAATGGTACTTCAAACAGCAGTAACTGGAATCACTGAACAGAGTGTGGTTGGTAACTTAAAATAAATACATTTCTATCGGCAAAGATTAACATGCGTCCATAGTCTCGGTGAAACGCTTGACCTAAAACCAATCTTGAAAATGTAATTATAGCTTTAGCTATCGAGACAAACGACAATAGGTCACAATACTCAACTATTTGTTTTAGAGCCTCAACAACAACTACATTAACTTGTTCATAAACGAGGTCAAAAGAAAAACAAAAGCCAATGGTGAAGTGCGATGCATATCATGTATTCCATACAAAACTCGACACTTAAATGAATCGAAGAAAACCGTGATAGTGAATAACTGGCGATGCAATTAAAGAAAGAATGAAACAAACTGGAAATCATCTATCATAACTTCGAAAATAGATTGAGTTTTAGATTTCGAAAGCGAACAAGCAGAAGCATAACAAACAAGCGAAAACAGTTGGAAAGTTTAAGACAACTAGTGATTAGTGAAGTAAAGGGATGAAACTGAATAACGAGGTGGACAGAGAAAGGAACAGGAAAAAATTAAGACGGAAGAAACAAATATGAGTGTAACATCCAAACGGTAACAGAGGTAACGTTAAAGTATCTCGAATAAATAGTAATGATATTAGGGGATCAATAGCAATGTACTTAGAAAAAAACCTCCAACCGAACAATGTGCATGAAATTTTAAATATGTATGATTTCGTGACGTATGCAAACTAACACGTATGAATTCCATGATACTTACTTTGAAAACGCTTTGAAAGTGGCGTTGATGTCTGTCATAAATAAGAGAATCTTGTTCATGTCATAAAAAAGTTACATAGCTTTGCAGAAGTCGGAAGACCTCAGAAAAATGACAGATACAATATCACAGGCTATTTGAGAAAGCAAAGATGAATTTAGTTTTGAGATGATGTGTTCTGAAGGCAGATTTTGAATAAATCTGAATACTTTTTAGTTTATACACGCAATAAAATAAAACTAAGTTGGATGTGTTTATATTATGGTTTGTTTGTGTATCGAGGCACTGGAAAATCGCAATATGGATGAATATGAAAGATTAGTACATTTCCAGGATAATTCCAAGCAAAAAGGTGCAACGGGTGACAAAGGATGATAACTATGAAACTCAAGTCAAGAATAAATCACAAAAATCATTCTGGATGAAGTAAGCAGGTACATAATAATAGTAGTAATAATAAATAATATCAAACACAACATTAACTAAAGTCAGTCGGAGAGAAAGACTATAAGGAAGACAAGCGAACGTTTGGTACGACCGGTCCGACATAAAAATATGACTGAAATAACTGACAACAAATGAAAAAAATGACATTTATAGGTAGCTTTGGGTTCACAATGAAATGGGTGCATTTGTTTCATTTGTATGATGATTACGTGGAATTATTTAAATATGAATGTGAATGTCGTAAATACGAATGGTCGAGTTTCCTATTATCCTATTTAACTGTGAAGAATAAAGGATGAGCAAACGTAGTAAAAAAACGATGACGATAATAATGATGAACGTCACGTCAAAAATGAAGACAAAACATGGCACAATACATGGTTCCATGTATAAAGAAAGAGATATAACAACTCTGTGACTTAAAATTCTTATTCTCCTTTGTAGAAGGCACACGAACAACAATACGTTGAAATAATATAGCAATATTAATAATTGGAAAGACAAGAAAAACGGGAAAATCTAAACCAAAATAAAAACACGAAATAAAAAAGCACTACTCACAATTATTTTTGAATTGCAAAGCCGAATAGTCATAATGTAGATGAGGATGTGCGTTGAGAGAAAAAGCAAGTTAAATTTTACATTAAGATAAGTGAGTGATGATGCAATGACAACAAAGACAATGGAGTCGAGGTATTTTTTTTAGTGAGTATAGTATAAACCAAGTAGTAATAAATTCAAGGTTAAGTGCCACAGAAACATTTACACACACAAAGTTAGATGCCTATAAATGTTATAAATTCCATAAACTATTCGTTCGACTAGTGTCATTATTTATGGAAGCTGTACTACAACAAATTCCGTTCTTTTTATTATGCTCTTCACCTACACTCCCATCCGAAACTCGGCGAGGTATTAAACCATTAGCAGAACTATCAGTGACCACGCCATTCCGTTTAAGTGGTATTGAAATATTGGATATAGGAGATACAGCTCGAATCCCCAGAACAGGAGACTGGGTGGAACTTTTCGGGTTTAATCTTTCACATGAAGTGATAGAATATAAACCTGTGGTTATATCTAAATTATGGCTTTCTACCGATCCACGAACCGTCGGATCAGATGAGGCGCAAAGTGAATCCTGTACGTTCAACTCTTTAATTACTGGAATGACCTCAATATTATTGTTAATACTGTTGCACGTTGTAACGGTTAAATGATTTGCGCGTGCGTGTGAATTCATACTAACAGGTTGGTACGAAGAAAATGAAGATCGCCTATGTGTGTAGATCTGACTGGGTTGAGAAGGGACACAATTCTGTATGGATGCTGCCGCAAGATTTCGAAAGTTGTGCAATGAAAGATCGTTAGAATGAAAACTGTTTGACAAAACTGGAGATTGATGACCACCCGAGTCAAGGTTCGTAAACGATTTGCCTAATCCACTTAACGTATTGGAATTTACAGTAAAATGATTGTTTGAAGATGAATTAATCATCGGTGAAGAATTAATGCACCCAGTTAAGCTGGACATCGAAATAAAACCATATAGGCTCAATACATCCATGGCATTAGCAATCTCGTCTGTTGCTACGTCAGAATACCCAGCACTTTTTAAAACACTACGTATCCCCTCAAGACCCATACCAGAATTAGGTGAAGAGATAGGTCTGGGTGGTCCATAAGTCGGCGAAATCCTAGCATTATAATGTGTCGCAACAGATCCTAAAAGGCTATGAGGGGAATGAGTAATAGTTTGGTGGTTACTTGAATGTGTACTAGCCACACCACGACCCATCAATGCTCGACCACCGTTTGGAACTAATGCAGACGATGACTTGGCGTTTGGAGAACAGGCAGCAACTGCACTCATAGCAGCCATAGCAGCAGCAACAGCTGGAGAGGAACTTCCGCCGAAAATGGATCCAGAAGCTGGATTCGAGGTAGTTGGGCTTACAGGCGAAAGAGAATTAATATGAGGAGGTGAAAAGCTGGAATTTGAGCCTGATGCTGCTCTGAAATGCATATCTGAACCAAAACCCATTCCGCATGCAGGTAATCCTGGATGCGAGCCAACCGCTAAAGCATAAGGTGAGCCGGTGGGATAAGCACTTGCTACTGGTCCGATTATCTCGGAGTAAGATATATTTGGACAGCTGGACGATTGGGGATCCTCAGCAATCTTGCTTAAAATCAATGCTACAGCATCGCGTGTTTGCGAGAGTTCACCTGAATAAATTCGGATAAAAATTTATCAAGATCAACGGTGGGAAAGCATATTTGAACAAAAGATTTTTAACAAAATTTAGTTTAAAATTATCTTGGAATTTATTCCAGATTTTGGAATTGAACACAAAACTAAAAAGATCATAACAGTGATTTATCCTGCACCACTGTTGACAATAGCTCCGCCTGTAGCTCTTCTAGAGTTACTGTCGGTCCCAAGCCCGGGGTAAAGGAGGAGGGTTGGGAATGGGGTTAGCGACCCCATCCCGTAGAAAACTAACTCGCTAAAAAAACGCTTACCAGAAAAAAATAATTCAAACCATTTAAACTCTGTACTGGAATTTAGGTCTTCATTTAGAAGAAATATGTCGCCTCGTGGGGAAAGCCGAGTTCCCTCGGAAGCCACGAGGCCGATGCCCCTTCTAAAAACCAGAGCAACAATATTTATAGGTACATGGAACGTCCGGACAATGTGGGAGACCGGGAGGACCAGTCAAATAACAACGGAAATGAAGAGATACAACTTGGCAGTACTGGTAATCAGCGAAACCCATTGGACCCAAACTGGACAACAAAGGCTAAATACGGGAAAGATGCTGCTATACTCTGGTCACGAAGAGGAAAGTGCTTCACACACTCAGGGAGTCGCTCTAATGTTGTTCAAAGTAGCACGAAATGCACTTGTAGGATGGCAATCTCACGGATCCAGAATCATCAAAGCATCATTCAAAACAAAGGAGGGGATCACAATGAATATTTTCCAATGTTATTCACTCACCAATGATAGCAACGACGATATTAAAGATCAATTCTATGAGAGGCTGCAATCAATCATAGAGAAGTGCCCAAGAAAGAAACCCCACCATTCTGACGGGAGATCTAAACGCCAAAGTCGGAATAGACAACATCGGATATGAAGATATCATGGGACGACAGGGAATGTGTAGCAGGAGTCTCTGCATCAGTAGGCCCCAACATACACAAGGGGAAAACCAAGGTCCTAAAATACAACACGGAGAACAGCAATCCAATCACTCTTGATGGCGAAACTCTGGGAGATGTAGAATTCTTCACATACCTGGGAAGCATCATCGATGAACAAGGAGGATCAGATGCAGACGTGAAGGTGAGGATTGGCAAAGCAAGGACAGCATTCATACAGTTGAAGAACATATGGAACTCAAAACAACTTTCAACCAATATCAAAGTGAGAATCTTCAATACCAACGTAAAGACAGTTCTACTGTACGGAGCTGAAACTTGGAGAACTACAACAACCATCATCAAGAAGGTACAAGTATTTATAAATAGCTGTCTACGCAAGATACTCAACATCGATTGGCCGGATACCATCAACAACAGATTTTTGTGGGAGAACAAACTAGCTTCCAGCTGAAGAGGAAATTAGGAAAAGCCGATGGAAATGGATAGGAGATACACTACGCAAATCACCAAACTGCATCACGAAGTATTTATTATTTA